GACGTGTTACATTCCTAGTTTTGATGAAACCATCCTGGTGGGGCTGAGGTGGGGTATCTCCTTGTGGTTTATCTTTGTGTTTCCTTGTGGCTAATGGCACTGAGCAACTTTCCACGTGGTTATTGGCGCTTTGCACATCTTTGGGGAGACATCTATTAAGTTCTTCACCCACTTCTTAATTTATTAAAAATGTACTTGAATTTTTTAAATATTTTATTTATTTATTTTTAGAGAGAGGGGAAGGAGAAAGAGAGGGAGAGAAACATCAGTGTGTGGTTGCCTCTCGCACGCCCCCTGCTGGGGACCTGGCCCGCAACCCAGGCATGTGCCCTGACTGGGAATCAAACCAGTCCCTTGGTTCGCAGGCTGGCGCTCAATCTACTGAGCCACACCAGCCAGGGCTAATTTACTTATCTTTTAGTTGTTGAATTGAAAGCCGGGAAAAGGAGAGGCACGGATGTATGGAAACCTCCAGAGAGGGGGATAGAGACCCAGAGAGAGAAGGAAAGATGGGGTGGGGGGGAGCAGAGTGAGGGACTGAGTTTGAGGACCCGGGAAGGACACTGGGACAGAAGTAGGGCAGACAGCGCTCTGATGAGAGAGGAGGTGGAGGGACGGCTGTTTGTAGAGGCGACCTGTCCCCCGGGGGCAGCCTGGAGCTGAGGTCAGAGCCCAGGTGGTGGACTGCCCCTAGGACAAGTGACAGAGTCCAGAGGAAGCTGACGGGTGGGTGTGACAGCAGCGGGAGCCTCACCCTGCAGGTGTGAATCACTAAACTAGGGGAGAAGTGCCCCACAAGACAAGGGCCCTACTCTGCCTCGGGGAGACGCTCAGGCCCGGGCCAGGTGTGTGTGTGTGCGCCCGTGTGCACGCGTGTACTGCTTACTTAGCAACCGTACAATATCTGTTTTTAAAGGTTTTGTGCAGTGGAATGCAACGCACACCCCAAAATGGGCAAAACCTGTTAGGTGCACGCAACCAAAGTGTCCACTGGCGGATAAACGGATTAACACCACGTGATCCATTCATCCAATGGAATAACGTTACTCAGACTTAAGAAGGCAGGAGTTGCTGACTCCTGCTACCACAGGGAAGGACATAATGCTGCATGCGGGGAAGCAGACAGTCACAGAAACGCAAACGCTGCTCGACTTCACGGAGGGGAGGTACTCAACGCAGTTAGAGTCATAGAGACAGAAAGTAGAGTGTTGAATGCCAGGGGCTGAGGGGAGGGGGGAGGGGGAGTTGGTGTTTGATGGGACAGAGTCTCAGTTTTGCAAGAAGAAAAATGTTCTGGAGACAAACGCTGCTGATAGCTGCACAACAACGTGAATGTACGTAGTGCGCTGCACTGTACCGTACACTTCAAAACAGTTAAAATGGCCCTGGCTGGTGTGGCTCAGTGGATTGAGCACGGGACTGGGAACTAAAGGGTTGCCAGTTCTATTCCCAGTCAGGGCACATGCCTGGGTTGCAGGCCAGGTCCCCAATAGGGGGCGCATGAGAGGCAACCACACATTGATGTTTCTCTCCCTCTCTCTCCCTCCCTTCCCCTCTCTTTAAATAAATAAATAAAATATTTTTAAAATAAATAAAAATAAAAATACCCAGCACTTAGATGGCTCTTGCTATGTATTATTCTAAACTCTTTACACATCTTACACTACTTAATTGTTGGGACAACGCCGTAGTCACTGGTCTGTCCCATTTTATGGATGAAGCAACTGAGGCACAGAGAGGCTACCTAATTCACCTGAGGTCACTCAATAATGAAATGATAGAACTTTTTTTTTTAAAAAGATCTTATTTATTTATCTTTAGAGGGGAAGGAAAGGAGAGAGGGAGAGAAATATCAATGTATGGTTGCTTCTTATGCATCCCCTGCTAGGAATTGGCCTGCAACCCAGGCCCGTGCCCTGACTGGGAATCAAACCATGATCGTCTGGTTCGTAGGCCTGCGCTCAATCCACTGAGCTATACCAGCCAGGGCTAAATGATAGAACTTAATGGTTGATTCATTAATTTAAACTCAGGCGGTCTGACCCCATCAGTACCCTTCACCATCTGGTTCATACTAACAGCAAGGTTAGAATTATTTATTTCTTACTCACTTACTTCATTTTGCCCTTATCAATGACTCTCTTTTCCTTCCCCCATCTTGTTTATTTTACATTGTTTTGTTTGTAGGTGCTCTTACACATTGTGTATTTTTGTCTGGGATGTAGGAAATTTAAATTTACATCAAAGATATCAGGTTGTAGGTCTCACTCTGTTTCTTACTCTTACACTCAGATCTATTTTATTTTTTTTTAAGATTTTATTCATTTATCTTTAGAGGAGAAAGGAAGGAGAGAGGGAGAGAACTGGCCTGCAACCCAGGCATGTGCCCTGACTGGGAATCGAACCGTGGTTGCTTGGTTCCCAGGCCCGCGCTCAATCCACTGAGCTACACCAGCCAGGGCAGATCTATTTTAAAAGATAACTTTTTAATGCCCTGGCTGGTGTGGCTCAGTGGATTGAGTGTCGGACTGCAAACCAAAGGGTTCGCACATGCCTGGGTTGTGGGCCAGGCCCCCAGTAGGGGGCGCGCAAGAGGAGACCACACGTTGATGTTTCTCTTTCTCCTTCCCTTCCCCTCTCTAAAAATAAATAAAATATTTTTTAAATAAAATAAAAATAACTTTTTAGCTTTTCAATTATAGTAGACATACAATATCACATCAGTTCCAGGTACACGGCATAGTAATTAGATATTAACATGATTTACGAAGTGATTCCCCGATAAGTACTCACCTGACACTGTACGTAGTTATTACACTATTACTGACTGTATTCCCTGTGCTGCACTTTACGTCCCCGTGACTATTGTGTAACCGCCAATTTACACTTCTTAATCCCTTCCTCTTTTTCACCCATTCCCCCAACCCTCCTCCCACCTGGCAACCATCAGAATGTTCTGTGTATCTACGACTCCGTTTCTGTTTTATCTGCTTGTTTGTTTTGTGAGATTCCACAGCTAAGTGAGATCACATGGTATTTGTCTTTCTCTGTCTGACATATTTCACTGAGCATAATGCCCTCCAGGTGCATTCATGTCGTGGCAGATGACAAGACTGCATTCTTTCCTGTGGCTGAGTAAATTCCATTTCTTCCTTATCCATTCGTCGGATCCATTCTTGTATTGTGTACAGTTTAGCCTTTTGTTTCCAGGGCTGCAGAATGTCCGCTCTGTGCACCACGGGCACTTCCTCCCCCTCAGTGTCACTTGGCAGGCTGCCTTGGACACCACGGCCGCCATAAACAACACCGTGAAGGACATCCATCTTCCCGGGTAAGGGGTGACAACTTCTTCAACCTCTCCATCAAAAAGAGGGGGATTGCCAGGCCATTAAATCTGCAGATACTTAATTTAACTAAGTTTTACCAAATTGCACTTTAACGCCGCTGCTCATCGGAGAAATAAAACCGGTTCAGTTTCCTGATTCTCCCTGCCTCACACCTGGACCTGAGGCTTTGGAGCTTAGAAGTTGAGGAATTTACAGTCTTTGTTTTCCCTCGCATTCTGAGAGCTCTTCCTTAGGCCACTGCATGAGCTATTATGAAGGGCTGATTCTGAGAAAGGTAAGCAGGAGAGCAGGAAGCTAAGGATGAAACTTTCTCAGGTGGGAGAGAGGGGAGAATTTCAGTCGGGTGTGCGCTCCCCCTTGTGGTCTAATCATCTCATTACACTCCCCCTCAACCATTCACGGCCTGCTGATTTATTTACATCTAAATTCAAATGATATTTATTGGACACCACCTATGTGCTAGACCAGCGACGTCCAGTTGAAATGCACATGTAATTTTAAACTTTCTGCTAGCCACGTTAAAAGTGTTGAAAAATCTTGGCCGGGTAGCTCAGTTAGTTAGAGCATCATTCTGGTATGCCAAGGTTCAGGTTTTTATCCCTGTTCAGGGCGCATGTAAGAATCACCCAAAAAGCCCTGGCTAGTGTAGCTCAGTGCATTGAGCACGGGCCTGTGAAGCGAAGGATTGCCTGTTTGATTCCCAGTCAGGGCACATGCCTGGGTTGCAGGCCAATTCCCAGCAGGAGACACATGAGAGGCAACCACACATTGATGTTTCTCTCCCACTCTTTCTCCTTCCCTTCCCCTCTCTAAAAACAAATAAATAAATAAAAATTTTAAAAAAGAATCAACCAGTGAATACATCAATATGTGGAACAACAAACCACTGTTTCTCCCTCAAATCAATGTTTCTCTCATTTTTCTAAAAATAAATAAAACCTTTTTTTAAAATAAGAATTATACATTGTGATGAGTGAAAATGACGAGTTAGAGCTGATGGCAAACTACAGCCCTCAAGCTAAGAATAGCTTTTATGCTTCTAAAGGTTGGAAAAAAGCCCAAAGAATATTTTGGGACGTATTAAAATTATTTGATATTCAAATGTCAGTATCATTTCCGTGTTGTGTGTGGCTGCTTTCCCGCTGCTACCTTGGAGGAGTTGATACAGGAAGCAAAAAAGAGTTAGGAGGTATTTTGGAAAATCAGAGTGCGGTTCAATAGATTAAAGCAATTTGAAATATCATGAGTGTAAATTTGACTCTTCTAGGTAGTAGTCTAAATACTTCATGTGAGTGGAATCATACAGATTCGTCTTTCCTTGACTGGCTTAATTCAGTCAGCATAATGGCCTCAAGGTCCATCCATTTAGTAGCATATGTCAGAATTTCCTCCCTTTTGAAGACTGAATGATGTCCCATTGCAATAGATATACCACGTTTCTCTCCAGTGCCCAAGACATAGTGGCATTTATTGTAAACTCTAGGAGCAGACTGTTTGCCTCCTAATGCATTGCAGTGGCTAGAACAGGCCTGGCACAGAGTAGGTGCTCAGCAAGGACCCGCCTGCCCTCTACTCCCAGACCTCCCTGACCACGCCCGATCTTCGGGGGCGGGGCCGGCTGGGTCCTCTCTGTGACGTCACAAAGGCCCTGCCATGCCTCTGGTTTTGGCCCTGGCGCTGCTCGTTGGCCTGAGCGCCCGCGGAGGCTGGGGCTGCCTGCAGTGTGACACCTCAGTGCGTTTGGCCCTGAGGCAGCTGCGCTTGGCCATCATCCCCAGCCACTTCCACTGGAGGCAGCAAGGGGCCCGCGCTCAGGCCCTGCTGCTGGGCATGGAGGGGTCTTTCTTTCAGAACTACGCGGTGAAGGCGTTTGTGGGGCAAGTGGGTGCGTGCTGGGGAGGGGTGGGTGCTTAGCACTGTGGAGAAAGGGACAGGGAGTCCAAGCCTGAGGAAGGTGGGTTGAGAGACACTTTGGAGACCACGCCCCCTAGAGGGGAGGGCGGGGCCTGTGCTAGATAAAGGAGTGGGAGGAGTCGAGAAACTCAATGGCATTTCGTCCCCTCTTGTCCCCAGAGACACATCACCTGAACCTGGTGGCATCCTTTACCAAGAATCAAGTAAAAAACTTAAAGGTTAAGTCTCTGAGAGGTAGGAACTAAGAGGGAAAACCTTTCCCCAGCACCCCCCTCCTTTTCCACCTGTTCATCATCCTTCCCCTTTATATAAACCTTAAAGCAAACACGCGCTCATAGCCTTTTCTGTGTGTCTGCTATGGTTCTAAGTGCTTTATTTACAAATCTACTAGAGTTTATCTAGGTGGGCACTGCCCTCTACCGAGGGGGAGACTGAGGTTCAGACACACCCAAAGTTTCACAGCTAGGAAGAAAGATGAGGGTTTGAATCTGGGACATCCTGCCAAAAAGGTCTGGCGACCTTTTGGGTCACAGGCCGGGATTCAATCCACGAAGACACAGCAAACAGGGCGAGTAGCCCCCTTTTTAAAGAAAGGTAGACAAAAGCAGGTGAAACGAATTTTAATATATATTATTTAACCCCATACTTAAAAATATGGGGTTGTCATTTCAACATGCTCTCCACATGAAAATGATTTATTGCGATGCTTTACAATGATTATTTTTCATATCATGGCTCTGCAATCCAGCATGTACTTTACACCAATTGCTTGTCTCAATTCAGACTAGCCTCTCTCCAGGTCTCAGTAGCCATACGTGGCTAGTGGCTGACATACTGGACAGTGCAGGTCCAGGTAATTAACATATAAAGCCACGAGGCTGGATGAAATCAAGAAGGAGTGAGTGTAGACAAAAAAAGAGGAGAACAAATCAGAGGAAAGGAAAGGGGAAGTGATTGAGCCCACCCTTCTACCACTTACCCAATGAGGAAACTGAGGCCAAGGGAAGGTGGTTTAACTTGGGGCCGCACAGTGAACCAGAAGCTAGGGGCAGTGCTTCCCAGGTCATAGATCAGCCCAGTGGACCCTGGGTAATACCTGATCTAGGTTACTCCTGATCAATGAAAAGGAGTTTCCTCATCCCCCGTCTTTGAAGCTGCCGACAGGTGCTGAGGGCCTCACAAGGATCTTTTTCTCTCCTCAGATGAGCCTCTGCTGCAAGAGCTGGTGAGTCTTAGGCAGAAGGTGACCCTGGAACTCAAAAGAGCTTTAAGTGCGTATGAATTAAAAGGTGCGGTGCCCCCCCACCGAGCCCCTCCTCATTACCACTCCAGCCCCTCCTCTCATTTTTCTCCCAAACTCACCTCCCCTTTTCTCTGCCCCTCCCCCATATTTCTTTCTCGTCTTTCCCAGACTTATTCCTCCCTCCCTCTCTGGGTCCCTTCCCATTAAATTCTTCAATTACTCTCCCGACTTAACTCACTTCAGCTCTTTTCTCTTGCAGCCTGCGACCACAAAATTTGCCGTGAGTCCTGGACTTACCATCTATCCCTCCCTTCTCTACCCTTCTACTCCTCTTTACCCTGTGTCCCACAAACAAGGCCCCCTATCACCCCTATTCCGCCTGGTGGGACCCCCCCTCCAAAGCTCTAGTACCTAGGGATATCTGATTTTTGAGGGCTTATGAAAATTGCAACCTGCAAAAAAAGTACTTTGGGGGGAATGTTAGGCAGGATAGGAGAGCCTATGTCTTAGTTCAAACAAAACAAAACGCCACATTTCAGTGGTTTAACAAAAGAAAGGTTTATTTCTCTCTCACACCCAAAATCTGTTGAGAGTTGAGCAATTCCTCCAACTGATGAGTGAGGAATCCAGGCTGCACCCGTATTGTAGCTTCTTAACAAGCTTCAGAAGGGAGAAAGAACACGGAATCCTGTGTGAAGTTTTATCGCCGAGCCTGAGAAGTGGCTTTGCATCCTTCTGCCCGCTTTGGGCGGACCTCAGTCACATGGTTGCAACCTACTGCAAAGGAGCCTGGGAAATGTAGTCTCCCTGAGTGGCAGACGGTGAAGGAGATGATGAGTGAGCATCCAGTCAGTCTGTGTCACCGGGGGCTGCGAATAGGAATAGAGACGTGGCAGCATTCTTTTGTAGATATTTAATTAAACAAGTGTTTGACTTTAATTAATTGTCTACAAACAATGTTGGGTTAACTGGACAGCTGCAACTTAATTCAACTCTTCAGTCAACTTGTGTATATTATTAATATATAATTATTATTTCTAACGTGAACCGGCAGTGAGTTTTGCTCAGCTTGCTCTGCTGCACGTGGGGCCTCCAAATTCGCCAGGGCTGAGGGACTCCGGATCCTCCTCCCCTCTCTGCCTCCCTGCCCAATGCCAGTCCTCTTATTAATAGCTGCCCTCATCCCACTTCTCCCCTTCCCTTGTCCAGACTCGCTAAAAGAAGAGGTCTTGGACTGTTTACACTGCCTGAACGTCAGCCCCAAATGCATAGAAAGGAAGCAGTGTTTTGGTGAGCTCTGGTGGGTCGGGGAGGACACGGGACGGGCGCACGAGGGATGAGGTCAGCCCCGTCCCAGCAGATGTGGGTCTCGAGGTCTCCCACGTGCAGCCTGAAGCCTGCCCTGCACACTTTCCTACCGTGTGACCCAGCAGGTGCTGCCACATTCCGAAACTCATTTTTCCCTGCTGCTAAATGGGAAGCCTCCTCTGTCACTTGGCAATGCCTTTAGTGCCAGAATGGCAGGCGCTGGAAAAAATGCTTCCTTTTTAGTCATACCTGGGGAGTTTGGGAAGGATGTGCTGAATTTGATCATCCATTCAGAATTTATATATATATATATCCTTAGAGCAGAGAAAGTGGTACAGTGAACCCCTGTATACACATCAAGATTGGATAGTCACGCTGCACCTTTTCATATGCTGTTCTGTCTCTCTCACGCTGCTCCTCTGACCCATCACTCCAACAAAGTCTCAGAGTTTACTTCCTCAGGAGACTCTGATCACATCTCTAAAGTAGCGCTTTCCATCAGATTATCTTGACAATGAACGTCCCTCCAATTTGATTCGCTTATTTTATTTATTTAGCCACCGTGTTTTTAATGAAATCAGGCATCATGAGATTTCACCCATTCATAGTGTCTGCCTCTAAAAATAAGGACATTTTCTACAGGACCACACTCAACAAACCTAACGACAATCCTTCAATATCCAATAATTGCAAGTCCCTTTTCCAACTTCCCTAATTGTCCCCAGAATTCCTTCCTCTGTTGACTCACTGAAACAGAATTCCAGTGAAAGGATTTCTCCTTGCATTCAATGGTTACATCTTTCTCTTTTTTATGATCTCCACCCTGCCATGACATTGAGCAATTGAAAAGAAAGAATTTGTCTGTTTGCTCCATTGGGGTGGTGTTTAACCACAAAAAAAACATTTGGAGCACCCTATAATGAATGCCCCAAATTGAGGATGAGCGGAATGGGTGACTAATGTCTCATTGAGCCCTCATTTTGATAGCGTGAAGGGTTAGACCAGGCTTTCTCAGCCTTTTTTACTACTGACGCTTGGGGCTGGGTAATTCTTTGTTCTAAGACTGTCCTGTGTATTGCGGCTCCCCTAGCCTCCACTCACTACACAGCAGTAGTACCCGCCCACATACACACACGCAAAAGGCATCACACTCATTTCCAGCCTCCAGACATTCCCAAATATTCTCTGGGGGACAAAAGGGTCCCCAGGTGAGAGCCACTCTTAGATGATAATTATACATAAACAAATATAGGGACTAATTCCAGATGGCGGTAGAGCTCCTAATGAAAACAAAACAGAGAGGAAAGTCCCTGGGGGTGGGGGTGGGCTGTGCTACTTTAGAGAGTGCAGGTGGGGAGGCCTCACCCTGAGATCTAAAAGGATTGAGGGACCAGGTGAGAGAGGAAACAGCAGGTGCCAAGATCAGACATAGTTGAGCGACAGGAAGGAAGCTGGCGTAGCCAATTGCCGAGTGAATACAGAGGAGGGCAGTAGGGTAGCTAGCCACGTGGGGACCACCAGATCGTGCGGGGCTGGTGCACCCCAGTGAGGACTTGGGCTTTTATTCTGAAAGAGAGAAGAGCCGTGGGAGGGGGCTCTGAGCCGCAGAGGGACAGGAGTGGACTTAGGTGTTAACTGGCGCCCCTGGCGGCCACGTGGGGAACTGTAGTGCGGAGAAGCCTGGAGGAGGAGGATGGGACTGGATCAGGTCAGGAGCCGAGGAGGTGGTTCAAATTCTGGATACATTTTGAAGGTCGAGCCAAGAGGCTTTGCGGACAGAATGAAAGAGTTGGAGCGAGGGGGCGAGTGGAAAGTGCAGAATGGGACTCCCAAGACCACCTTCAGAGCCAGCTAAGACGCAGGCGGACTTTACCATGAAATTGCCAGCATTTTGCATCCCCCTCTCGTGTTCTTGGGCAGCGGAACGAACCAAGTTCTCCTCCCACCCTCACCTCCACCCAATGAGATGCATTTTGGGCTATGACGTGCTGCTGAGGGTCGACAAGGGTGGGTTCATAGTGGTATCCCACGCACCTAGAATGGTGCCTGGGACGCAGGATTTGAGGAATGGATGACTGGAGCGCCGGGAAAAGGGAGAGGGCCACGTAGTGCACAGAGGGCCCGCGTTGCCCAGCGAGCAGTCGGGTGGGGTCAAGGCCAGGGAAGGGCGGTAACCGGCTCGCGCTGTCTCCGCCCACCCGCCCAGTGGACAAGCAGCCCCGCGTGAACCTGCAGTACGACGGAGAGAGTATCTATCCGCAGAACCAGGCCCTGTTTGGCATCATGGTTTCCTTGTTTCTGGCTGTCTTCACCTTTGGGGTCATCGTGGCTTCGTGAGTCATCCCTGCTGCCCCCCGAAGCCCCCAGAGATCACCTTTGAGCCCCTCGAAAATGGCACTGCCCTTGATAGGTCACTGTGTCGTTTGGGAGTCTTCTACCCAGTCACTTTACGTCTCTGTCTCCCTCTCTCTCTCTCTTTCTTCTCTGTCCCCTCTTCCCTCTCTTCTCTCTTGCTTGTCGTTCTGTCTGTCTCTCATCTTCTTCCCCCTGCCCACCCCCACATTTGTCTTTCCTCTGTTGCCTTTGTGGGTCTCTTCTTCCATTAAAAAAAAAAAACCCTAAACTAACAATTATATTTTGTGGATGTGCTGGTTTGAAGACATATATTCTGTCTTCAAAAAATTGATTTATTATATTATTCTTATTCTTATTATTCATTGTTACATTATTTCCTTCTACTTTGAAAAGTATTTAAAATGAAAACATTCCCATAGGCCCCAAGCATGGACCCCACAGTGCCAAGGGGAGAAGACGCCTTGTGCTTTCTTCCTATCTGCTTACTCTCTCCAGTCTCTCTCCGTCCCTTCCCTCAGTGTCTTCATATTCAATTTTAGACAATTCCAGTGCCTGCCTCTCGGGGGCGGTGGTGAGCATTGAGTCAGCACTTCACACAAGGAATGTCAGCTCTAGTGGGAGCTCGTTCTGGTGTGTCCCCTTCTTTCCCTCTCTGAAACGCTTCATCTTTCTGCCTCTTCTACTGGGCTTTTTCCTCCCTTCCGCTGTCCCCGGTCCCAAATCTGCCACTCTCCGCTCTCTCCCCACTGTCCCCAGGTTGAATCTGTGACTCTCAGGTTCTCTCTGCCTCTCTCTGAATGTCCCTCCCCGTCTCTGGGTCTCTGTCCCCAACTCCCACCCCACATGGCCCTCGCACTCTCTGTCAGCCCCTCTCTGCTGCTTTACGTCTGTCTCACTGTCGCCACCTCCTTTGTCTCCCATCTTCCCTCTCTTTCTCCAGCGCTTTTCGAACAGCTCTCTCCCCTCTCCCCGTGTTTGAACCTTTCGCCTGGTCTTCAACTGGTCTTCATCTCTGTCTTCCCCTCTGCCATCTCCGGGATTCCCTTTCTGTCTTGAATTCTGTTTCTCTCTCTCGCTCTCTCTCTCTCAGCTTCTTGCCCAAGTTCTGGCTCACCTCTGTTTCTCTTTTACAGAACTCTCTCCCCATTGTCTCCCTGTGTATTAATTTCTTCTTGCTGCTGTAACAAATGACCACAAATGGCTTAAGGCAGCACATTTATTCTTCTAGAATTCTGGAGGTCTGAAGTCCCAAATCAAAAGATTGGCAGTACTGGTTCCTTCTGGGGGTTCTGAGAATCCATTCCATACCTGCCTCTGCCTTTGGTGGCTGCTGGCATTCCCGGCATTCCTGGGCTCCTGGCTTCCGCCTAATCTCTGCCTCCCTCAGTCTTCACATGGTTCCTCTCTCTGCCTCTCTCTCTCTCTCTCTCTCTCTCTCTCTCTCAGGTCCACCCCGAATCCAGAATGATCATTTTTTAAAAATGGATTTTATTTATTTTTAGGGGGGGGGGAGGAGAGAGAAAGATCAATGTGTGGTTGCCTCTCGCACGCCCCCTACTGGGGACCTGGCCCATAACCCAGGCATGTGCCCTGACTGGGAATTGAACCGGTGGCCCTTTGGTTCACAGGTCTGTGCTCAATCCACTGAGCTACACCAGCCAGGGCTATTTGATCTTAAATACATCTGCAAAGACCCTATTTCCAAGTAAGGCCAATCTGCAGAGGTACTGGCGGTTAGGGCTTGGATATATCTTTTGGAAAACATAGTTCTACCTACTACACCTGCTTCTCTCTTTTCCTTATTTCTATTTCTTTTTGCCTTTCCCTTCTGCTTGAGTCTCTCTTGCTGTGACTGTGTCTCTCAGTGACTTCTTCCACTCTTCCCACATTTTACCCTTACTCTTGTCCCAACTTTTCACACCTCTCGCCTCATGAGCCAACACTGATTGGCTGAGAACCCTGGAAATCTGCCCAGAGACCCATGATGTCATTGACTAAGCCAAATAAGACTGATGATTGGAGGAAAGTTTGAGGGGGGTTGGTTGACCTGGAGGGGCCGGAACATCTCTTTTCTAACCTCCAGGCTTTTTCTCTCTGACCAGGGCTATCATTTACAGGCAAAACCGGAAACTCTTGCTGCAGTAGGGTGGTGGTTTCGGGGTTGTGAGGGGGAATTGAAAAGACATTTAATAAAGTCTGTGAGAAATTTTTCAATGTCTCCATCAGTTACTGGGGGACCCTCCCAGCAATGGTCCAGCTCTACACACCTGACTGCCAAGAGGGCTAAGCTGCCAGTGAGGGCTTGAAAGGGCAGCCATTACTATTTGTAGGGGAATGCATCCAAAATGAGATGACACCACAGTGCTACCGTAAGGGACAGTCAGGCAGAGGAGCAGTGGTGGTCAGTGTGGAGAGGACAGGTTTCCCTCCCTTGTCTCAGCCCTTAAATGTTCACCCTCTGTGGTCCTGAAAAGACTCGGATACATTTTCACGTACATCTTTTACTGAAGCAGAAAGCAAACATTTGGATCTCATGGTGTCCTTCCGTTTTGGATCCTGCCAGCAGAACTGAACTGTTGCTGTCTCACTCTTGTGTCTGGTGGGAGGGACAGGGGTTGACAATAAAGGTGGAGTTTAGCTGGAGATTCAGTGCCTAGCACAATGCTTGGCTGAAAGCAGGCACTCAGTAAATATTTGTTGAATAAATGAGGATTAATGAGAATAATAGTGTTGGGGGGGCAGGAAGCCTGTGAAGACGACATTGGCCCGTACACCAAAGTGCATTTACTGCCAGGGGAAGGAGCTTGGCCGTTTTTCCCAGAATCTGAAATTGAAACCTCAAATATATATATACATATTTGGTGTTGTTTTTGAAGATTTTATTTTCAGAGAAAGGGGAAGGGAGGGAGGGAGGGAGAGAAACATCAGTGTGTGGTTGCCTCTTGCACCCCCCCCCCCACTGGGGACCTGGCCTGCAACCCAGGCATGTGCCCTGACTGGGTATTGAACCTACCACCCTTTGGCTTGCAGGTTAGCACTCAGTCCACTGAGTCACACTGGCCAGGGCAAAACCTCAAATATCTTATGGGTCCAGGTAGGTAAAGCGAACAACTGCAGGACCTATTCATGGAGGATGGAAAATACTCAGCTCCATCCCATAGCGAGCAAATAAGATGAAATAACAGCCCCAGTGCTTTCAGATCTAGTGTAGGCAACTTTTTCAAATACTGGAGACCAACTCAAGAGACGTTTTGCTACCATTCTAAAGTGATGGGGAAATATCTAAGGCTGGGGTGTTACATAATTTAGGTATTAGCAAAGGATGTTGATGGATCCCACTGAACCCCCTAGTTAACTATATTTCCCAGAAACCTCTGCCTTCCACCATGAGTCCTCTAAATACTGTATCCTAGTCTAGTTAAAAGTAGAAGGAGTGCACAGTAGAGTTGGACTTCTGATTGGCCTTGACTTCCTTGTTCTAGCCACATAGTTGCCAAGATAGGAGTTTTGTTACCTGCACGCTTTGAGTGGAGAGGTTTTCTTTTTCTTGTATTTTTATTTTTCAATTACAGTTTACATTCAATATTACCTCGTATTAGTTTCAGGAGTACAGCACAGCGGTTAGACACTCATATACTTTACAAAGTGTCCCTCCCCGTCCCCCGACATTTCTAGTACCTATCTAGCACCATACATTGTTATTACCATAGGAACTTAGAGGTTTGAAGAGGTGGTGAAGAGGCTAAAAGGTCTGTTGGAGCAGGCTCCAAACGAGAGGATTCTGGGAACTGTAGTTTCCGGCCTCTGGGCTCTCCGCTGTTCCCCCTCCCCTCCCCCCAACACCCAACTTTCTTCCCCCAAGCTAGTCGGCGCATTTCCATGGAGTCCACAGACGCTAGTCGCCTTAGCAACGTCACTCCGGGCGTGTATGACGTCACCGTCACCAGCGACCGGCCAAGAGCGGGACTACTGCAAACGGTCAAAGATGCTTGGCTTCCACTCACTTAAATTGGTGGCCACACGGAAGCTCACTCCCGCTTGGGTAGCAGTGTTGTTTGCATATTAAAATGTCTTCACACTACTGGTCCAGTCATTACCTTAACTGCTTGGGAACTTCCTGGGAACAATGCACAATGCAGTAAACGAGTAATTAAATTGTGCATTAATTACAGTGTGATGAGAACTCCCAGAGTGCGCAGAGCATGGAGCGGGACAGACCGTCACCAAATAATTACAATACAACAATTATTATAATATCAGTGCTAGGATTCTGGGACGATCCTGTGGGAACCCAGGGAGGGAGTAGCCAACTCTGGCTGGGCAGGGTGGGAAGAGGAGAAAGTTTCGTGCAGGAATGGCTGTACGAGCGTCTTCTTGCTATACTAGGGGGACCGCTTGGTAAAGTATGTAACTGTCTAACCACTAGCCTGAACACCTGAAATGAATATAAAATACTAAATGTGAACTGTGGTTGAAAAATTAAAATTTAAAGAAAAAGAGCTTGTTCTTGGCAGAAAAATGGTTTCCAAAAGAAGTACAGGAGCACTCTGGTTGGTGTGGCTCAGTGGATTGAGCGCGGGCTGCGAACTAAAGGGTTGGTGGTTCGATTCCCAGTCAGGGCATATGCCTGGTTGCACACCAGGTCCCTAGTGGAGGCCACGTGAGAGGCAGCCACACATTGATATTTCTCTCCCTCTCTCTCTTTCTCCCTCCGTTCCTCTCTCTCTAAAAATAAATAAATAATCTTTAAAAAAATAAAATATTTTTAAAAGAAAGAGGTACAGGAGAAAGGACATTCTGGACAGAGGGAACCACAAATATGAATGTCAAGAGGTGAGACTTACTGGCTTGTTTTTTAATAATATTGATAGCAACCATGTAGATGGTGTTTTCTGCCACATATTGTTCTAATGGCTTTATTTATATCGACCTATTCGAATCTCATAACCCAATGAAGAGGGTATTTATTTTCTCCCCATGTACAATGAGGAAATGGGGGAAAGGAGAGATGAATGACTTGGCCCTCTGGGGCTGCGTGGGGAACAGACTGGAGGGGAGACCTGGAGGCCAGAAAGTTTGAAATGAGATTGGAGTGAGGTTCTGGGTGAAAGAACAAGAGCTGAACCAGGGCCAGGTTCATGGGCATGGAGAGGGCAGCAGACACCGGAAGTCTGGCTTTGACAGAAGGGGCTTCCGTCAACCTGCTGGCCCTGGCTGGGTCTTCAAGCCACCGAGATGCATAGGTCTCCTTGTGGATGCCTGACGCACTTCTATTGGGTGGTTGTACAAGTTAAATAAGCCAATAAGTCCCACCGCGTGTTGTGACAGCTGTTATTCCATTTTGGCAATGGTCCATCCAGCCTTTACTCAAGTACGTATGTATATTTTACATCTTTATAAACATGAAAGCTATATAACTGCGGTTTTTGTTCTTTTAACCTTCGATCGCAAACCTTTCCTCATGTCACGGTCTGGTTGTCATAAGTACTTCAGGGCTCCATAACGTTCTATAGGTGTAATGTACCGCCATTTATTTATATAACAGAACCACCGAGTCCATACAATTAAAAATAGCTTTTTGTTATTTTGTTTCTGATTGGAGAGTGACTTCTTCCAAGGTTGCACTTCAGGGACCTAGACTCCTTTCATCTGCAACATGTGACTCCCAGGGTCACACTCTTCATCTGAATAAACAGAAGGGAAAAGACTGTGCAAGTGACAAATGGGAGGTTTTAGTGGGCCAGATCTGGGCGAGGCACGCATTACTTCTGCTCACATTTTATTGGCCACAACTTAGTCTCGTGGTGACCCCAAATTGCAAGTGAAAAGGTTTAACTGAAAGGGAATTTTCGCAGTGCTCCTACAGCCAAACATTTCCCAAATACTATATTTTTGGGGAAATGCAAAGTCCCTGTGTATTTAGAGCTTTTTTTCCCTCCTGACCCACAACCCATTTCCAGACTGTTTCCCAGCAGAGACCTTAGGCCGAGGAGGAGCTGCAGAGGCTTCTGGGAAATGTAGTCCTGGTGCGAAGCTGCGTTTAAAGAAACAGGACTTGTTTCGAGACAGCGACTGCGCAGGCGCATTCCGCGGCCAGGCAGAGGGTGTGAAGGCCTGGTCACCCTTCGAAAACTCGGGGTCGCACAGGTGAGTCTTGATCTGGAGGACCCGAGCGGAAACGCGTGGGTGCGGGGCAGGCCAGTACCAGAGGAGGGCACTCAGGGGGCGGGACCGGAGTGGGAGGGGGACGGGCGCTGTGGGCGGTGCCCGCCACCTTCTTTCATTCCCGAGGCAGCCCCAGAACCCCTTGCCTTCCGCAGGACTAGGACCATCTCAGCGCTCAGGAATTGGGCGCTGCTATTTGCCAGGAGACTGGTCAAGCGCGGGACTGCTTCGTTCCCTAAGAGGATTTACCTTTCCTCAATTTGCAGGTGAAGAGATCGGTGCGGCTTCCCCCAGGTCACAATACTAATAAGGGGTAGACTTGGGATCACACTGACCTGAGCGCCCTTGCGTACTCCGCACAGTCACGCCCTTGATCTCTGCCCTTATTGTGAGCATCTCTGGCTTTCTGCTGTCCTCTTTCTGATCCCACCGCCACCCCGATGCCGTTCAGTCTCCCCGTTCTTTCTCTGGTTCCCTGCTTCCTCTGTCTCCATGTCTGTGTCGCCTGCCCTCTGGGTCTCTGCGCAGCCCCCTCCCGAGAGTCTCTATGTTTTTTCTAAAAATGAGGTTATTTTTCTTCCAAAACCACGGCACCATGATGACGCCAGGAAATTAACCTGGATACAGCACTTCAAATTTTGCTAAATGTCTCGATAATATTATTATTTTTAAATTGTTTACCTCTGCTCTTCTTTTTTAATTTTAAATATGTTATTTTTAGACAGAGGGGAAGGGAGGGAGAGGAGTGTCACTGTGTGGTTGCCTCCTGAGCGCCCCCTACTGGGGACCTGGCCTGCAACCCAGGCATATGCCCTGACTGGGAATTGAGCTGGTGACCCTCTGGTTCTCAGGCCAGGGTTCAATCCACTGAGCCACACCAGCCAGGGCCCCAATAATATTCCTAATAACAGAAGAAAACCCCATATCACCCACTACATTGGTTGTTGGATCTCTTTAGTCTCCGTTCATCTGGAATAGTTCTTCAGCCTTTCTTTACCCTCCCTGATCTTGGCAATTCTGAAGACTGCAGACCATATACTTCTGGAGCGTCCCTCCATTTAGATTCACTCAGTGTTACCTTGTGATTCGATTTAGGTTGTGCACTTTCGGCAGGGCTACCTGAGGAGTGACACTGTGTCCTTCTCATCAGATCAAGAGCCCTTGATGTTGGTTCGCCCATCCCTGGTCACATCAACCTCGATCACTTTTCCACTCCAAAGTTACCCTCTTCTTTTTGTAACTAATAAATGACTTGTAAGGAGACAGTTAAGTCACCCAGCGGTTCCAGCCTTCCAGTGCCCAAAGCCTGTGAAGTCTGTATGCCTGTAACTGTTTGCCTTGGAAACACATGGGAGGCTCTGTGTCTTTTTTATGCTTTATTTTTATTTTTAAAAATTTATTCATATTTAGACAGAGGGGAAGAGAAGGAGAAAGAGAGGGAGAGAAATATCAGTGTGTGGTTGCCTCTTGAGCGCCCCCTACTGGGGACCTGGCCTGCAACCCAGGCATGTGCCCTGACTGGGAATCAAACTGGTGACCCTTTGGTTTGCAGCCTGAGCTCAATCTACTGAGTTACACCAATCAGGTCCTGAGTCTTTTTATTTTATTTATTTTTATCAGTTTCTTCTTCGAGGCTGTGACAAATGACCATGAACCTGGTGGCATCAGACAAGGAAATGTATTCTCTGACACTCCTGGAGGTCAGAAGTCTGAAGCGGGGATCACCAGGCTGAAACTGAGGTGTCAGAGGTGCCGTGCTCCCTCTGGTGGTTCTAGGGAAGAATTCATTTCCTTGCCTTTTTTCAGCTTCTGGAAGCTGCCTTGGGTGTGGCCCTGTCCTCCAGCTTCAAAGCCAGGGGCATAGGCCCATCCAGATCATCCAGGGCAGTCTTCCCATCTGAAGGTGTGGAGCTTAATCACATCAACATTCGCCCCAGAGATATCTTTTGGGGCTGCTCTCCAGCCCACCACCTGATCAATGTCCAGCACCATCTCCCCAACCAGGCGGGGAGCCCCTTGAGGCTGTAGCTGCATCTCATTTGGTGTTGCATCTCATTTGAGGACTCATTTCTGGGCCCTCAAAACGGAAGGGTTGACTTTGTGGGCCAGACTTTTGGGCTCTAATCCAACAATGACACTTGATATCTCTATGACCTTGAGCTAGGGCCTGTGAGGTCATGTCTTCATCTGGGGATAACCCCTCCAAGAGTTGTGGTGTGGGTGTGGTGAGCTGAACCCACGGATGTCCAATGGATGTTTCAGAACTGGGACCTCAGGCCTCCTATCCTGAGCCTTTGCCCTGTTTCCTTGCCCTGGTTCCATAACCAGTGCCCCCTCTGTTATGAGGCTTCTTTAGGAAAGTGTCTGTCTGTCTGTCTGTTTATGCCAGAACTGACCCCACTTCTCTTCTCCAATCTCCTCTTCCAGCTCTGCAGACGCAGGCCTGTCCTTTTGTCCTGGAGATGCGTCCCCAGGAGCCAGCAGTGACCACCAGGACCCTGACAGCTGAGGACCAGGTGTGTCTGGGTCCCCTCTTCCCCGAGGTGATTGGCCCCAGAGGGCCATCCTCATCACTGTCTGTGGCCCAGAGACCTTCTGCCCCTCCCACACCGGGAGAAAGGCGGTGGTGGGAGGGGCTCTGGGGCTGGGGGGCGGGTGAGGGGAGGGGAGGGGAGGGTGGGGCGGACTGCTCTGAGCTGGCACGTTATGACTTAGTCTGTCAATCAGCAATGCAAAGCTCAGCAGCCTCTGGTTCCCAGGTAGAATGGGCAGTGGTTTATTTGGCTTTACTCCTGAGCCTTATCCATGGGGTCAGATTGGGGGCTGGGTTCAGAGTTGGTGTCTGCGATGGAGGGTGACTTGGGAATGTGTGGCTCTTGTCACACAGTGACTTGATAGTTTCTTTAAATAACTTTCATCTAAGGATATATTTTAGATCCTTAGAGAGAGGGCCTTGATTTGAGAGAGAAAGAGGAAGGGAAAGAGAGAGGAAGGGAAAGGGAGAGAAACATTGATATGAGAGAGAAACATTGATTGATTCCCTCCCGTACACGCCCCGACAGGATTGAACCTGCAATCTAGGTATGTGGTCTAACTGGAGATAGAACTCTCAGCCTTTTGGTGTATGGGATAACACTCCAACCAAGTGAGCTACTTGGCCAGGGCTCATGGGTACATTTATTATGGTAAATTTTGGGGCAGATGGCAAATTGTCATATACTAAAATAATTGGCATATTACAACAATTTTCCAACAGATGGCAGTAAAGAGTCATGCAAAAGGTGGAGCTTGGTCTACTTTTTACCAAGGTGCCTGTGAGCTAGTGGCTGCCTAGACTTTTTTATTGCAATACATTCCTAACGGCTGGATTTATTCAGTTCTCTCAAACCCGTTCAAGCACCAGGAGCAAGTGGTAGGCTACTGACCTATGACCTCTCCTGCCCCAGAGTTCCAGAAGTCTGTGTCCTTCCACTTTGTACAATTGATTCTTGCAGGAATGGGTGACTTTCAAGGACGTGGCTGTGGATTTCACCCTGGAGGAATGGGGCCGGCTGGGGCCTGGCCAGAGGGAGCTGTACCGGGACGTGATGCTGGAGAACTACCAGAACCTTCTCTCACTAGGTGAGGCCCTGCCTTCCCAGGAGGAGGCCCAATACCTCCTCCTCCTTCCTCTCCTTTGTGCTCACCCACTGCTTAACTGTGGGCAGTCCCTGGGGTCATGTGGTGCCTCTCGTCTGTCTGTCCTGGCAGGCCTCTGTCTGTCTCTGTCTCTCCCAGAGTCCTACCTCTGTGAGGGCCCCGAGCCCTCTGCCTGACCCATTGTATCTTCAGCCTGTGCCCCCACCCTCTTCTCTTGCTTCCCTCTCCACATGTGGGGGCCTCAGGCTCCTGCTGGAAAAGCCTGCCCCAGTGTCTCAGACTCCAGGTTCCCCCCGGGTGTCCTCCAGTCCACCGGCTCCATCTTGAATCCTCTCCCCAAAGCACATAAGTTCTGTCTTCCGAAGTGTCTCCTGAATCCCAATTTGTCCACACACCCCCTCCTGCCCCCCCACCCCCTGCAAGGCACCCCCCCATTCACCACACTCACCCCGAGCTCAGAGTCTCCACACTGACCTGCTCCTCCCTCCCCCTCCAGGACCCCATCTGTGGTTGGCCCCACGTCCCCCAGATTCCCAGTTCCATCCTCACCTTCCTCTTCCTCTTACTGAGAACCATCAGACCCCACCCACTCACCCACTGCCAACTCTTTGCATGTCCCCTCCTCTCTGTCCCCACGGCCGGGCCCTGCTCTGGCCTTGTCCCCTCCCCACACCCCACTCCAGCCTCCTCTCTGCTGCCTTTCCTTCCATCTCTTCCTTCTTAATTCCTTCATCTGGCTCCTCTGTCTCTTTTTCCCTGCGAGCTACCGTGGTAGGAAGGCTCCGTCCTCAGCCCTCCTCACTCACACACTTCCTCTGAACAAACTCATTAAAAACTCAGCTGAGCCCTGGCTGATGTAGCTCAGTGGATTGAGTGCGGGCCTGTGAACTAAAAGATTGTGGTTCGATTCTCAGTCAGGGCACATGCCTGGGTTGCAGGCCAATTCCCAGCAAGGGATGCAGGAGAGGCAACCATATGTTGATACTTCTCTCCTTCTCTCCTTCCCTTCCCTTCTAAAGATAAATAAATAAAATCTTTAAAAAAAAAACCCTCAGCTGAGACGCCTGTGCAAGGTCCCCAAGACCACTCCCTAGTGACACACGAGGAGCACGCACAGGCCTCAGCACGGCTGTGGGCCCGGAAGCTCATCAGACCCCCAACACGGGTTTCCCTGGGCGCCGGTCACCCCAGCCTCTGCCTCCACCTTCACACACGACCTTCTTCCCACCACATGCATCTGCGTGTCTCTCCTCTTCTAAAAAGGACACCGGTCATCGGATTTCCGTCTCACCCTAATCCAGTACGACCTCGTGTTCACCAATAGAGGAATCTGCGAATCCTCTATTTCCAAACAAGGCCACGTTAGGAGGTTCCTACGGACCTAATTTTGGGAGAGTGCTGGTCAGCCCACTAGCGGGAGAGATTGGTGAGCTCAAAGGCAGCAGGCATAAAAAGAAACATGAAATGAACTTTACTAATATAGTTTGCTTCACCTGCTTTATCCAAAAATATGGTTGCTCTAACCAGTGTAACTCAGTTGTTTGGGCATTGTCCTGAAAACCGACAAGTTGCTGGTTCAATTACCAGTCAGGGCACGTGCCTGGGTTGCAGGTTTGGTCCCCAGTCGGGGCTTGTACGAGAGGCAACCAATCAGTGTTTCTCCCTCACATTGATGTTTCTCTCCCTTTCTCCCTCCCTTCCCTGTTCTCTAAAAATAAATAAATAAAAAGTTTAAATAAAGACAAATAAGACCATTTCCACACATGTCAAAACCATAATCAATACGTAAATTGTTAATGAGATATTTTATACTCTTCTCTACACGAAGTTCTGTGGAACGTGAGTGCATTTCACTCTCAGCTTCAATAGCTCAGAGCTGGGGCCTTTGAGGGCTCCGGCTTCCTCTGAAGCAGGCAATCAGCCAGTGAATCTTTTTGTTTTTGTTTTTTTAATTTTTGAGAGAGGAGAAGGAGAGAAACATCGGTGTGTGGTTGCCTCTTGCGCTTCCCAAACCGGGGACCTGGCCCGCAACCCAGGCATGTGCCCGGGCTGGGAATTGAACCAGGGTCCTTTTGGTTCACAGGCCTGTGCTTAAGCCACTGAGCTACACCAGCCAGAGCCAGCCAGTGAATCTTGCATTGACCATTAGAGTGTCTGGTCACAAGGCACCGATGGGTGCATCTCCTCTGCAAACCCAGAGTCTGAGGCCCAGCCCTGAGGAGTGCCTGTGACCCCAGTGGCATCCGTGGCCAGGACTCATGTCTCTTCCAGGGTCAGGGCCTCTGGGGTCCAAACCTGACGTGATCTCCCGTCTGGAGCGAGGGGAAGAGCCCAGGATGGAGAAGAGAGAAGCCCAGCGAGTTACCTGTTCAGGTAGGTGAGGGTGTCCAGCAGATGTGAGCCATCTTCCTGTCTCATTTGTCAGGATCAGAGATGGTCATTGAAGAATGAGGCAGCATTGCCCTGGCTGGTGTGGCTCAGTGGATTGAGTGCCAGCCTGCAAACCAAAGGGTCGCAGGTTCGATCCCCAGGCATTGCACATGCCTGGGTTGCAAGCCTGGTCCCCAGGGGAGGGCATACGAGAGGTAACCACACATTGATGTTTCTCTCCCTCTCTTTCTCCCTCCCTTCCCCTCTCTCTAAAAATAAGTGAAAAAGAAAATGTTTAAAAAAAAGAAAGAAATTAAAAAAAAAAGAAACAGTATAGGAACAAAGGAAGTAGGAATAATTATTTTTCATTGTGATCACCTCTTAAAGATTACTCTTTAATATTTAAAATGAATACATGATTTTAAATATGTAATGTAGAAAGTGAAATTCCCTTATAATCTCATTTAATGGCATTTTGAGATGTAATTCAGTTATACCATTCACTTGCCAAGATTGGGTATTTTTCATATTTTACAATCTAAACAGTGTCAAATGACATCAAGCAATGATATTTTTTAGAATGTTACTGATGTCGAACATCTCATTACAGCCTTATCAGCCACTTGTTTTTCTTCTGCAAAATGTCCATTCATATTCTTGCTCCACTATTGGATTGGACTGTTTTTCTTTTTTTTAAGATTTCATTGATTTATTCTTAGAGAGAGTGGAAGGGATGGAAAAAGAAGTGAGAGAAACATCAATGTACAAGAGATACATCCATCTGTTGCCTCTCACATGCCCCTAAATGGGGACCCAGGCGTGCACCCTGGCTGGGAATAGAACACGTGACCTTTCCGTTTACAGGCCGGCACTCAATCCACTGGGCCACACCAGCCAGGGTTGTTTTTTCTTATTTGTAAAAATATATCATATTATGGCTAATAAACACTGTCTTCCATCTCAGTTCTTTTCATTTTAGAACATATTGAGGCCTTCCTTCCATATCAAAATATGAATCTGTCTACCTCATGCCTTTTGAAATAGCAACAGAAACTTTGAAACTTCCTTTTTTAAGTTTATAGTACCAGATCTAAATCATCAGCTTCCCCTGTCCTGGAACAGACCAATTTCATATTTCCCACTTGTTTCAGACCTGGAGACCAGCTTGGCCATGACTCAGGGGACACCTCCAGAAAGGAGTATTTCCGAAGAGGCAGCTTCCCCAGTGGGAAAGATGGAGGGAGTTTTAAAGGCCATGCTTGGAGATGCCAAGTTGGGGGAATCCTGGATGTACAATTGCCACTTGGAGGCCCAGGGAAAGCAGGAGAGGCATTTGAGGTGTTTGTTTGCTTCTCCCAAGGAAGATGTCTGTGGGGACAGAGGCCTGGGCTGTAACGAGCTTCAGAGAAGCTCCGGGCGGACCTCAGGTTTCATCAGGAAGCAGAGAGTGCCCGGGGCAGAGAGGCCTCGGAAATGGGATGGGTCGAAATGCCAAAGGGCCTTTGTAGAGAAGAAGCCCTTTCACTGCCCAGAATGTGGGAAAGCCTTCGCTTACCATTCAGACTACACCCTGCACCAGAGAATCCACACGGGAGAGAAACCCTACAAGTGCAATGACTGCGGGAAGGCGTTCAGCAACAGCTCGTATTTCATTCAGCATCACATTAGTCACACAGGAGAGAAGCCCTACGTGTGCAACGAATGTGGCAAGACCTTTACTCAGAGCTCATCGCTGACCGAGCATCAGAGGATCCACACTGGGGAGAAACCATACCAATGCAGGGAATGTGGGAAGGCCTTCACCCAGAGCTCCTCCCTCATTAAGCACCAGCGATGCCACACTGGGGAGAAGCCGTATAAATGCGACCAGTGTGGGAAGTTCTACTCTCAGGTGTCCCACCTCACCCGCCACCAGAAAATCCACATGGGGTTGAAGCCCTACAGATGTGGCGAGTGTGGCAAGGCGTTCTGTCACACCTCCTCCCTGACCCAGCACCAGACGATCCACACCGGGGAGAAACCCTACAGATGTAACGAGTGCGGGAAAAACTTCAGCCACAGCTCATCCCTGACCCAGCACCAGCGGGTTCACACGGGAGAAAAACCCTATGAGTGCTCCGAGTGTGGCAAAGCCTTCAGCCACAGCTCGTCCCTGACTCAGCATCAGAGGATTCACACCGGCGAGAAGCCCTACGAGTGTCACGAGTGCGGGAAGGCTTACACACAGATCTCCCACTTCATGAGGCACCAGAGCGTTCACATGGGGGAAAAACCCTTTATGTGTAATGAGTGTGGCAAGGCTTTCGGTCACAGCTCCTCCTTTACACAACACCAGATGACTCACACCGGTGAGAAGCCCTACAGATGTAACGAGTGTGGGAAAACCTTCAGCCAGAACTCCTCCCTGACGCGCCACCAAAGGATCCACACCGGAGAGAAGCCCTACGAGTGTAACGTTTGCGGGAAAGCCTATACCCAGATTTCCCACCTCATTCAGCACCAGAGGATTCACACTGGAGAGAAACCTTATGAGTGCAGCGACTGTGGGAAAGCTTTTAGTCGGAGCACCCACCTTCTGGAGCATCAGAAAATCCACACAGGAGAGAAACCGTATAAGTGTAAGGAGTGTGGGAAGACATTCGGTCACAACTCGTCCCTTACTCTGCATCAGAGGATTCACACTGGTGAGAAACCCTACACCTGCAAGGAATGTGGGAAAGCCTTCAACCAGAGCATTCACCTTATTCAACACCAGAAAGTTCACACGGGTGGCAGGCCATGTAGAGAATGTGGAGAGGATTTCAGCTGGAGCTCACAGCTGGCCGAACATCAGAGACTTCACACTGCACAGCACTTATGTCTGTGGTGATTTTGAGAAAACCTTTGTTTGGAGGACGCAGCTTGCTGATCATCAGAGAACTCATGCTGATTAGAAAACCTAAGAATGAGCCCTGGCTGGTGTAGCTCAGTGGATTGAGCGTGGGCCTGTGAACCAAAGGATCATGGTTTGATTCCCAGTCAGGGCACATGTCTGGGTTGCAAGCCAGTTCCCAGCAGGGGATGCAAGAGAAGCAACCACACATTGATATTTCTCTCCCTTTCTTTCTCCCTCCCTTTCCCTCTAAGGATAAATAAGTAAAATCTTAAAAAAAAAAAAAAAAGAAATGAAAGAAAACCTGAGAATGGAACAAACCAGTATTTCCATTGCCGAGTTCAATTCAGCCCTCAGTAGCACTAGCAACTTCTTCCCAGAGAGGAACTTGTACACTACACATTGAGACAACTGGCCTCTTTCTTTCCTAAAGGAGGAAAGAGATTATCACCAGCTGGGACAGTTTCTCATCATTTTAGCTCTCAAATCTCAATATCCTCCTTATTTCTCAACCTTACTGTGTCACTAAGGGGTGTTCTAACTGGGGTGCAGATACATCTGGGATCTTTGATAAGGTCTCTCTGAGCTTTTTACATGTTTTGATTGTCCATTAAATTAGAACTGAAAATTCAAGGAAAAAAGTCAACTGGAAAGAGTAGTCCTTTTAGTCTCCTTTAAAACTTTAAGATACCAATTTCACCGCAGAATCTGCAGCTTGCTCAGACACCAAATGTGTTTCACATGTTTACAGCCATTTTTTATGTTCTGTTTCTGTCTCTTCCGTTGTCAGTATTTGTACTTTACAAAGCGGTTGCCCTGTCAACATCATTTTTCTGATTTTATTCATTCCCAAAGGGATGTATTTCTCTTTTTTTAAAGATTTTATTTCTTTATTTTAGACATAAGAGAAGGGAGGGGAAAAGAGGGAAAGAAACATCAATGTTCCGTTGCATCTGGCCTGCCCCCTCCTGGGGACCTGACCTGGCCGGTCACCCAGGCACGTTCTCTGACTGGAAATCGAAACAGCGACCCTTTGGTTCACAGGCCGGCACTCAATCCATTGAGCCACACCAGCCAAGGCCCAATCAATAAATGTTTTCAAAACTTTAAATTTTAGCTAGGTAGGTAAAATAGTATTTTTTTTTCTTCCTTATTCTCTTCTGGGCTGAAGTAGGAACGCTTCCCTCCTGTGAGAAACCTTCCTTAATCAACTCCTCCAGTTCTGCCATACTCCATTTTCCTTCCTTCCTTGTGCTCTAACATACTTATTCCATTAAGTTTTATGAGCAAAGCACGCTCTTTTGTTGCGCGTTCGTAACACTTAAAAGCACCTCAAATGAAGGGACTCTCGCCTAGACCTAGCGTTTAGTTGCCAAGGAGACAGACTCGTCCTTTCCGGAGTTGACGGTTGCCCTGGAGACGGACCCTGGAGAGGCTTAGTTTTCAGAATGTAGCCTGGGGAAACGAATTCTGTAGACATCTTCTCTTTCTCCATTCCGCCTCCGGAAGCCAGAAAAAGTGCCTTACATGAGTGTACCCCAAGCGGCAGCCACCCGGGATTCCAGGGTAACTTTCACCTTTACCATCTTCAGACCACGATGGCAAGATATTGAGAAGCCAGAATCCCGTGGGCATCTGGGAAGTGTAAGTCTTCTGGGAATCCGCGCAGGCGCAGAAGCATACGCGGCAAAGGCGCTGCGGACTCAACGATTTCGCTACAATGGACAGAACTGTGGGAAGCGAGCTCCGCGTTGGAGGCCGACCCGAGGTTCAAGACCCAATTGCCAGGTACTAGAGGTCCCCACCTTTGGCCGGAAGAGCGTCCTCAAGCAGCTTGGGGGTCTTCGGCCACTTAGGGGGATGGAGAGGCAAGAGAAGGGGGGGTGGCTGGGTGAGGCCGGCTGGATGAGGCCAGGCGTGGGCAAGATTAGAGGCTGCCTGGAGAGTGTAGGGGCGTGGCTATGAGCAGGGCTAGCGCGGGGATTGGCTGGCCAGGGGGTGGACTTTGGGTGGGACTGAGCCGGTGAAGCCGGAGTGAGCGGATCGGGCTGTTTGAGAATCCTCATACTCAGGATGGATTGGGAATTCGCCAGGGTTGTTCACAGATCTCCCCTTGGTCTGGGGATTCATTGGCTGAACTGAATGCTGTGGCACCACTTTTTTTTGCTGAGTTTCGGTTTCTAAGCTCAATTTTTAAGGAAGTAAATGTTTAGTATTTTTCAATCACTTATTGCTAGGTGTTGCGTTAAGTTTGAGTTTAAGAGCTAGGGTTCCAACTTTATAAATGATACTCTTACGAAATAAATAACTAAAATTTATAGTACTAAAATGTGTTGAGTGCTTATTATGAACCAAGGGTAGTGTTGAAAAATAGGGGGTTGCTTTTAATGCCAATAGTTACTAAAAAATATTATCCTGAAACAATTAATATGTATGCATACTGGGTACCAGGCACAGCTCTAAACATTTATCCTCAGGGACCAGTGGAGTCCCTGCTATTGTTATTGCTACATTGTTACGTATAAGGAAACAGGTGCACAGGGGTGATGGCGCCTGCCCAGGGTCAACAGCTGGTAAAGGACAGAACGCCAGTCTTTGTTTTGGGCATACTGGTTAGGGATTCAGCGTTGGAGCCTGACTGCTTAGGTTCAAATCCTGGCTCTAGCAGTTTCACACTGAACCCCAGTTGACAGAGGGAAGTCCCCTTAACCCTTTAGCCAGAATGTGTCCACTTTTTTTTTAAAGATTTTATTTATCTTTAGAGGGGAAAGGAAGGAGAGAGGGAGAGAAATATCAATGCATGGTTGCCTCTTGTGAGTCCCCTGCCGGGAACCGGCCTGCAACCCAGGCATATATACCCTGACTGGGAATCGAACCTCGATACTCTGGTTCACAGGCCTGTGCTCAATCCACTGAGCTACACGAGCCAGGGGTAGAATGTGTCCACTTTTATGTTTTTATACAGGGAGTCCTTAGCTACAATTTCTTAAAACAGCATCTTCTCAATGTTAAGCATCTACATGATACCTTGATTTTTGTTCTCCTGAGATGCCAATGGCTTCCACCCAGATTCTATTTATTTCATTCAGTGCCCTAGAACACTTGTGACCATGACTCTGAATAGACAACCAGTGTCACTTGCCATGAATGGAAGTTGGCAGTAAGGTGGTGATAAAAACCACAGTTTTCATATTTTTGGTGGATAACACCGTCCACCCAAAGTGCGGAGTTTGAGTCTTGCTCTGCCCATCCGAAGACATGAGATGTAAGGTGTTAAAGCCATTGAGGTAACTCAGAAGCATCAAGACTTGAAAAGGACCCTGACTTGTGTGGCTCAGTGGATTAAATGCTGGCCTATGAACCAAAGGGTCACTGGTTTGATTCCCAGGCAGGACACAGGCCTGGGTTGCAGGCCAGATCCCCAGTAGGGGGTGCATAAGAAGCAACCACACATTGATGTTTCTCTCCCTCTATTTCTCCCTCCCTTTCCCTCTAAAAATAAAATCCTTAAAAAAATTTTTTAAAAGACTTGAAAAGGGAGTTACTTTCTCAGTGTCGTCTTCCAAAATATTGGAAGATATTCCTTACCCTTCAGAAAACACTAGTAAGAGTTCTGTGAGCAAGAAACTGGAAAACCATTGCTGTAGGTCATAGTAATCCCAAATAATGAGGGGAAAAATAGGCTGGGACTGGCATTTTTGAAAGGCTTTAGAAAGGGATTTAAAGAAACCTCTTCTATAGCAACCCAAGACTTAAAATCTCCCACAGGAGATTATACTTAAAATCTGCACAGGAGAGAAGAGGAAGCTAATACGTACTAGGTGGAAGGGGTTACCTTCAAAGTGCTGCTGCACATGGGGAAGAAGCACTTTTGTTTTGCTCTGAACATTTTTATATTGCCGGAATTAAAAAGAAAAAAGAATGTAATTGTGCATTACTTCAGTAGTACCTGGCCACTGTGGAAAGCCCAGGAAACACCACAAAGTATGAGGAAGAAACTTATTTAACTCAGAAACAAATACTTATTTCAAGATTTTGGTGAATTTCCTTCACCTTTTTTTCCTTTTATCACCATTTGTTGGAAATATCCTAAAGGCTGAACTCCTGCTTGTATCCTATCATGAGCCCTTCCCAATATCATCAGGAAGACTTCAAGAAAGTGCTGATGGGGCTAGACTTTACTGAGGCCATATGGTTCTCATCTTTTTTTTTTAATTAATTATTTTTAGAGAGGGGAGGGAGGGAGAAAAACATTGATGTGTGAGAAATAAATACATCAATCAGTTGCCTCTTGCATGCCAACTGGGGACCTGGCCCGCAGCCCAGGCACATGCCCTGACTGGGAATCCAACTGACCACTTTTTGGTTCACAGACTGGCACTCAACCCACTGAGCCACACCATCCAGGGCTCGGTTCTCGTCTGTTGGGCACAGAGGAGATGGCACTTCCCAGCCCTTTTGCAGTTGAGCCAAAGTGACTGGTTCTGACCAAGGGGCACATGAATGGAAATGCTCTGTGGCACTTTCAGGCTGAGGCAGTGATAAACTCCTGCAGGAGCTTGCAGGTCCCTCTTTTCCTGCTGTGGTAACCAAGGCCACATGTTCCAGCTGGTGGGGCTATACCCTGGTCTCTCAGGTGGACAGGACAGACCTAGCCACACACTGTCCCCAGCCCCTGTCAACACACAGTGGACATGTAGTGTGACCCAAATAAACCTTTGTTCTGTTCAGCCACTGAGATCTGACACTTAACTGTGTTACCACATCATAATCTAGTTCTTCCTGACACAGCAGCCTATCAGCAGGGGTGCGTGTTAGGCTTTAGTTAACTCAGTGCTCCCCAACCCTCATTCAGTTATATACCACTGTCAGTTTTTGCTGTGCGTGTGCATCATGTACGTCCTTTTTAAATCAGTTTACTTTTTTCCCCTTAAATCGATTTATTTTTAAAAAGGACTTTCTACCACTACCATGAGCGGGAAACTAGTTATCTTTTGTTAGTAAAGGAAAAAAAGGGGGGAGAATTAAAATTAAGTGCCAACAGAGCCAAGTAATATTAAATTCTAGCTAGAATTATTGCCAGAGCCTGAGGCCTGCTGTGTCTTTGTAGAGATAAGTAAGTACCATGCCATCCATGCTTTCTCCTTGATTAATTAGGGTTGCACCAGAATGGAAAAGTGTGGTTTGGTGATGCATCTGAGGATGGGATGAAGTTGTTTGGTTTCCCTTCCAGTCTGTGGGAAAACATGTTTAACTGCCCTCTTTTTTGTTTATTTATTTTTTTAAAATTTCAGATGGGAGCCCTGGCTGGTGTAGCTCAGTGGATTGAGCGCGGGCCTGCGAACCAGACAGTCGCGGTTCGATCCCAGTCAGGGCACACACTGGGGTTGCAGGCAGGTTCCCTGCAGGCCAGTTCCCAGCAGGGGACGCATGAAAGGCAACCATACATTGATGTTTCTCTCCCTCTCTCCTTCCCTTCCCCTCTAAAGATAAATAAATAAAATCTTTAAAAATTAAAAAAAAAATTTAAAATTTCAGATGGGGAGGGAGAAAGAGAGGAAGAGAAACATCAATGTTTGGTTGCCTTTCACGTGACCCCCTGCAACCCAGGGGACCTGGCCTGCAACCCAGGCATGTGCCCTGACTGGGAATTGAACCAGCGACCCTTTGATTCGCAGGCCAGCGCTCAATCCACTGAGCCACACCAGCCAGGGCTAACTGCCCTCTCAATAAGGGATGGTCTTCACCACTGCAAGCCCTCCCGCTCCACTGGAACATGAAAACCGGCAGGTAGGGCCTCTGTACATCCAGTACCTGGCCAGGCATGTGGCACCAGGCTGAGAGAAGGAACCAACACCTTGAGATTCAAAACTTTAATTGGAAATAGGGGAGGGATTTAGAGGAACTAGCATAAAGGACACATGGACAACAGCTAAGGGGGGTGGAAATGGGAGGGAGGTGGGGAGCATGGGGGTGGGCTGGGATGGGAGTAAAAGACAGAAAACTGTACTTGAAAAATAATTTAAAAAAAAACTTTAATCAGAAAACCAACATATACACAAGGGCATTTCTACCCTGGCCCTCAATACAGGTCATTAGTTACAGAAACTGCCTCCCCCGCCACTCCCATGGCTGATTTTCCAAAGCGTCTCTGACCTGTGTGTGCGCTGTCAAAACTTCATTGGACACACTTCTCGATTTGAGCCTCCACCTCTGGCCTACCCTGAATACTTTGTAATCCCCTTTGGTATGCAGCAGGCCTGTCGCCCAGACCAGATCATGCACAGGGAGCTGTACGTTCTGGTCGACAGAAAACCAGTGTGCTCCCCACTGTGTAGTGGGCCCAATGATCAACCACTAAATTCCAAGTTTCAACAACAGAACCAACCAGCAGAACTCAAGGCACAAGGTTTTAAAAGTCCAGGAGCACAGGGCACATACTCCTAAACTTTTTTAGCACCAAGAATATGAAAGATATTAAGAGTCCAGTGTCCTCATAAGATTCTGTTTGTGCTTCAGTAAACACATGACTTGCTCGCTTAGTGGGCAGGGCACGAAAGCCCGGAGATGAGGTGCCATCAAGAGGGAGAAGAAGGCTGTGTGGTTCCATGAGGTGAGTCTCTGCTGAACAGGCCTGGCCAAGGCGATCTGCTGACGGCTCCAAGAGGAAGGCTCATTTTCTCACGGGGCTCTCCAGCAGTCCTCAGTGGCCCCAGAACTTACCGTGCCATGAGGGAATGTGGCATTTTAAGATGTCACTTGTCAAGAACAGCACTCCCTATGAAAATGGTACCATCCGTTTCCCTTGGATTCCAGAAACTTCAAGGCAAGGGCAGGGTTTACCACATTGATATTCCCTGCCCTGGTGCCTAGCAAAGCGCCTGGTGAGTCGTCAGCTTAGAAAAATGGTGTTTGAAGAACATTCTGGTAATCAATCGCAGTTTTCACAGTCCATTACAATTTTCACAAGCCTGTCCTCTGTGTAGTGTTAACTGTGGCAATACCCAGTGCAGCTTTCCTGACTGAATCCAGCTGTTTCCAGTGTCATTAACTCCCATGACAAATTTGGTATCATTTTAAATATAACCAAACAACTTGAAATGGGGGATTATGGGAAAAGGTAGCATGTCAATGTGGAAAGGGTCCGTCTGAATGAGAGGTATGAAAGGTTAGGAGGTAGAACGTTTTGGCCATTTGATGTTAGTTTAAATGTTCTTATTGGCTTTCTGTGGACTAGTTAATACTAGGACAGAGCAGAGATGGAGGGAAGGACAAGGTTAGACTTAAAAAACAAGATTCATTCATGTGCCAAGTTTGGGGAACCAAATTAAGCCAAAGGCATTTTGGATAAAAACTTTAAAAAAATAAATAAAAGACATTAGCTATGGCTGGTGTGGCTCAGTGGACTGAGTGCCAGCCTGCGAACCATAGGGTCACTGGTTCAATTCCCAGTCAGGGTACATGCCTGAGTTGTGGGCCAGGTCCCTAGGAGAGGATGCATGAGAGGCAACGAGCCATTGAGGTTTTCCTGTTTCTTTTTTCCTTCCCTTCTCCTCTCTCTCAAAATAAATAATAAAATCTTTAAAAAAAATTAAGACATTAACTACGGTAAAGAGGTAGAAGGTTGCTAAGTCTTCTAACGTAAAAGAGTGTATGTGATGCATGTATATAGCTCATGCTTGGTGAGAACTATGTGCGGGGCATTCAGTTCTAAGTGCTTTGCACCTATTTGTCCTCACAGCAGCCCTCTCCGAGGTAGGTAACTACTGTATACTGGGGCCCTGAGAGGTTCCATGAGTCAGCAGGTCACTTAGGTGGCAGAGGTGAGGTTTACATCCGGCAGACTGTCTCCAGAGTCTATCTGTGAATTTGGATGCTACACAGCTTCTTTTTTTGTTGTCATTGTTTTAATGAAACCTGTGTGCAAATTTTCCTAGTCAATCTTTATTAATAAAGAGATTTGTCTATTCTGCAGGGGGTGAGGGGAGGATGGACTTACCATGTGATGGTTTCAACTTTAGGTCTCAGATGTTGGGCCCTGCTGCCACCTGGCAGCCACAAGTAGTATTGCTACTTGTTACTTTTGAGTGTGGACTTTCTATCAGTGTCGGCAGACACCTACGTAGAAGCGGAAGGCTTTCTGACAGTGTTGACACTGATATGGTTTCTCTTGGGTGTGAATTCTCTGGTGCTCACTGAGATGCGCTCTGAAGCCAAAGGCTTTCCCACACACATGGCATTCTCCCCAGTGTGAATTCTCTCATGCTGCCTCAGATTTGCTTTCTGGGAAAAGCCTTTCCCACATGAGACACACCGAAAGGGCTTTTCCCCAGTGTGAACTCTCCAATGAACAGAAAGGCATGAGCTCTAGCTGAAGGCTTTCCCACATTCCTGACAAAAGTAAGGCTTTTCCCCAGTGTGAACTCTCTAGTGTCGAGTAAGTGGAGCATTCAGGCTGAAGGTTTTTTCACAGTCGCCACATTTACAGGGTTTCTCACAGATGTGAACCCTCTGATGCTTAGAAAGGTGCCGCTCAAAAGATGGCTTTCTAGTATGACTTCTCTGATGCTGAGTGAGGTACTTACTGTGCCCAAAGGCTGTGGCACACTGGTTACATTGGAAGGGTTTTTCTACAGTGTGAATTAACTGATGTTCTGAGAGATGTGCATTGTGACTGAACGTCTTTCCACATTCATTACACTTAAAGGGGCACTCGCTCTTGTGTAGGCATTGATGTTTGGTGAGGGAGGTGCTACGGGTGAAGGCCTTCCCACAGTCCCCGCATTTATATGGCCTCACTCCAGAGTGGCTCATCTGGTGGCGAGTGAGTTGTGTACTTTGGTCAAAGGCTTTCTTACACTGGTTACACTCAAAGGGCTTCTCCCTGGTGTGAAGCCTCTCATGCTGAGTCAGGTATTTGCTGCAGCCGAAGGTTTTCTCGCATTTGTTACACTTAAAGGGCTCCTCGGCAGTTCCCGGATGCTCTTTTTGTTCTAGGTTCTGATTCAAGATCTTTCCACTCTCATCAAGTCCTTGTTCTTGAGTGTGAATTCTCTGGTGGCTAGTTAGGGTCGAGCTGCAAATGAAGTGCTCACCACACTCCTGACATTCATGGCGGGTTTCCACGGCGTGGATTTTCTGGTGTTGAACAAGGTCTTCATTATGGCTAAAGGTCTCCTTGCATTCGGCACAGCTGTAGGGCTTTTCCGTGGCATGAACAGACTGGTGTCGCATCAGGTGGGAAGGCCGGTTGAAACTCTTGGTGCACTTGTCACATTTGTGGGGCCGGTAGCCCGTGTGAATCCTCTGATGTTCACTCAAGTGAGTGTTCCGGTAGAAGGCTTTCCCACACTCATTGCATTTGTAAGGCTTCTCTCTACTGTGAACCTTTTGGTGGCTCCTTAGGGTCAAGACATAGCTGAAGGCTTTCCCACACTCATCACATTTATACGGCTTTTCTCCAGTGTGAACGGACTGGTGTTTGATGAGGGATGACCTCTGCCTGAAGGCCTTTCCGCATTCCTGACACTCAGGGGTAGTTTTCACAGCATGAATCTTCTGATGTTGGAGCAGGTGTTTGTTAAAGTTGAAGGTGGCCTTGCATTTGGCACATTCATAGCGTTTCTGCACGTGGGTCTTCTGATGCTGAGTAAGAGGAATGGTTTGGCTGAAACTCTTGCCACACTCATTGTACTTGTAGGATTTACCACCTTTGTGGGTTTTGTGCTGCTCAACAGGCTGTGAGCCAGGACCTGGTGGGTGGTCACTGTCCTGACTCTTACATGTTTCTTCTTCAGTGTGAATTTTCTGATGTAACAGAAGGTGTGTGTTGTGACTAAAAGTTTCCCCGCACTTGTCGCACACATAGGATGCATGGTCTGTGTGAATCACTGGATACTCAAAAAGGCAAGAACTCTGGTCGGAACTATTCTCATCCTCTTCATTCCCAGTTGGTTTCTCCCTCATATGAATAATCCAGTGCTGCAGGAGATCGCAACTCCGGCTGAAGTTCTTCCCGCATTCACTACATTTATATGGTTTCACACCTTCCTGGACAGTATCCTGCTGACTCTGCCCTGAGTGGGAGCCGAAGTCATTCCTACACTCCTGAGACTGAGCTGGCATCAGGCTCTTCTCGGAAACATCAGAGATCAGGGAATCCTCTCCAGTGAAAAGGAGGGACTCAAGACTGAGGCTGCTCTTGAGTTCATGACCCCTGCACTCTGTGGGACTTTCCTTGTTGGTGACAGTGTCAGAGCTCAGAAGAGTTTCTGGATCTCCTAGCAAATTATCCAACCAGCTCTCACCCACACAGGCTTCTCCCAAGTTAGGGTTCCAGAGGCCATCCTTGGAAAACATCTCCGTAATCTCCTGAGAGAGCCTTTCTTCCGAGAATTCTTGCAGCACAGAGATCTTGGCCTCAGCTGTGTCTGAAAGAGAGAAAGTGTGAATGCCTTCTGTTTGCCTGGGTGAAAAGACGAGCTGCAGGGCGAGAACACAGACGAGACAGAGAACAGGGGATGGGTCCTGAGTCAGGCCTGTCCATCAGGGGATGAAGAAGAGGTCAAAATGGTGATCCAGTTGGAACTGGCATCACAGGAAATGGGAAACCCATGTCCAAGAGGATTTAAAGACAGGAGCTGGGCAACTGCAGGGCCTCCATGGGGTAGTGGGGGGGCCTCTTGGCAGACATACTCCATCATCATCCTCATCAGCTGAGATGTACTTCCTAGAGAAGAACACTGACCAAGAGACAAGAGATATAAATGATAATAATGCCATACAACTGTTAACACAAAGGCTGTATCTAGCCATTGATAAAGTCGCAGGCGCTTAGAAACAGCCTTATGTTAAAGTGGCAGAAAGAGAAATCCAAGAGAGCAGGAATCTGTGCCTGGGTTAGTCACCTGCGTGAGAACACTGCAGGAGACTGCCGGATGAGCCAAGAATGGACCTGCACGCTGACCAACACGTGCAGCCACCACTCTACGGTTTCTGGTTCGGGATCCTTCTCTTAACAATCAAACCATGAAAAAAAGTCTGTTGTGCCCTAGGCAAGGCCCCTGCCTCTTCTTTCTCCCAGTGGGGACATCTTGACCAGCTTCCCCTGGGGGAACCGTGGCCTGGGAGAGAGCAGAGCAAGTGCTCACGCTTGAGTTGTGGCCGTCTGCTCTGCTCCGTGGGCCAGGAAGGGGGGCTGGGCCTGCATAAAGGGGTCGAAATATGTAGACCAAGGTGTCCACAGTATTCAGGGGACATGAAGCAGTAAGATAGAGACCAGCTTAGGAAATGGAAGGCTGCCCCCTGCTGAGTCTGGAAGGACCAAGGAGGGGACAGGAAAGGTACCGGGACAGCCATGTGCTGTACACTGAGGTAGACAGAGACAAGGCAGGCATGCAGAATGAGGGTCCTCATCTCTGTCAGGACAAAGGGACAGAAGCCAGCATGTGGAAGACTAAAATCCCAGAGGCTGGGGGTGCTGAAGTTTGGGGTCCATGAGAGCACAGAGGGCCATGCCCCTGGATCCTCCCACCCTCCCACTGGGGGCTGGTGGCCCCTCCTCTCCCACTCACCAGGGCCCGTCACTTCTGAACCTCCTCTCACCAGGTTCTTCCGCTCTTCTCCACCATCTGCATCGGTCAGGCTGGGTCTGAGGGGGTCTGCAGGGAGAGAACAGCATTGTTGTCAACCAGGACGTGGAGGACATCCAGCTGCTCAATGGGAACCTTCTGGATCTCTTGACTGTGCAATGCTCTATCCAGCATGCTTTATCTAGCTGCAGTGCTAGCTGACTGCAGGGACACCCACCCTGCAGGGTTCCTGGTCCAGTGGAAGAGGGCCTGAGACAGTCATAATCCAGGATGGTCAGAGCTATGACAGCTGGGGCTGTGGGCACAGGACTTACAACACCTCAAGGGATTAGCAGAACTTGCAAGGTGAAGAGGCCCACACATAACCATTCATGGTTCACTCATTTACGTATAGACCACACATCGTCCGAGGCCTCTGGGGATTGGGCCCCATGATTGAGGACGTCGGGATTCTAGAGCTCAAGCAGTCCTGCACAGTGTCCTGCCCCAAATTCCTCAAGGAAAGGAGCCAAGTCACAATCCAGGGGAAAGGCCACTGCCGGCTTCAAAGATGAAGGAAGGCACTATAAGGCAAGCAGAGGAGGAGGCTTCTAGAAGCTGAGAAGGGGCAAGGAAACAGATTCTCCCCTGGGGCCAGCCCTGCCAACACCTATTTTTAGCTCAGTCAGGTCCATCTTAAGCTTCTGACCCACAGAACCGTAAGAATGTGTTGTTTTAAGCTGCTACACTTGTGGCATTTGTAGAAGCAACCATAGGAAACCCATACATATACACAGATGAGCAGGGGAGTCAAAGGAAATGCATTTCTCCTGCAGGCTGGAGCTGAAACACTGAAAAGATGCTGAGTCCGGACCTCCCCGAAGCTGCTTTGATAGCACCTATTGGGTACAGTTTGGAGAAAACCTATCCCAATGTGATAAAATTACATATAGTTTCCAGTATATAATCTTTTCTTTTTCTCATCTTTTGGAGTAAATTCCTCTGTTTTTGGAAAGGGAATGAATGGATCCAACTGAGGTGAGTATTATGGAGCTGGGACTCTGGGACCCTGCAGCTGCACAGGTCCCAAGCAAAGTCTCAGCCGCACCGCTTGCTTACCGTGCGATGCTGGGGGTCACAGCCTGAGAAAGAGGCTAACAGAGCAGGCTGGCTGCTCTCCATGGAAAAGCCTGCTCTCAAGGCTGCCCTGGGCTGCTGCTGCTGTCTGGGAACCTGGATTTCAGGAGGGTTCCCGCATTCTCTGACTAATCAGAGGGGCTCTGTGTGCCCAAACTGTTCTGCTGAACACCTGCTTTCCTTCTGAGTGTCTGCAGTGTTGGTGTGTTCCAGGCAGAGAGAGTGCCTCCATGACCAGCCCTGGGTGTGAGTCTCTAAGGAGCATCCCTGGTCAACATCTCACACATGCTGTCACACCTCGTTGCTGGGGGAATTAAATGCGTCCTGTGTGACTCCATAGGGAGAGGGCTCTGGAAGTTGTCTCCCATCTCCCGTGCACTTGACCCCCATGTGCCTTTCCCCTTACTAACTGTGCTGTGTGTCCTTTCACTGTCACGGATCATGGCATAAGGACAACTCTACAGTGAGTCCTGCACATCCTAATAAATCACCAAACCTGGGGGTAGTCCTGGGAACCTAAATGTGGCTACGAAAATGACTCTCCCTCTTTCAATAGGTTTAAGAAAGCTCAGCAAAATAGGGAGAGTCAAATTTCCTCACAGGGTAACTGGAAGACTGAAGGAAAGAGTTTTGAGGACTCACTCAGCCCGGGACCTGGCTCCTGACACAGCATCTCTCACTGTTCATTCATTTATTAACTAAGGAGCCGTTTACTGACTCCCCATGGCAGGTATTGCTTGCTGCAAGTGCTGGTGTCCACCAGTGAGCAGCACAGGTGCCCTCAGGGAGCTTCCATCTGGCAGGAGGAGACAGACCATAGAAGCAGCAGCCAGAAAATGAAGGAGGGGTAGCAAGCAAAGCAGGAGAGAGAGGAGAGAGTATTAATGGGGTTGCAATTTCAGTCTTAGGGAAGCCCCAAGACAAGGAAGGGACAAGAATCTTACAGGCAGAGGGGAGAGCAAATGTGAAGACCCCAAAGTGTCAGCACAAGGAATCACTCTATAATGACAAACAGCAAAGTGCTGCTGAAGCTGTGGTAGCAGACGGGCTGGTGCCGGGCTTGTCAACCGTGCCACCGAATGCATTGGGGTCAGGTAATCCTTAGTTGTAAGGGTTATGCCTGCATGCTAGGATGTGTCACCAGGCATTGCTAATGTCCCCTGGGGGACTCAGCCAGCTGAGCATTACTGAGCTACATCATGCTGGCTCCGACATGTTCAGGAGCTGCGAGTCCATCCTGGGGGTGACAGGGAGCCACGGGGGATCCCCAAGCAAGGCTGGGGCACATACTCACTCAGCAAGAAGAGATTCTGGTAGTTGTCCAGTGCCTTGTCCCAAAACAGGTCCTCCTGGTCCAGCCCCAGCTGCTCCCAGTCCTCCAAAGTGAAGTCCATGGCCACGTCCCCGAGGGTCACAAATTACTGAAACACAACACACTGTCAGTGACTCCAGAGCTGGGGAGGGGCCCAATGACTCACTCAGTGTACCCCACCCCCACCCGCAGTATGCCAGGCCTTTGGAAAAATTGTCTTGCAAGGACCTTCCGACTAAGAGACAGGGTGTCCCCATATATTGTAGGCAAGGGCACAGTCTTGGTGAAGGGACACATGCAGGACTTAAACCCAGGATCAATGGATCCTAAAATCCATTGATTTCTGGCTTTTGCTTATTCAATGTTTGTTCAAGATTTGAAGCTTTTATTATGGAAATTTTCAAACGTTCCCAAATAGAGACATGTATGCAACAAACAGCCACATATCCCTCACCCAGCTTCAATCCCCATCCTATGGACATGTCTGTTTGGTTCATTAAGCCTCCTTTCCCACTTTTATTTTTATTTTTTTGGTAGAGGTGAAAAGGTTTAAAAGTTAATCCCAGGTGGCACCAGATTTCACCTGAGACTACTTCAGTGTTCACAGGAGAACCCCTTACCACTGCACACATATGTACACCACATCCAAAGTCAGTATTCGGATTTGTTCTGCATCTCAATGGTTTTTCCCTTTTTTTTTTCTTTTGGTAAAAGCCATACAAAACCTCCCATCTTAACCAATTTTTAGTGTACAGTCCAGCGGCATTAAGCACATCCACACTGTTGCACAATTATTCCCACCATCCATCTCCAGAAATCTCTTCATCTTGCAAAGCTAAAACTGCGTCCCCACTAAACACTGATTTTCCATTTCCCCTATCCCCAGCCGGTCACCCACCATTCTGCTTTCTGTCTCTGATTTTGACTGGGTTCGATGGTATGTTTTTATAGTTGGCTTGTTTGAATCAGAAACCACGGAGGCCTACGCTTTGTACTGGGCTGATATGCTTTGGAAGGGTTTTTACCTGTACCTGCACCTTTCCGCCTTTTTAATCCCATGCTCCTGATTTGGAGTGCCACATTCTGGATAGAGTGCATCCTCTTGGTGTCATTTAGCTGCTCGTCTGCCTGATGCATTTCCTGGAAACTAGTCAGTGGAGCAGCAGCCTGATTAGATTCAGTACAACATAGAGGGGGCAAGAGCCCTTGTATGTGGTGCTCGATCCACTTCCAGCTACATGACAGCTAGAAGCGTCTGTCTGCCGATTTTAGCGATGCCATCTTACTTAACTTTAAAGGTTCCCAGGGAATAGACTAAAACTTCAAAGCCTGGAGAAGTACTGACCATAAAAAGTGGCAGCTTTCCCCAGCACCCTATTTCCAGGCGAGCCTGGGGCTATCTGGTGCATGCCTTCCAGACCTCCACCAACACACACACACACACACACACACACACACACACACACACACACACACACACATTTCAAGTAAGAACGAAACCTGAGTCTTTAGTTTGGGTCTGACGCATGGCCCCACTACCTTCCTCTGTGGGTAACTGTTGGCAATCAAGTCACATACCCCCTTCAGAGCCCTGATTTCTACCCCATCTCAAGGGCTGCTCTGAGAAGTGACTGAGATGCTGCTGGGAAGCTCCTGCATTGTTCCTGACACACAGGAAGGACTCGACCAAAAGGCAGTTGTGTCTAACCTGGCAGGGCTGACAGATGTAACCAGGGATATACACATCCAGGGCAATTCATTCCACAGTGGGGGCAATGGGCAGTGCTATGGGAGGAGACCAGAGCTGGAGAGGGCTCTGGAAAGGTGAGGGCTGAGTCTCAAAGGCTGTGTAAGACTTACCAGCCATCAAAGGGAGGCTGGGTATTCTAGCAGAGGGCCTGGAAAGTACAGTGGAACATTTTACTACAAGTCCAACAAGGAAGTATGGCTTGTGTGAGTAAAAGGGAAGGTAAGATGCCATGGACGGGCATAGGACCCAGATCATGCAGGAAAAAGCTGAGAAACCTGACTTTTATCCTGTGAGCAATACGGCTCCTGGAAGGGTACTGAGCAGGAGAGTAAGAACGTGAGAGTTTTACTTTAAGATTGCTCAAGGCTTCCGGGCTGGATGGTTCAGTCAGTTGGAGTGTCACCCCATAGTCCAAAAGGTTGCAGGTTCGATCCCTACAGGAGGCAACTGATCAATGTTTGTCTCTCACACCTCACACTTCTCTCTCTCTCTTTCTCTGTTCTTCTGTCTCCCTCCCTCCCCCTTCCGCTCTCTAAAATCAATAAATATATCTCAGATAAGTATTAAAAAGATCACTCATGGCCAGGAGAGCACAGTGCACCAAGAACAAAAGCAGGCCAACTGTGAGGCTTTTGGCGATGATCTGTTAGGCTGGAGGGACCCTCAACTCACCTCAGTAGTAGCTGACTAGGCCCAGCAGTCTGGTTTAAGCTCCCCCTCCTTCCCCTCCACATTCCCAGCTCGCAGGGCTGCAGGAAGGACAAGGTAACTGGGAGAAAGTCTTCCTTCCTTCCAGGGCTGATTTCCTGGCCATGTTGAATGAGCCCCCAAACTGTCCAGAAGTCAGATGAGTCAGGACATCAGTTTCCCTGCAGGAATCACAACTGTTATTTATTGAAACTACCCCGGCCCCAAGTTTCCACTGTGCTTCAGAGCTGACACAACAACTTCACAACCATTCTTAGTACTTAATCACAATCAATAAGTACACATCTGGAACCTGTCTTGCGTACTGCTCTGTCGTAGCACAGCACAGAATATCCGTTAACAGAACATGTATCTCTCATTGAACCCTTGGGACAATGCTTCTGAAAGCCCAGATTATCTGTCCTCTCTAGGATTTGCATCCAAGACAGTTGGCCTCGGACAAACTGTTGCTATTTCAACAGCAGCAGAATTCTTCAACTTTCTTTTTTTAACCTTGACCGACAGTAACATGGACAAACTATACCATGACTGCTCATTCACATGCGTAACTAAACAAAAGCTTCATGAGATAACTCTTAAATCTTACAAAGCAGAGTGTCTGGCATGGTTTTTATTCTAGTCACTTTTTTCACTAAAAAAAAAAAATTATGGTCACTGTAAAACATGGACGGCTTTTTACACATTTGTAGTCCCTGTGAATTTCCTAAGGAGCAGGTGTCCACGGAGCACTGAAAACACTCTGTATCACGAAGCAGCGGGATGACTTAATGACCAAGGTCCACAAATCTTTCAGATTTTACAAAGGTGACACACATTTATACATTATATTTCATTAGAATGCCAGTGCAATGTAGAATTGTAACAGGGTGCAGCCAAGAGGGGGGCCCCAAATAGGGATTTGTAATGGAGTCCAAAACTCGAGGTATCCAGAAAATATTAGAAAAATATATATATGATGCCCTCACCCACCCTGCCAGTGGTCTGTTCTGTAACAGGCCAGGCAGCATTTTGCTATTGAACATTTCAATATTTCCCACTAATCTGTAATTATCCTACCTACAGATAAATACTCCCACTAGGTAGGATAATTACAGATTATAAATTACAGCAGTTCTGGTCAGGTTTGGGCATGAAATTTATGAAAAACAAAAAAGGTCTTCCAAGCTTTCTAGATTTTGTGGCAATGTGATAAGGCATGGGGATTGGGATTAAGGCAATGCGACACGGCAGTAAGTGCTAACATTCACTCAAAGATTTTCTTCACATGAAAGAGGTAAGCCTCAACCTGTGAGTATAATTCAGCCCACAGATACTATATTTGGCCCACGCGGTGTTGGCATATGGGAGGTCTTGAAAGAAAATTACCTCAAGAAGTCCCAAACTGGGATATTTCACCTATACAGATCTCCAGCTTCTGAAAAAAATCTTAGGATCTGGCCATGCTGGGTCTGCATTCCCACGAAGCTAGCTAGATGGGGCTCATTTAAATCTACCTTCACCCCACCTCCAGGAGGTAAATACTCCCTAATGTCCCACAGTCCTCACCAGGCAAATTCTCTCCTTTAGCTGAGCTTAAAGTATCTGTCTAGTTTCCAAATCACGATCTGTCCACATCTCTTGCCACGGGAGAGAAGAAACGGGCACCCTCAAGGTCACCCAGCCTGTCAGAGTGACTTAAGCCAAACCATGGGCCCTGGGGTCTTGCTGTTTGTTAGTGTGGGACGATGGCCAGATCATTCACTCTCTCTGCGCCTCAGTTTCCACATGTTCAAAATGGGCCAAGCACAAGAGATCCGCAGGCACTCATCCGTAATTCTAAAAACCAAAAAAAGCTCTGAAAACCAGAACTTGATTCATAAATTAGCAGCAAAACTTAACCCGAATTGCCCTAGGCAACGTACAGTCCTCTCAGCGTCTATTCAAGCCTTTCCTGGCAGAAATACAGAAATACTCGATTTCCCGGGTCTGATTCCCGAGATAATCCTGGAGCCAGGGACATCCAAGAAAACCAAGGAGCTACACTAATCAGTGGGTATGCGGAGGTCGGAGGAGAAAATGCGAGGGCAGCAGGCACCTGGCACAGAAAGCGCTCAATTAAATGTTCAGTCCTTTGACCTTCAGAAGGAACTCCCATTCATTCACCGCTCAAGATCCTGCCCAACTTTGCCAACAACTTCAAGCAACTCCCATTCATTCATCTCTCAAGATCCTGCCCAACACTGCCAACAACTTCAAACAACCCACCTTCTCGTGCCTCGTTCTCCCCACTCCAAGATAAAGTGACATGGAATCGCTCCTCTCAGGGCTGCCGACGAGGACTGGAAACCACTTAAACAACAGCCTGGCCCGCAACATGCTCTGAACCAGGGTTCAAGACTTTACCTAGACCTACCGCCCAAGGTAACGCGCCCTTTGCCGCGGACGCCAACAGAATTTTCCACTAGCCCTCAGAAAAGACCGGAGCGCCCCGCCCCCCAAGCCTTCGGAGTTCTGTCATCCCAATCCCGGCGTCTCCTCACCTCGAGATTGCAGTCCGCAGTTAAAAGCCGCGACCCCAGCCCGAGGAGAGCCAGAGACCGGATTCCTCTTACAGGTTGCGCGTCACAGGTGCTGCGTCACAGCCACTATCACTGCCTCGTGAACGTACACGGAATTTCTCCACTTGGGAGCCTCCGCGCCAGCGCAAAGACTACGTTTCCCAGAGCGCTGTGCGCATGCCTTCGCACGTCTTCCTAACTTCACCGCATCTCCGTTTTTAGAGGTCCCGCCGGGCACTTTTGTGAGGAGAAACAGAACAGGGGTCAGGTGGCAACTGGGTATTGAAGTCCAGCGTTCTGCCTTTTCTAGAAGAAGGGGAGGCTTTTGATTTATCAAGCGGATAGCAGAGGGTTGCCATAGAAACACGTTGAGACCATAGGACTCTCGTGAAAACGCGCGGAAGGGGCGAAATAGAGGCAAGAGAAATATTGTGACCTCTGCTGATTGGCGAAGAGATGCTTCGCATTTTATTTCTCCTTGCGATTGGCTCCACTCTGGCACATGCGCAGAATCAGGCAGCGTTCCAAAAGGGAAAATAGGGTTGAGCCTTCAGGGAATGATCCCACTGCTAGCCGCGAAGGCTTCTGGGAAATGGAGTTCCGTGGTAGGCAGGTCCGGGGCCGTCGGGGGCGCGGTTGGGGGGGGGGGGTGCGGTCAGCAGCGCCTGCGCGGGCGCAGGGCTGCCTCCGTGCCGAGAATGCGTGCGCTGAGCCTTTCCCTCAAGCGGAAGTTTACGGGGGCCGCTGAGAAGGTGAGTCCCAGTCCCTCAGGTATCCGAGGGTCTACCCCCCCAGGTATTTGGTCTCCACTCCGCTTGTCAAGTTCAGAAGTGAGGGGAAGTTGAGGTGTAGCAGGGAGAAGTCTCTTGTACCCTATAAACAATTCGGTCGAGCTAACATGACGTCAGCACAATTCTTTGTGAGAGGCGGAGTCCCTGGCAGCAGGTTTTGGGACTTATGAAGCTTCTGGTTGCTATCTTAATGGTCCCAAGCCTCTTTGGGCTCTTTGTGGTGGGCGTGGCTGCGGCTGAGACTGGCGGAGGACTGGAAAGTTTGACAGACGCCCCCGCCTTGGCAAATTCTTCCTGGTTTCTGCTTAGGGCGGGCGTAAGGCGAGTCACGGTTTCCTTAACAACGGCCCCTCCTGCGCTACAGTGGAGTCTAGCTTCTAGTTCTTTTACTGTGCTGTGTCTCATAACCTTTAAGAAGGGACACCGTGTTTAACACGTAGATGTTCAGTAAATATTTGTTGAACAAATAAAATAAATGGGTGAATGAATGATAAAGACTAGCCTGAATGTTGGAGTCTTGGGTTTTAGCCGTGCAACCATGGACAGGCGACTTCTGCACTCTTGAGACTTCTTTCTTCCATCTGTATTTATTGAGCCATTACCATAACACTATCTCTGTCTGACCTAATAAATAGTTACTTGCTCACAGTTTATCTTGGTTCCCCCGTCCCCAGAATGTGAGCTTTGTTAGGTGAAGAGCCATGTTTGTTTCTTTTGCTGCTATACTCCCAGTGATTGACAAATATTAGTAGTTCAGTGAATAATTATTGAGTGAATAAATGAAATAAGCACACACTGGCTACAGTAGCCAATGCTCAATAAACATTAACCATTATCTTTCCCTTACATATGAAATGACCTGAGTCAGTCTCTCCACCTTTATTCACTTACAGGATTTGGTTTAAATGGAGATTGCAACCCAGTGAATCTGAGGGCCAGACCTCAACCCCAGAAAGGTACCATGCCCTCAGGCACATGCCCCTTAAGCTGTGTTCACCATGAACAGCCTGCTACTGCTCCATCTCTTCTGTGTCACTGCTCTGGTGCTTTAGACCCAGGAGGACCTGGGTCATGGACGTGACATGGTCACTGGGTAGGCGTTTGCCCCACCCTAGAAGCCATCTTTATGCAAGGACACTTGGCATATTCTGCTTAAAGCCACTTAAAACCCCACAAATTTTCAAATTTTTGTTTCCATGAGTAATCCAGCAAAGTGTCAGTATATTAGTCAGACAAGGCTAGAGTATGCTGTAGTAACAACCCCAAACCTCAGCAGCTTAGTCCAAACACAAGTTTCCCACTAATACAAAGTCTGGGACAGCTCTTCAGGGTCGCCACCTTGCAGTTGCCTTCAAAGGGCTGAATGTAATTTTAGAACTGTATAAACGTAACTACTCCTTAACCAGGGGCAAAGAGCTCTACATTCGGCCTTTTGAAGGCAACCTCAAGGCTGATGTGGCCCCCAGTAAAAGCGAATTTGACACCCATGACCTAGAGGATATCCATTTCAGCGCTGTTGCCACAGCAACAAATTATGAAGTTAAATGACCAATCAGAATCACAGACCTCCAAGAAGCTGAAGGATACCTGGCAGCAGTCTTTGCAGTCAGCTGTCTGATGCACCTGCTGTGTGGCAAATAACGGGGGTGGTTTTACGCCACAGCGTGGTTTCTGCTCTTCTGCAGAGCTAGGGGAGTAGGAACCTTTTTCTCAGCCTTTGCTTTTTCAAGGGTGGGCCCTGCAATTCCACGAGGCAGCACCAGTGGGAATGGAGAGGCCTGAGGGGCTCAGAACTTACAGTATAGAAACAGACAAGGGGAAAGTAGAAATAGTAACAGCACCTAATAAATGAGATACAGGGCTCGATATGGTAATAACAGCCACTACTGTAAAAGGCTTCCCATGGGCCAGGCCCTGTTCTCAGCACTTGGCTATACCGTATTTTTTGGACTATAAGACGCACTTCTGCCTGTGCCTGGGCCCCCCCCCCCCGCCCCAAGTTTGGGAGGAATAATGGTGGTTAATGCTGCTGTTGAGTTCTGTTTACATTTACGTTGGTGAAATATTATGTTATTAAATATTTTACCACATTTTTGGCTTCAAACAATTTTTTTCTATTTTTCCTCTTCCAAAAGCTAGGTGCGTCTTACCGTCCGAAAAATACGGGTAAATGTATTCAGTTAGGCCTCAACACCCACTCTATCAGATAGTTAGAAGCCCCGTTTCACTGGGCAGCATGAAGCACAGACAGGTTAAGTTAGGTGCCCAGCACTCAAGAGACCTTGAATTCAAAACCAGGTAGCCTGGGACAAGAGCCTGTCATTTTAAAGAACTCTTCTGTTCTGCAGTTGCAACAGAGACCAACCTTTGCTGTGAAGAAAGAACAAGGGTTTGGTTAAACTAAGCCAGACACAGAAATATTCTATAACCTCACTTATATGTGGAATCTTAAAAAAAAAAGTTCAATTCCTAGTTCTAGAGAGTAGAATAAGAGGTACCAGTGGCAGGGGGTGGGGGAGGGGGAGATATGGGTCAAAGGGTATACACATTCAGTTATGAAGTGGTTAAGTTCTGGAGACCTAGTGTATAGCATGGCGACTATAGTAAATAATAGTATACTGTACACTTGAAATTTGTTAAGAGTATCTCAAGTGTTCTTACCACATACCCCAAAATAATAAGCATGGAAGGTGATGGATATGTTAATTAGTTTGATTGTGGTAATCATTTCACAATGCGTACATACATCAAAACATCACATGCACCTTAAACATATGCAAATGTTATTTGCCAAGAATAAAAAGGGAAGAACTTTCTCTTGCAACATGAAATGAAGCCACAAGCCCAAGTTTATTTTGATTTCTATTTCGATAGTCCAGCTTATAATTGGTACTATACACTAAGTCTTACGGGCCAACCCATGGCCCGTGGGCCACAGGCGGCCCAGGATGGCTATGGATGTCGCCCAACACAAAATCATAAATTTACTTAAAACCTTTTTTATTGCTCATCAGTTTTTGTTAGTATTTGTGTATTTAACATGTGGCCCAAGATAACTAACTTCTCTTCTTCCAGTGTGGCCCAGAGATACCAGAAATTTGGACACCCTGTCTTACAATAAGATAATTTTTTCTTTTGCTATTTAAAACATTCATTTAAAGTGTCTATTGCACTGTCATCCTTCCTGATGTTCTCTTCACTTATTAACTAGTCTAATCCTGCTTTTATGGACTGAAAGGTGTCTCGTAAAAATTTGCATGTGGAATCCCTAAGCCCAAGTACCTCAGAGTGAGACTGTATTGGAGGTGGGGCCTTTAAGGAAGTACTAATGTTTAAATGGGGTTGTTAGAGTGAGCCCACTGGGGTCTGAATGTTTGGGTCCCTCTGAAATTTCTAGATTGAAATCCTCATGCTCAGTGTGTTTGTAGTAGGAGGTGGGGCCTTGGGCAGACGGGCATTAAATCATGAGGGTTCAACCTCATGTAATTGAGATTCCAGAGAGTGCCCTGTTCTCTTCCACTGTGTGAGGAGACAGGACTGGTCAGACCGCAGCCCAGAACAGGACCTTCACCAGAACCCAGCCATGCATTGTGAGATACAAGTTTCTGTTGTTTATAAGCCACCCAATCTGTGACCATATTATTATAGCAGCCCAAACAGTCGATGACAGGGCTCTGACCCAATGTGACTGGTGTCCTTATAAGAAGAGGAGATTAGGACACAGGGGTGACCACACGAGGACACAGTGGGAAGGCAACCGTCTGCCAGCCCAGGGAGGGAGGCTTCAGAGGAAACCAGGCTGGCTGATGCCTTGACCTGAGAATTCTGGCCTCCAAAACTATGAGAAAACAAATTCCTGTTTTTAAGCCACTTTGTCTGTGGCTTTTAGTTATGGCAGCCTTAGTAAATGAATATACCTGCCCTATCTTCATTTGTGTGATTTTCGTTCTGGTTTTCAAAGTATTGGGAAATATTCCAGAGATACACAAGGCTTAGAGGGTAATGCAGCAAATACCCATTGTCTCACTAAGTCAGGATAGGACAGGCTGTGCTGCAGTAACAAATAAACCCTGAAATCTTGGTGGCTCAGTACAACGTAAGTCTATATGCTGATCACAAGATTCCAGCATGAGCCAGGCAACCCTCCTTCATCTCGTAGCTGTGGCATTTGGAGTGTGTGGCCTCCAGGGCCACCCCTGCAGGGGAGGGGAGAACAGAAGAGGTACTCTGGCTCTTAATGGCCTCAGCGGAAAAATGACTTCCACTCACACCCCATTGTCCAGAACTAGCCAGGTGGCCCCAATCTAACTGCAAGGAACCCTGGGAAGTGTAGGGGAGTATGTAGGAGCATCGGTGAGCATCAGCTAGCTGCCTCTCCCATCCCCATCCATGCTTCAAGAAACGAACATCACAAATGCAGTTGAAGACCCTCAGTGCTTCTGTGATTGGAGCAGCACTCCTGCATAATTTTCATTGACTTTGAGGCATTCCTGGATCTTTTGTGAGATCTGCAGTTCTGCTTTGCACCTTTGCTCTGCTTTATAACTGCCCTAGGCCATTAGAGAGAGACTGGGAGCTACAGGCTGGACACAGTGGGCAGAACTCCTTTTAGGAGTGGCCACTTCCGAAGTGGATCCTGTGGGCGTACACTTTTTTCATTCCTTTGTAGTCTTGTTTCTGTGAGGAACTTGGCTGGCTGTTCTTTGGCAATAGATTAAGTTTCTCTTTCAGTTTCCTGTTCCCTCTGACGCACTTTTGTCTTCTAGCATGAGCGCCTTCTGTTCAGACTGTGGCAACAGTATCAAAACAGCGTTCAAATTCTGCCCCTACTGCGGAAAGCCTCTGTCTAAAGAGGAGCCTGAGGGTTCCCAGGCCTTTGTCAAACCGCTTGTGTCATCCTTGAGAGGTAAGGACTGGGGCTTTGACCTTTGCCCTGGAAGGGGGTGAAGTGTGCGGGTGTTCAGGGGGGAACACAGCCACCCGGGCCTCCTCCCTTTTCCTCTACACCTGGGCGTGCCTGGGCCTCTGAGACATTGCGCTTGCTGTTCCCTCTGTCAAGGTGATTCTCCCCACATCTGGTGCGTGACCCACTCTCCCACTCCCTTCCTTCAGGTCTTGACGTAGTGGTTGCCTTCTCAGGAAGGCCTTCCCGGACATTGCTAATTAAAATCCCATCTTTCCCACCTGTGACACTCCTTATCCTCTGCCCCTGCTTTATTATATTGCCTTTTGGTTCTCGGAAGTATCGACTCTATTTATATCGCTTCTCATCTTTAGGCCCCATAAGGGCAGGAATTTATTATGGTTGGCAGGCTGTTGATTGTGGTTTGTAACATCAGCTCTGGGTCCTGGCCAGCAGGAGGTCCAGGCGTGGGTTCTGCCTTGGGAAACAGAAGTGGATTTACTCACCTGAAAGCCACAGAAGGCAGAGAGTTCAGCAGCATTCATTTTACCATTTGGGATTGTGTTCGGCTGTCAGCAACAGAAAACGCTACCTGAAGAGTTGAAACAAATGAATGGGTTTATTTTTTCTTATTAAAAAAAGTCCGACGGGGATGGTTCAGTGTGGGGTGTGTCCCCATGATGTGGTCAGGGCCGCGGGCTCCTGCTGTCTGACCACTCAGCCTTCCTCAGCATGCGGTATTTCTTCCCATGTTTATGGCCTTGATTTTCAAGGTGGCTTTTTCATATCCAACATCGTGTCTACATTCCAGTCACGCGCCACCAGAACTTGCCTTGGCACGACCTCGGAGCCCTAGTTCTTAGCCCCAGCCTTCTCTAGCGCCAACCTAAGGCTGGCTCATTGTTCATTTGCCCAGTCATGTGGCAGATACACACAGATCACCTACTGTGTGCTTAGGTGCAGTGTGTGTCCCCAGGACGGCAGTAACAGACAGGATGAACCTGGTTTCTCGTCTTGCAGAGCTTTTGGAAGCCAGGAGGGCGAGTAGACATTAACTACACAATTACCAATAGAGTGCAAGGTAACCAAGGGGAAATAGATGGGCCACAGAATAAAAGGATCAAGGAAGGCCTCCTCAGGTGGGTAATGTTTGAGCCGAGACCTAGGGATGAGAAGAATTTGCTAATGACACCCTGGCTGGTGTGGCTCAGTGGATTGAATGCCAGCCTGCAAACTGAAAGGCCGCTGGTTTGATTCCCCGTCAGGGCACATGCCTGGGTTGCTGGGCAAGTCCTGAGTAGGGGGCGTGTGTGAGGCAACCACACATTGCATTAATGTTTCTATCCCTCTCTTTCTCTTTCCCTTCTCTTCTTTAACAAATAAAAAAATCCTTAAAAAAAATTTTTAAAGATTTTGCTAATGAAGAGTGGGGGTGAGGTGAGGAGCTTGGAACCAGAGTTCCAGGCATTGGGGTGTGCGGTGGGAGGGGCCATGCAAAGTAGAGGAATAAAGGAGGACAGCCTACCTGGGGACAGACGCGCAGGGGCTTGCAGACCACGGGTAAGGAATTTAGTGATCACTGAGACAGCGGGCAGCCGTGGGAGGGTCTCGGCCACGTGGGGGACACAATATGATTTGTATTTTGGAATGGCCTCTCTGGCTGCTCCGTGTAAGAAGTGGGCTGGTGGCATGGAAGCCACTTAAGGGACCATTTCAGCAGTCCAGGGACCAGATGTGCCAGCCGAGGTGGTGTCCGTGGAAAGACGACCTCTGTTCTTAGCAATCTGGCAGACCAGACGACAGGCCACGGCCCCTGTGGTTCAGTGGGCCACAAAATTCTGGATGGAATGGAAAGAGTGTCTTGTTTTTTTAAGATTTAACTTATTTATTTTTAGATAAATAATACCTAAATAAAGTTTAGATATAATTTTAGTAAAAATAAAATTTTAAGCTCAGAGCCCCAGCAGCATGGGATGTGAGATTGGAAACCTTTAAAATCTGAGACTCCTCAGTAGGTAAACTAGAACAAAAAACCGTTTTCACAGAGAAGATTGTTGGAGGCGTCTATCTGTCTCAGCCTTGGTTGTGGGTGAGAAAAAGGAAGGATGTTCTAAGAATTCCAAACCAAAATCTCATGTCCTCACCAGTTTGGGGCAAGAATTTATACTGCACTGTGCAGCCCCCCAAAACCCCAAGCAGAAAAGTTAGTGTAAAAGGATGAGATGTCGGTGCCCCTCCCCAACTGAGGCAAATCTTTTGTGGGAACACCCTTTATTTTTTTTTAAAGATTTTATTTATTAAAAAAATTATTCATTCTTAGGGATAGGGGAAGGGAAAGAGAAAGAGAAGATCAGAAATATCAGTGTGCGGTTGCCTCTCAAGCGCCCCACACTGGGAACCTGGCCTACAACCCAGGTATGCATCCTGATTGAGAATCAAACTGGCAGCCCTTCGGTTCGCAGCCTGGGCTCAATCCACGGAGCCACACCAGTCAGGGTGGAACACCCTTTAAAAACTGACCTCAGAATTCCCGTGGGAACATGTGCTCTCGATCGATCAACAAAGACACCAGGAAACAAGCTTCAGTCCGGGGAAACCACAAACCGCAGACTCAGACCCGCACTGACCAGATGCCTGGGGATTAGCATTTGAGACTGTGTACACACCGCCTTTCATACATTTAAGGAAATTGGGGAAGAAATTTATAATGAAGGATTGGAGCCTCATCCCTCACACCAAAGGGTTGTGGGCTGGATCCCCAGTTAGGGCGGGTATGGGGCAACCAACCGATGTTTCTTTCTCTTTCTCCCCCTTTCCCTCTCTCTAAAATTAATAAAAACATATCCTCTGATGAGGGCTTTATATATATATTCATATGTATAATATATATATATATGTTATGTATTTTACATCTATATCTGTATATATGTAAAAAATGAAGGAACAGAAGTCAGTAAGAATTGACCTAGCAGACTTGAAAAAGAACCCACTAACACCTGCGATGATAAAAACAAGTATCACGGCAATCAGAAACTCATTGGATTGTTGAAACTGTAGGCTAGGCAAAGCCGAAAAGAGAATAATGAGCTGGAAAATAGATCTGAAAAACTACCTAAAAGGTTGAACAGAGTGACAGAGTGGTAGAAGACACAACACAGAGGCTGAGACCCCTGGAGGAGAAGCAGGACTCGGCTGCAAAGGCCGGAGAGCAGAGGGCGGGCGGGTGTGAACCGAGGGTTTCTGGGTTTGCGGTTGTGGAAAGGGCCTCTGTAACCCGTCTGCATTCAGTGTTCCCTTCACTAGGCTCAAAGAGAGAGAGCAGTGGTTCTAAACTCTCTGTCAAGAAAGTAAAATGGTCCAGCTGTGCCACTTCTTCTCCATCATCCCTCTCCTCAGACTGCGACAGTTCTGGGTCTGAACACACCTTGAGTCCCCCTGAGAAACCCAGAGGTAAGAACCAGGGTCAGTCCGGCCTGCCTGTAGATGGTTATGAGGCGGGTCCCCGGCCATGTGTGGGGCATCATCCCCCTGCTCAGGTGTCTCTCACACCTACCTGGCCCCTTATCCCTGCCCCCAGGCTCCCCTGCAGTCCAGCTCTGACCCCACCGGTCCCCGCTCACAGTCACCCACTGTTCCCCGTGCCCCATAGCCTGGCGTCTACGACTCTGTGGCGTCTGCTTGCCGTTGGAGCTCTCACCAGACCCAGCGCACAGGCCACCTGCTTTCTGGAAATTCTTGTTAGGGTCCGCGGCTTCCTTCTTCGCTAGGCCTGACCTCTCAGCCCAGCGCACACTTGCCTCCCTCTCCGGCCCGGCTTGCTGCCGCCTTTCCAATGCTCAGAGGCTTAGATCTGTCAGAAGCCCCTTCCAAGCACGCTAGGCCAGGTCAAGGCCATCTCGTCTTCCTGCAGGGCCTCTCTTCTTCGTCCTTTGTCTGGGCGCCCACAGTGCCAGTGCCGCTCACTTGAGCACATGTCCCCTCCAGACTCCTTGTCCCGTCCTGCCTCAGTTGCTGGACTGAGAGTCCTGTGTGGACAGGGACCAGAGTCATCTGTGGGTGGCCCACAGCAGCCAGAGAACAAGGGAGGCTTGAGGACCACGTGCCGGTCCCCTTCCTACCAGGCCTTCAGATCGGAAGTCGCGGCCCTCGGTGTCTCCTCTTTGTCCCTTGTTCTCCTCCAGGCCCCACTGCCTCTTGCCATTCTGTGCCTTGGGTGGATGCCAGGTGCAGGGAGTGGCGTAGTTGATATTTCCTGTACCCGTGCCCAGTCGCCCATATCTTTTCCTCCTCTCCACGCCACCCCATTCTCTTGCCCGTCTGGGAGCCAGTCTCACAGATTTCTTTATACTAGCACAAGGTCAGGTGCTGTCTCAGGGTGTTCTTAGTCGAATGTCTGGAATGTCTGTTTTTTTCCCCTGGCAAATGCTACCCATTCAGCAAGACTGAACTCAGATGTCCCCTCCGCCCCAGAGCCTCCCCCGGAAGCCTTCCCTGACTTCTCCGGGCACAGTTAGTCTCTTTCTCACATCTCTCTGAAGTGCCTTGTGTGACCAGCTGTGCCCAGGTCAGACTCCCCCACCTAGTTAGGGGCTCCTGAAGGACAGGCCCGGGTCTGACTCGTGTCTGGGTCCCCAGTTTTGTCACACAAAGACCTGACCCGTGAAAGGTGGCAGGAAACATTTGTTCTTTGAACAAATGAACAGTACTATGTGTATTGTCTCCTTACCTGTCCAACTCTTCTCTCCCGATGCCTGTTTTTTATTCTGGCCATCCTGCTGCAGGGTCCCAGAAAACACCTCCCACCCCCAAAAGGAACCCGCAGACAACAAAAAGAAGCCCTCAGACAGTGAAGCGGAGCCGGGTGACCACCTCGCTTACGGCTTTGCCCACGGGGATGGTGCTGACAGACAAGCGGGGACTACACTGGAAGCTGGGAGCCATTCAGAGCAGGGATGACCAGGGCATTCTCTACGAAGGTACACTCTGTTTGTGGGCGGGGGGTGGGCAGAGGCAAGGTGACGGGCTGGACCAGGCCATCTTGCAGCCAGGGCGTGGGGAGGGAAACCCCTTTCTGAGAATAAAAAGAGAAGCCATATCCCAGCTGCAGACCTGCCTCTAGGCAGCATCTTCTTAAACTTGGGACTGCAGACCACCCACCTACAGCAGCCGGGCAGATAGAGTAAATGAGTGCAGGAGGCTGGGAGTAAGACGATTGGGAGCGGTGGGGACTGTGGCCAACTGGAGAGCACTGTCCTTTGACTCCACCTACTGTTGTCATGTGGGAATGCAAGCCCAGTGTGACTGAATGGTAAGGATAACTCTACCCTGCAGAGATGGGATGGCCCCCTGCCCTGCGCACATTTGGTTTCAATGTTGAGTCTGATGATGTCACACACCAAGAGGATATGAAAGGTTTATTTCCTGTAGCGTTGTCTCGGGGCAGCAGGTCTGAAATGCCCTGAGATGACAGGGAAAGGCACGAGGCCAGGGCCTCACGTGGTTGGACTGTCCCACCAGCACCCGAGGAGGGAACCCCAGGCTTTCCCAGCAGCTCTGCAGCTGTGGGAGGGGAGGGGAAGGGGCAGGGGCAGGGCCAGACCGAAAAGCTGTCAGCAGTCAAACATCAAACAGTGGACACCTTGTTACAATGAAGAAGAAAACCGAGCTAGAAGTGTTAGTAATAATCAACCTAACGTTCACTGAGTTCTTACTCAGGGCCAGGCCCTGTTCTTAGCCCTTTAGGTGGTTTCGGGGAGTTTTAGGCCGTCTTTTAAGATAAAATTTACATAACATAAAATTCACTGTGTTCATGTCTACAGTCCACTAGGGTTAGTGTAGTCAGACAGCATACTCAGTGGACATTGGGTGTGGGCCACCCGGATCTGCAGCTCAGGGGCCCCCGAGGGGCTAAAGGCTGCCTGTGGCGGGCGTGTGGGGCTGCACAAAGGCAGCAAGTCCCCCCTGGAGGGGGTCTGCATCCATCACGTGGCACTCAGCCCTGTATGTGGACAAAGGCCTACAGGGTGGGTCAGGGTCCCCCGCACCACCCCAAGGTCAGGGATGCACTGGGGGACCACGGGCCTCTCATGCCACGATCCATCATAGCAAAAGGACACAGCAGAGTTGGCAAAGAAGAGAGGCACAGGGTGCAAAGTGTCGGGAGAGAGCAGCCAGCGCAGCTTCCAGAGCCTTCTCCCTGTGGAGTCACACCGGACACACTGAGATGTGACAGCCAGCGCATGTGCACTGTTAGAGACCCCACACCTGGGGTTTTTTGGGGGGGGCCAGTCACGTGGGGCCCCTCTGCCTGGAACGTAGCAGCATGCCAGCCCTTAGAAGGACAGCAGTACAGTTTGGGCACAGGCGTAGCCCTCCGATTGGCTAGAGCTGCGGTCCCCAACCTTCTTGGCACCCGGACTGGATATGTGAAAGATGGTTTTTCCACAGACTGGGGTGGGGAGGGGATGGTTCCGTGATCATTCAAGCACGTTCCATTCAAGCTCACCTCCTGCTGTGCGGCCCAGAGCCTCACAGGCCCAGACTGGTACCAGTCTGCAGCCTAGAGGTTGGGGACCCCTGGGTTAGAAAAGGCTGGAACCCTCCCGAAATCCAGGTTCCCAGATGACAGCCAAGGGCAGCCTTGCGAGCAGGTGGTTCCAAGGAGAGCAGTCTCAGGCCTGCTGTGTTAACCCTTTTGCATAGGGGGCTATTAAAAGAGAGCGAAAGAAGGAGAAAAAAGGAACCTGTTTGAAAATAAGGAAGATCGAGTCTCACCAGCCAACAACACACCGGACCCTGTGGGAACCAGGCAACTGAAACCCCACCTCGTTGCCGGGAAATGGGGAGACAATGCCCCCACTTTCCCTGTAGATTATAACCTCGCTCCTGTTGTCCATCCCCAGCTGAGTCTTTCTCCACCTCTGAGTCCACCAGTGAGTCGAGTGCCCAGAAACCAAGATTCTCCCTGAAACTAGTGAGTGGCCCTGTGGGGGTGTCTGGGGTGGGGGGAGGGCCGCGCCGAAGGGAGGGCCTGGGGCTTTGGCCAATGCACCACGATCTCCCCGCCTCCCTGTGGGCTGGGGCAGGCAGGGGAGCAAGGAGCAGTGGTACCCGGGGCACGGCCCGTCTCCCTCAGGGCCTCAGGTTCTTCCTCTCATGGGGCCCCTCTGAGGCTGCAGCCAGGTCCACGCCTGAGCCTGCTTCTGATGCCTCCTGCGGTTCCATCGGGCACGCGCGTCCCCTCTCCCAGCTGACTTGCCTCGTCTGTGAGATGGAGCCAATAATACCCACGTCCGGTGGCCCATTCGCCCACTGCCCACCTGGCAGGATGGCTTTACCGAGCACCTGCTCTAACGTGTCACTGTGCTGGGTGTTCAGGTTCAACGGAGAACCATTCAGAGGGTGTCCCTGGGCTGAGGAGTCAGTGAAATCACGCCTGACCATAGCATACAGGAAACATGCACTGGGGGGGGGGGGGCAAAAGGGAAAATAAACTGCAAAAGTGAGAGCAACCAGGCGGGCGAGTCACGTCCTTCAGCACAGACGAAGTGCCTACTAAGGGGCATGGTCATGGTTGGAGGCCTCACCATGCCCCTTAGTAGGAGGTCATCCCTAAGTGCAGGAATTATGGGTGGCTTTTATTTATACAGATTTTCTCACTCAGCCCTGGAAAACTGGGGCAGCTGAACTGGGCCCCTCCCTTGGCCCTAGATGGAGGCCGTGTGAGTGGTTCGAGCGGGGGCTCCGGGGCCAGGCTCCACCTGCTTGTGGAGAGCTCGTTCCGGCCCTACTCTGGGCCGAGAGCCTCACAAGCAAGCCCGCGGGGTGGTTACCGAGTTTCCCCTTTTTCCAGATGAGGAAATGGGGACTTGGCGCCTTGCCCAGGGACGCTCAGCATGCAGGTTTCTTTGTTCACAGCTTTAGCTCCAACGCCAAAAACAATACTCAGCACATAGTAGGTGCTTTGCAGAAAGAATGAGTGACAGATCTGGGATTGGAACCTGCTTCTCTTGGACCCTTTGCTTTTAGGAACTCAGCTGTACTCGTATTTAATTAAAATATTTGGCTTTATTGAGCCCTGGCTGGTGTAGCTCAGTGGATTGAGTGCAGGCCTGTGAGCCAGAGGATCGCGGTTCGATTCCCAGTCAGGGCACATGCCTGGGTTGCAGGCTGGTTCCCTGCAGGCCAGTTCCCAGCAGGGGAGGCATGAAAGGCAAGCACACATTGATGTTTCTCTCCCTCTCTCCTTCCCTTCCCCTCTAAAGATAAATAAATAAAGTCTAAAAAAAATTTTTAAAAAAATATTTGGCTTTATTGCTAGAAAAAGATGCCCCAATGTTAACAAGTGGTCCTAAGAAAAATAGTATTTTATTGCCCTTTCAGTTAAAAGTCGGGGACAGTGGTCCAGGGCTGACATGACGGATCCACGACCAAGGGGCCCAGTTTCCTTCTCCCGTTGCTGCAGCATCCTCAACCCATAACCTTCCCCCCGTGGGCTAAAATGGCTGCTCCAGCTCCCACCGTCACACGTGCATTCCAGCCAACAGGAACAGGAGAAGAGGAAGGGCATGGCTGGCCCCAGCCCATTAAGGGCATAACGGAGGAACTTGCCTGCGTCTCTTCTGCTCACACCCCCATGGTCCAGAACTTGCTGTGTGGTCATTCCTCACTTCAAAGGAAGCTCGGAAATCTAGTTTTTAGCTGAAGGCCACACGTGTAGGGAAAACTTGTCGGTCCTGTCACAAGACAAAAAAAAAAAGCCTCGGAAATGGGAGATAACGTGGAGCCTCTGACACCTGTTCATGGGTAGCAGGCACCCTGGGGAATTCGGTTCTGCCGTGCAAGACGTGGTAGGGAACCCGGGTTGTGGCTGGCATTGCCCTGGGGTGCCAAGCTGGGGTCCCTTGTCCCAGAGACTCCAGTGGGACAGCTTTCTCCCCCCTTTCCTCACTAGGACGCCAAGGACGGGCGCGTGTTCAATGAGCAGCACTTCTTCCAGCGAGCCGCCAAGCCCTTGCAAGGTATTCCTTGGGGAGGCGGGCAAAAGCAAGAGACGAGGGGGGTCAGCTCAGTGTAAGCAACTAGTTCCTCTGCAAAGGTGTGGGAAACGTGGGGTCAAATAGAAGACCCAGCTTCGCCCCCGTCACCCTCTGTCCTCAGGCCCCGCAGGACAGGCAGCACGGGCTGAGGCCAGCTCACACTGGCTCTTGGGAGCCAAGGATTGAGTTCGCTCAAGCCAGTTGTTAAACGTAGCCATTACTTAAATTAATTATGTCAATGAACCATCAAACAGATTAGATCAAGAGCAAGGGTGATAAATACTCAGGACGTATCACTTCCCAATTATTTGTCTATGTTTCTGTCATCCCCACCCTTGAGATTGTTCGCGTCCATTGTGTCCGGGTGGCGGACACACCACAGGACTGTGCGCAGCTGCGCGCCCTTCCCATCTCCACCTTCCGTGGTATCACAGCAGTAGCCTGAAATCAGCCAGAGTGCGAGTATTTACACCACGGAGATTGGCCAACACTACAAACCAGGGCTCTCCCCCCTGGACAGCCGGTTTATCCAGCTTTTCTCAGCACAGCCCTGGGTCCGTGCCATCCGACCGAAGCCCTGGGGCGTGGGCTGATGTCTGGTGACACGGTGACCGGCTCAGACATTTCCTGATCTTATCAGCTGCGTGTGTGGACGTGCATATTCGGACGTGCTGCCGTTCTTACCCCTTTCCGCTCACTGCACATCTGTGTATTCTTTCTCTCACGTTCACCCCTGCACGCAGAGATGACAGACATTCAGCGGTCAACCAGGCCAGCCCTGTCGGCACACTCATTGTCAACCCACCCACAGAGGTGGCGACCCCAACCAGGAGACTGGGGTCTGGCCTGGGCTTGGGCGCACTCTGCTTCTGGTCTGAGAATGGGCTGCTGTCCCCATGGGCCTGGGGCCAGGGGGCTCTAACCTCTCAGGTCCCTGCCTCCCACAGTGAACAAGTGGAAGAAGCTGCAGCTGACCCCCCTACTGGCCATCCCCACCTGTGTCAGTTTCGGCATTCACGAGGACAGGTACAGGTGAGTCGCCACCTCACTGGGCCGTTTTTCTCTCCCTGTCATGTCCTCCGGCACGGCTGGGACCCTGGGGCCGTTGGACACATAGCTGCTTCCTCCCTTTCTCCCACTTTGAGCCAGGCTGACCCCCCTCAGTCAGAACCCTTCATCTTGCCTGAAACCAGGACCTCGTAGCCACCCAGCCACAGTCCATCCTCGGTGGCCTCCGTTCTGGCCCCTCCCCTGGTCGTCTCGCCCACCTCCTGGGATCCGCGTGTCTTCCAGGTTCTTGGTGTTCCCCATGCTGGGGAGGAGCCTTCAGTCGGCCCTGGACGACAGCCCGAAGCACATAGTGCCCATGCTGTCCGTGTTCCAGATGGCCTACCGGCTGGTAGGTACCCGAGCATCGCTGGCTCCCGGCGGGGGGGGGTGGCTGCCGGCTGCCAGCTTCCGGCTCATCAGTCTGCCCGCTGACCCGTTCAGTCCTCACTTGCCCCCGCCAGACCCTGAGGACCCGCACACTGACTGGCGCAGGCGAACGCCAGGCTGCTAGAACCAGGGGATAAGCACGAGGGGCGTTCCAGGGCCGTGGAAGGGGAGGGTGGGGCCCCAGCCTCAAATTGAGGGCTTCAGCTGGGCTTCCTGATGGAGACCTTTTCTGAGGCAGGAGTGGGAAGGAGCAAGACGCTGGGTGGAGTGGGAGTGGAGATGCATGAGGAGAAAACTCGGGCCAAGCATGCAGCTTGGGCAAAGGCTTATATGGGACAGAGAGCATAAAGCATTGGTTCATTCGTTCATGCCTTTACCCATCCTTTTCTCTTTTTTTTTAGATTTTATTTATTTATTTTTAGAGGGAGGGGAAGAGAGAGAGATGTCAACGTGTGGTTGCGTCTCATGTGCCCCCCGCCCACTTGAGACCTGGCCCGCAACCCGGACATATGTCCTGCCTGGGAATCAAACCAGCGACCCTTTGGTTCACAGGCCGGCACTCAGTTCACTGAGCCACACCAGCCAGGGCCATCCTTTCATTAAATATTTACCAGGTCCCTGCTGGGTGTCAGGCACGTGCCAGGGTCTGGGAGTGTGGTATGGGAATAGCACAGACATGGGTTTCATGTCTAGTCAAAGAGGATGGCGTTAAACAGTTGCACAAATTAAGAAGAGTTCCTGAGTAGAAATGTCCCCCTGCTATGATGGTGAATAAGAGGACCACATTTAAATTGGGGAAGGCATGAAAGTGGCAAGGGGGTGACACATTAGGTGAGTCCCAAAGGTTCTTATGCTCAGAGTGTCTGCACTGCGGCATGCGGAGGGACAAGGGGTGAGAAATGATGTGGAGAGATCAGCAGGGACCAGCTCACACAGGGCCTTGAATACTGGGCTCAGGAGCTGGAACCTGGTCCTGAGGCACTGGGGAGCCATGGGGGGATTGGGAGCAGCAGAGGGGCACTGTCAGCTCTGCATGTGGAAGTGGTCCCTCCCCTGTGGGCCTTGAGGGGAGGAGTAGGAGAGGGCGAGGCCGGAGGAGAGGCATCAGGCTGTGAGGGTGGGGAGTTTGTAGGGCAAGCAGAACTCGGTGCGCAGTTAAGCCTGGGGGTCAAGGGGGCCTCGGGGATGTCATCACAATGGAACTAACACCGATGCAGTTCAGTGTATGAGTCTGGAGCTCAGTGGAGAAGTTGGAGTGAGAGATAAAAGAATAAATTGCTCAACTAAACTTACTTCTGTTCTCTAGGAGAAACGAGAAGAACTCTTTGATACATGCAGACTTTGAGGGGGGTTTTGGCACGGGGCAATAAGTAACCAATTTCTCCCCTTCCTGGGTTTGCAGTCAACTAAGGAATAGATCTAAGAGATAGAAAGCCAACCAAACGTTGGCTTCACTGCTGAATTTTTTATTTCTGTTTTTTTAAAGATTTTATTTATTTATTTTTAGAGAGATGGGAAGAAAAGGAGAAAGAGAGGGAGAGAAACATCAATGTGTGGTTGCCTCTCACACATCCCCAGTTGGGGAACTGGTCCACAACCCAGGCATGTGCCCTGACTGGGAATCGAACCAGCGATCCTTTGGTTTGCAGGCCTGCACTCAGTCCACTGAGTTACACCAGCCAGGGCATGACTTTTTAAAAGCCGTATTAGAAGGTGTGCTGTCAGAGTGGAATTCCTAACGCTCCCCTCGGAATGGGTCAGGCCTAACCCCACCACCACCCTGGTCACAAGCAGGCTATATGACCACAGGCCCAGCAGTGGGGACTCAGTTACCAGGCTTCGCGTCAGAGCCGCTTAGTGTGAGTCGTGCTGCTCACAGAGATCCTTTTTCCTCCCCAGCTGGATGCCCTGGAGTTCCTTCATGAGAACGAGTATGTTCACGGGAATGTGACAGCTGACAATGTCTTTGTGAACCCAGAGGACCCGAGCCAGGTAACAGTCAGGTCCTCCCCACCTTGGGGCTCCCTGGGCTCAGGATCTCACCTATCTCAAAACTTCCATTTATTAGAGTTTTTTAAAATGTATTTTAGAGAGATAGAAATGGAGAGAGAGAGAGAAACACCAATTTGTTGTTCCACTTACTGATGCATTCATTGGTTCATTCTTGTATGTGCCCTGACTGGGGATTGAACCCGCAACCTTGGTGTGTCAGGAAGACGCTCTGACTAACTGAGCTACCTGGCTAAGGCAAAACTAGAAATGAGCAACTTAATAGAAAAATGGATAAAGGAGAGGAAAAGCGGTTCATTGAAAAAGAAATCCACAGGCTAGTTAAATATACGAAAAGATGTTCAACCTCCCTAATAATCATTGAAATGAAAATTAGAACATACTGTTTTTTAACCCTTTGAGCGGACAGAATTTTTAAAAAATGGCAATATCTCTGATGATAAAAGGCTATAAAGAAGTAAAAGTTCAGCTCTCAACTTCTGGTCAAGATGGACTCATAGGTAGACACACTTCACCTCCTTGCACAATTATATGAAGGATCACAACTGACCTCAAAACAAAAAGCACCCAGAACTGCCAGAAAGTCGAACTGAACGGAAGTCCAACAGCCAAGGATTCGAAGAAGCCATGTTCATCCAGGCGGATCGGAAGGGCAGAGACAGAGAGCCAAGGCGGAGGGGGCGGAGGGGGCGGAGTGTGTTGGCAACGTGGCAGTCGTGGCAGCCGTCGGGAGAGGTGGTCCCACCTTCACATGCAGTTGATAGAAATCGGGTGGGACACCTGGGGATCAAGCAGTCCCAGCCCCAGGCGAGATTACGCAGCCCAGGGTTCCAGTGCTCGGAAAATAAGGCCACATAACTTCTGGCTGTAAAAACTAGTGGGGTTTTGGTGGTGAGAGAAACTGCCAGTCTCTCAGGAGAGTGCATTTCAAGGGCCCACATGATCCTAGAATGTACGCACCCCACCTGTCTGGGAAGCACCACCAGGGCAACAGCTAGAGGGGCACCCGTTGCATATGGGAAGTGGGTGAGGTGACTGGAAATGGGGCAAGTGCCGAGCAAGCCTCCAGCAGCCAGACAGCAGCACTGTCCCCTATCCGACCCCTCCCCCACATACAGCGCCAGAAAACAGTGAGGCAGGTTGTCCCGCCCTGGAAATTACCTAAAGCTCTGCCCGGCACTACGGAACAGGTGCACCAAGTCAGGGAGTCAGACCAGCTCTAGCTAACAGAAACGAACGCAGGGAGGCTGCCAAACTGAGGAGACAAAGAAATATGGCTCAAACAAGAACAAAACCCCAGAAAAAGAACTAAACACAATGGAGATAGCCAGCCTATTAGATGCAGAGTTCAAAACACTGGTGATCAGGATTCTCAAAGAACTCTAAAAGTACAGCAAAGGCATAAGGAAGAAATGAAAGCTTCACTAAGGGAAATAAAAATCCACGGGGAACCAACAGTGAAGGAAGGAAGCCAGGGTTCAGATCATCAATTTGGAACATTAGGAATAAACTGTCAATCAGAACAAAATGAAGAAACAAGAATTTTTTTAACAATGAGAGATTAAGAAGACTGGTACATCTCCAAAAGTGCCAACATTCAAATCGGATGCAAGAAGAGGAAGAGCAAGAAATGGAAAACTTGAAAAAATAATGAAAGATAACTTCCCTAATATGGTGAAGGCAATGGACATGCAAGTGCAGAATATACAGGGAATCCCAAACAAGTGGGACCCGAAGAGGACCACATCGAGACACATCGTAATCAAAATGGCAAAGGTTAAAGATAAAGAGAGAATCTTAAAAATAGCAAGAGAAAAGCAGAGAGTTACAAAGGAGTTCCCATAAGACTATCAGATGATTTCTCAAAAGAAAACTTGCAGGCAAGAAGGGACCGGCAAGAAGTATTCAAAGTGATGAAAAGCAAGGACCTACAACCTAGATGACTCTGTCCAGCAAAGCCATCATTTAGCTGGAAGGGCAGATATAGTGCTTCCCAGAGAAAGTAAAGCTAAAGGAGTTCCCCATCACCAAGCCTTTATTATGTGAAATGTTATAGGGACTTATTTAAAGTAAGGAAGATCAAGAGTGTGAACATTAAAATGACAACAAACTAATAACTGTCAACAACTGAATCTTAAAAACTAAAACATATGCTAAGCAAACAGTTATACAGGAACAGAGTCATATATGGAGATCATTTGGAGGGTTAATAATGGGGAAGGGAGAGGGGGAGAGTGGGGGGGAAGGTACAGGGAATAAGAAGCATAAATGGGCCCTGGCTGGTGTGGCTCAGTGGATTGATTGCTGGCCTGCAAACCTAAGGGCTGCCAATTTGATTCCCAGTCTGGAGCACATGCCTGGGTTGTGGCCTGGGTCCCTGGTGGGGGACACACAAGAGGTGACCACACATTGATGTTTGTCTCCTTCTCTGCCTCCTTTCCTCTCTCTGAAAGTAAATAAAATCTTTAAAACAGAAAAAAATATTTATCTTTAAAAAATATAAATCGTAGGTACAAAATAGATAGGGGGATGTTAATAATAGTATAGGAAATGGAGAAGCCAAAGAACTTAACACACAGAATCCACGGACATGAGCTAAGGGGTGGGAAGGATTGCTGGAGGGGAGGGGCCGACTGGGCAGAGGGGGAAGCAAAGGAAAAATTGAGACAACATAATAGCATAATCAATAAAATATACTTTAAAAATAGAGCAGTCTTTATATTCTGTTAGAAGTATGAATAGGGCGACCTCTTTGGAAGGTAATTTTAATACAGCAGTCAAAATGTTAAATGCATGTGTTGTTTGACCCACCAGTTCCTCTCTCAGGAATTTGTCCTACCCACATACCATCAGGCTGTTCAGAGATGCACGTTTAAATACTCGGGGTTCCGTACAGCACTGATTGTAGCAGTAAAGTGGGAAAGCCTCCAATACGTGCTCCCAGTAGGGTGCTGATTAAATAGCATTTTAAGTAAATTCGAATTATTTTTTCAAATGACACAACTTAAGCAAAAAAATAAAAAATAAAAAAAATAAAATAAAATAAAACAAAAAACAGTTTAGAAAGGTTAGGAGCACAATATATGGGTCCAGGGAACAGAAAAATGGAGGACTTCACGGGTTTCAAGCATGGCTGAATCTAGGACCAGTTCGGTATGGGTCATCGCTGGGCAGACTCTTCCCTCACGCTGACAAAGTCACCGGCAGCAAATTAGGCTTAAATCCCCTGAGTTTAGCAACCCAGTAGGAATAGATGAGGTCAGCCTCACCTCAGTCACATGGGCCAAGAGTCGGGGAGATGAGATCCTGGAGGAGAATCCTTGGGCTGTATTAGAGCTCTCCAGACAAACAACCAGCAGAACGCACGGAAACAGACTGAGTGTAAGGCATTGGCTCGCACAGTGATGTACAGCAGCGATTTTCCACCAGTGTGCTGCAGAATTTTAGTAATTGGTTTATGTGTGCCATGAGGTGAAAAATGTTGAAGATCGCTGGTGTACAGAATTGTACAGAAGATGATTTGTTACACGGAATTGGCTCCACAATTGTGGGGACCGAGAACCTCAAGAGATGCCTCTGGCAAGGTGAAGACCAGGAAGAGGTGATGGTGTGGTTCTGGTCAGTCCAGAGGCCTGCAAAACCAGGAAAATGGACTGCGTGAGTGCTCGTCTGAAAAGCTGGCAGGCTCAAGGCCCGAGAAGGTCAATGTTTCAGTTCAAGTCCAAGGCCGGACAAGGTCAGCGTTCCAGCTCTTGCAGTCAGCCAGGAGCTGTCTCTGCTCACACTCACGAAGCCTTTTTTTCTATTCAGGCCTTCAACTGTTGGCTGAGACCCACTCACATTGGACAGAGCAATCTGCTTTACTTAGACTGTGATTTAAATGTTAATCTTATCCAGCCCTGGCTGGTGTGGCTCAATTGGCATCATCCCGCAAATCAAAAGGTCACAGGTTCAATTCCTGGTCAGGGCACATGCCTGGGTTGTGGGTTTAGTCCTCAGGGTGCATGCAAGGGGCAACCAATTAATGTTTCTCTCTCTCTCTCTTCCTCCCTCCCTTCCCCTCTCTCTAGAATCAATAAAAGGGGGAAAATTTTAATGTTAATCTTCTCGAGAGACACCCTCACAGACATACCTAGAATGTTTGGTCAAATGTCTGAGTACCCAGTGAGGTTACACTTAAAATTAAATATCTGTGACCAGAAGAAAAGCCTGTAGATCTGCCTTGGACAAAACCAATAGTTGTCCTCTGTCCAAATGGCAGAATACAGTGAGCTGTTAAAATACAGGTGGGTCTCACTGTGTGTCTGGCCGGTAAATGCTTTACTTTTTGTTTTCAACTCACTTAAGCCTCATAACCACTCTGCAAGGTGGGGACTATGATTGTCTTCATTTTACAAATGGAGAAATCAAAATGCAGAAAAGTTAGTGTAACTTGTCCAAGGTTGCACAGCCCCTGAGGGCCACGTCAGCATTTTAATCCGATCCCTCTGGCTCAGAGTTAATGCCCTGAACCACGCTCGATGTGCAAAAAGCTGGATGCCCAACGGGAGGTATAGTGTGACCCCTCTGTGGGAAACTAGAGCCCCCGCCCTGTCCACATGCTTTACATTTAAAGAAAACTATTCGAAACACAAAGAAATGTATCGGTGGTTACTTCTGGGTGATAGGTTTAGGGGGCTGGGTTGCAGCAGGAATGAACGGTTCAGGTTCTTTTCACTTTACACTCTTTGGCACTGTTGGGCACTTACTTGTTTCCAGTTATACCGCTGATTCCAGAGTCCAGGCTCCTAACCCCCAAACTGCATGGCTTCTCCCCGTGCCCACACAGGTGACCCTGGCAGGCTACGGCTACGCCTTCCGGTATTCCCCAGGCGGCAAGCACGTGGCCTGCGTGGAAGGCAGCAGGAGCTTCCATGAGGGGGACCTGGAGTTCATTAGCATGGACGTACACAAGGGATGCGGTAAGAGGCCAGAGAAAAGGGTCAGGACCCTGGAGACACACTTCTCATATAAGGGCAGCTCTAGGTTTCTGCAGCCACGGAGAGCAGATGACCAGACAGTGGAGTCACCTGAAGGAGCCATGACAGGGATTTAGGATTAAGAATAGAGCCCTGGCTGGTGTGGCTCAGTGGATTGAGCGCAAGCTGCGAACCAAAGGGTCGCCAGTTCCATTGCCAGTCAGGGCACATGCCTGGGTTGCCGGCCAGGTCCCCAGTGGGGCGCATGGGAGAGGCAACCACACATTGATGTTTCTCTGTCTTTCTCCTTCCCTTCCTCTCTCTCTAAAAATAAATAAATAAAATCTTTAAAAAGAATTAAGAATAGAGCCCTGGCTGGTGTGGCTTAGTGGACTGAGCGCCAGTCTGCGAACCAAAGGGTCACCGGTTCCATTCCCGGTCAGGGCACGTGCCTGGGTTGCAGGCCAGGTTCCCAGTAGGGGGCGCATGAGAGGCAACTACACATTGATGTTTCTCTCCCTCTCTTTCTCCATCCATTCCCCTGTCTCTAAAAGAATAAATTAAAAAAAGTCTTTAGAATGAAGAATAGTATCCCCAAGCATTGGGGAGTTATGGGTAGTGGTTCAGCACCAAGGACAGAGGTCAGCTGGGCACAAGGGGACCCTGCAGGCCCAGAGGTTTCATGGTGGAGACTTGGAACGTGACAGTTGCCGGTCTCCCAGGAGAGGCCTGTGAGGAGGCAGTTGGTTCCCTGTGTCTGCAGCTGAGGAGTAAACTGTGGACAGAGACTCGGGGGTCGACAGGATCTCAGGACTTGTCAGCGAAGCCCTGGGAGAGGAATGAGACTATCCAAGGAAAGTGTACAGTGAGCAGAGAGTCCAGGGCAGGTCGCAGCCCCCTTTCCCAAAGCCCTGAGGCCACGGCCATCCGTGCGCCTGCGTCCTCCCTGCAGACTGAGCTCTGAGCCCACCCAGGGGAGGGGCGGTGCCTGTGCCTCTGGCATCAGGTGGCAGAAGGTCAGGCACAGTTGGCTGTCACCGTTTGTTGATGCTTACTCGGGTTGTCATGATGTCTGGGCAGCGCCACAAAAAAACCCAGTGATCTTTGCTCCCCTGCCGAAGCCGAGTGTGCCTTGTCCTGTGTCCTCTGTGGCTCAGGTAATCCCACTGTACAGCTGTCTCCCCACTAGACTGAGGGACTGGGACCCAGCCACCCTCTCGTCGACAGTTTGAGAAACTGGATGGGCCCGGCGCACAGGGCTCTGAGGGCTCATCCAGTGGATGAAAGACAAGCAGATGAGTGAGCTTAGTGAGAGCAGGGATGGAGGGAGGGCCGAGAGAGGGAATGAGGAACTGAGAGGCACGTGGGAGTGGGCGAACAGAGTGAATGGACGGCCGGGAGCCCGTACGTTTGGGTGGTTGAATGTGTGCGTGCTTGGTTCAGCCAGTGAGAGACAGAGAGGAAGGGGGTGGGCGTGGCAGTGATTGGAGCATCCAGACCAAACCGCCACCTCTTTCCCCTCCTCCCCAGGGCCCTTCCGCCGCAGTGACCTCCAGACCCTGGGCTACTGTTTGCTAAAGTGGATCTACGGGACCCTGCCGTGGACGAAATGCCTGTCCAACATCGAGGCCGTCATGAAGCTGAAACAGCAGTGAGTCTGGGGGTCAGCAGAGCGCAGCACTGGCCCAACACCCCTGCAGCAGGGGCAGAAGCTCAGCACCCCACAGCGGGGCAGAAAGGACGGGGAGGTGGTGTCCAGCAGAGCCAGGGCCCTGCAGTTCTCAGGCATTTGCTCTACAGTTTTTTTCCGACAGGCCAGGGCGTGGGCCCTGGAGCCTTGCTGCCTGGAGTCAGACTCTGGCCACACAGCTGCGGGGGTTTGCGTGGGCACCTTAACCTCCAAAAGCCTCACGTCCTCAGTGAGATGGGATCCTATTAGCGCCCGGTTCTGGGAGGCGATGGAAGGATTTGGGGGATGCAGGGACGCGGTACTCAGTGGGGAGCCTGGCCTGTAAAAAAGGCTCACCGCGCACTGGACCACATGACTCATTCATTCCTTCACGAGCATGTGGGCGACTGAGCAGTAGGTTTGGGCCCTCCTCAGCACAGGCAGCACCAGCTGCTGCTGGTCACACCTCCCCTCCCTCACCTCTGCGTGTAAAACCACCAGAGCCGGCTAGTTCTGTTTGCACATTCAGCACCAAGGACAGCGCCCCGTCTGGCCCGCAGCGCAAGGAAGTGCTGAGGTGTGAGGTTCAGCACCAAGGACAAAGGTGCCTGTTTGCAAAGGAAAGTGCTGCCCGTGGGGTTCAGCACCAGGCAGAAAGACGTAAGCGCGGGGCCTTGGTCCTGGGCACCAAGGACAGTTGGTGAACATCTGGAGGGACACAGGGAAGCGCTGCAGGCCCAGAGGACGGGATTCAAGATTTGGTGCAGACTGGAGGCTGAGAGCTGCACAGGGTCCCCCGGGGAGGGCCATCTGGAGGTAGTTGGCTGTCAGCTTCCGAAGTGCAGAAGCAAAGTCTGCAGGGAGATTCGGACCTCAGCAGTATCTCAGGAGTTGTCACCAGCGGCGCTGGGAGGGGTGAGGGTTTCCAGGGAGGATGTGCCTCGTGGGATGCGGGGAAACTCACCAGTGACCAGCATTGCATCCCCAGATTCTCAGTTCTTAGCGCACTGTGTTCCTCCTAAGCCTGGCTTCCTTTATTCTTCCCCTTCCGTGTCCCCCATCTGTCCCCTCTCACCTGTGGATACCCACGCACCCCAACATGCCACATCCATGTTCTACTGACACATTGGCTTAAGTGTATTTGTACCCTTAACTTGCATGACGGTGGTGGCACTGTGTGGTCCGACTTGCACAGATGGTGTTCGCTTAATCGAACCTGTTCCTGGCCTTTGTCACTTGACACTGTGTTCGCCAGCTTTCACCCCAGCGTTACATGTGCCTCGGGTTTCCTGCTCCTGACCACTGCTTTTAAATAAGTCTGTACGGATGTGTCTGTGTCCTTGAACACTGTACCATGAGTGTACTTTCTCTGCATAAATAGCGTTCTGCTCGAAATTTCGTTGTTTCTGGCCTTCCTTCACTCAGTGCTGTGTTTCTGAACCGTCGGCTGTGAGCTAGTTCTCCACCTCTGAATGCTTCTAACTTGGCTTCTTTAAACGCACCTCTGTCCTTGAAACGCTTCGAAGCCTGTGGGTCCCCAGGTGGGAGGCTGGACGCAGCCTCCCTCCACTGAGCACCCAGCTGTGCGGCACCTGCTGTGCTCAGGAGCCGTTCTAGGCCCTGGGGCACAGGATCCAGTGAGACGCGCCTCCCGGCCCTTGGGGAGCTCCCACACCGGCTGGGGGAGGGGAAGAGACCTAGAGCGCAGCACAGCGCAGGTCAGAGGTCAGACCAGTGGGGCGGTCCAGTCAGAGCCCTGGGAAGATCCAGCAGGGTGCTGGGGACTGGCAGGGTACAGGCACCTGCCACTTGTTTTTTTAAGATTTATTTTTTAGAGAGAGAAAGGGAGAGAAACATCAATGTGTGGTTGCCTCTCACATGCCCCCTACTGGGGACCTGGCCTGCAACCCAGGCACGTGCCCTGACTGGGAATCGAACCAGCTACCTTTTGGTTCACAGGCCAGTACTCAGTCCACTGACCCACATCAGCCAGGGCGGCACCTGCCACTCTTGTAAATTTAATAGCCAGGGTGGGTCTCACGACAAGGGTGATGGGTCAGTCACCTCCAGAGGGTTGGTGAGGCAAGGAGGAGTCTCACTTTGGCTGATGTGCCCCTAACATTTCTGCAGAAGGAAGCAAAGACAGACAGACAGACAGACAGACATAGACAGAGGCCTCCAGCTCCCAGGCTCCCTCAGGCTGCCTCTGCCACAGAGCCTGCCAGACACGCGCCATTGCCTTGTTTTCTTGGGACTCAACTGCTGCTGGAACTGACTCTCCAGCTCTCCCTTAGCTTTCCATGTGCCAAGTGCAGCCAGGTGGGAATGCGGGGTCCCAGAGTAGGGCGCACGGCAGCAGGAGCGTGCCGCCCGTACGCTGTCGCGCTGAGCGTGCCTGAAGTGCGTGGTCCCCTCCTTCACGTGCTTCTGTTGGCTTTGTTAGGGGCAAGGCTGAGCTGCTCTTGCGAGCAGACCCCACAACACTACCGTGGCCCGGATGAGGCAGGCGTTTGCTTCCCTCCTGGAACAGCCCCCGGGTGGGAGGCCGAGGGCGGCGGGTGCCTCAGCCCCTTTCCGCATGCACACGTCCTTCCCTGAGTGCCAGCCCTGCTGCCACCATCTCCGTCACTTTGAAAGGGTGGGACTGGGAACAATGTGCGTCTCTTGGTCACGTGGCCACCCTGAGCTGCAGTGGGCTTGGGAAATGTCTGCAGCCTGTGGCTGCTGACCCTGAGGAGCCTGCCGACAAGCAGGAGAGGTGACACTGGGTGGCAGGGAGCAGGTCCTCCACAGTGCCACCTGGCGCCACGTTTCTGAGGGCAGCGGCCACATCAGCTATCTCTGTCACTGTCACCGTGTTGTTCACAGCACCGGGCTGGGCATGTGGTGAGTGCCCACGAGATCACTGTGAATCGAACACGTGACCCTTTATTCTTAGACCCGGGCTTCTGTGTAGACACACGGGTCAGGCAGACAGGCCCCGGCCTTGGGGATTCCCAGGCTGGGGGCAGACACCTGGGCAGGAAGCAGACACTGAATGTGATGTGGAAGCCCCCAGGGGCACTGTGGGAGCAGAGGGGAGGCAGGTGACCTGGCCTCAGCCCCCGCTGGCAGCCTTGACCCAAAGGATGCCTGGCTCAGTCTCTAGAAAGCAGAGTTATTTCCCAGGCAGGTAAGGGGGAAGTGAGATTTCCAGACCAGCAGGATGGCGCTTACATGAACTCATCATTCATTCATACGTTCATTGAGGACCTGTCTTCCTAGGACATCAGTGGGCCAACCCTGTGCTAGCAAACACTAGGAGTCGGCTGAGGGCCCCTCTTGTCATTGGTGGAACTACCTGCTGAGGCTCTGATTGGCTGAATCCTCTCTCCCTCTACCTCCCTAACTCCCAAGAAGTCCTGTCTCCTTTTTCGAATCTCTCCCACCTTCCCCTTGATGTCTGAGTGATGCCAAGGTGGTGCAGAGTAAAGAAAATGGGTCCCAGTAATCGTTTTAAGGTTGGTGATTTCAGCCCGAGTAGCACTTCATTCCAGAGCCCCAGAGCCCAACCACAGAGGGAGGGCGGGGCGGGTGAACCTGGAGACCTGGGCGGTAATATCCCCAGCATCTTGGACCCCACCGCCCAGAGTTGAGGCAGTAACGAAGAGAACCACGAGGGGGCGATGTTGGAGCATGCAGGTTTTCTGGAACCCTCACTTGTCTTTCTCTGGGACATCGTAGTGGTAGTTGCGTGTGGCCTTTTTCCACTCATTCAGCAAATATTTGTCCATTTTCTTGTACCTCTTAATTCATGCCAGAATCAATGGCTAAAAGAAACAAGAGCCCTGGCTGGTGTGGCTCAGTGGATTGAGCGCCGGCCTGCAAACCAAAAGGTCACTGGTTCAATTCCCAGGCAGGGCATGTGCCTGTTGGGTTTCGGGCCAGGTCCCTGGTTGGGTGCATGTGAGAGGCAACCAGTTGATATTTCTCTCACACACTCATGCTCTCTTCCTCTCTTTCTCCTCCTCTCTCTAAAAAAGTAAAATGAAATATTTAAAAAGAAAAAAGAGAGACACTGTGATGCCCCATGGCTTTCTAGTGTGCGAAGCGCCCAGCTGGGAAAGCACAGATGTGACCCAGATTTGGTCCCTGCTGTGAAGGCCACCAGCTAGGCAGGAAAATCCCACCACCACTGACAGCGACAGTCTGTGTGGGGAGGAGTGTTCACTCTGTCACTCATTCATTCATTCATTCGCCACACACGTCCTGGGGCTGCAGGGAGAAAGGGCTCAGACCGCCACTTCCTGTACAGGCATCTCTCAGGGTGCTGTAGTGCATCTGCGGCCTTCTGTTCAGGCTGCTCTCGAACTCAGGAGGGGTCAACTTCCTCTGCCTGGAGGGGCCCGGGGGAGCTTCCAGGACACCAGCCCTGGGGCTGTGACCCAAAGCGGGAGCAGCTACCCAGTGGGGTCAAGGCAGGTAAAGGCCATCCAGGGCAGAGAGGGCATTATGAGGTCAGAGGATGTTTGGGGAGCTAGAAAAACTTGGGTGTGGCCAGAGCATGAGGTGAAGGGGAGGGAGTCAGGGAGACAGGGTCGGAAGGGCTGGCCTGCTCCCGGGGGCTTTCCTGGGGAGCCCCAGGAGGGCTGCGAGCTGGGAGGGGCAGAGGCAGCTCTGGGGCCATGCATGGGAGACAGGGGAGGGAGCTGGGGCCCAGGGAGAGAGTGAGGCCCGAGCCTGGCCCAGAGCCTTGCACAGAGCAGGGGATGGGGCAGAGAGGGCTAGGGCGCAGGTGGGCGGGGCTTGGGGACTTCTGGGAGGGTGGGGGGAGGAAAGGACAGTGCCCAGGGTCTGAGTGGACATTGGAGATAAGCCAAGGAAACAGATGAATTTCTTGTTTTTCTTGAGTGGTCCAAGAGGGGTGTATATGTGTTTATATATGTATATATGTATACAAATATCTGTGTGTGGATAGCCATTCTTTGTTATTCACAAATCTCATATGTGCGAATTTGCCTGTTCACTCCAATGTACCTGTAACCCCCAAATCAACACTCAACAATGCTTTCGAGGTGATTCTCAGACGCACTCAGAGTGGACAAAACTTAGGGCGGCCCGAGGCCTGCGGTCCTGGCGGAGGTCAGACAGGCTGTGCCCCGCCTTCTTGGTTCAGCTCCCTCACTGTAAACCAGCGTCCTGCGTGTGGCCTACTTTATGCCCCATTTTCCACCTTTTTTGTGCTTTTTGTCGGTGATTTTGCTGTTTCAAGGGGCCCCGAGGCACGCTTTCCCTCTCAGGTGGGCATCTCCTGAAGCCTAAGGGACCCCATGAGACTTGCAGCCAGGGGAGCAGTGGGCAGCGGCAGCTCATCCCGGGCTCACCCCCTGCACCCATCCCCAGGGCCCCTTTTCTCTGACTCCCCAGGGACCCAGAGCCGCCCGGCCCAGGCTCTCCTGCTGCTGCTTCTATCCTAGGCCCTTTCTTGTTTCACTGTCCCCAGCTTTAATGAACGTACTCTCACAATCAATCAGTAATACAGAGGCCCCAAGCGTAGGCTGCGGTGCTCTCTTGTGTTCCTCGGTGTCAGAGGCAGTGATGAGCTTCCAGAGAAGGGCCTTGTATTCGAAGAGCTTCCCTCAGGCGCGAGCCCAGTGCCGCTGGCCGTGAGCTCCATGTGGATAAATCCACATTGTTAAATAACCACATAAAACAAGGTTATTACGTATTGATCAGTCGATGAGAATGTCAGGACCAGCCCTGGCCAGTGTGGCTCAGTGGATTGAGCACCAGCCTGAACACCCAAGGGTCACCAGTTCAATTCCCAGTCAGGGCACATGCTGGGGTTGCAGCCCAGGTCCCCATTAGGGGGCGCAGGAGAGATAGCCAATCCATGTTTCTCTCTCTCTCCCTCTCTCCCTCTCCCTTCCCCTCTCCCTAAAAGTAAATAAATAAATTTTTTTTAAAAGCTCTTTTTCCCCATAAAAGCCCTGGCTGGTATAGCTCAGTGGATTGAGCACTGGCCTGAGGACTGAAACTTTGCTGATTTGATTCCCAGTCAGGGCACATGCCTGGCTTGCAGCCAGGTCCCCAGTTGGGGCGTGTGTACAAGACGCAACCAATCAGCGTTTCTCTCCCTGTCTTTCTCCCCTCTTTCCCCTCACTCTAAAAATCAATGAAATTTTTTTTAAAGAAAAGAGAATGTTGTGACCAGAGGCTCACAGGAACCGAATGCAACATTTCCCCTACAGGCAGATTCAGAAGTTGCTAATTCAGTGTTCAGGGCAACTCCACAGGGCGTAACTACCGTGAATAACACGCATCTACCGTGCGGCGATGAGACACTTTTGTTTAAATGGTTGCTTTCCCTTCCCCACAAGACCTTTGCATGTCCCTCTGTCCCCTCAGGTTCCTTGACAACCCGGAGGCCCTGGTGAGACAGTACAGTCGCCAGATGAGTCCCTCAGGTATGTCCTGAAGGGGAGGGTGGGGGGGCCACGGGGGGACAGGGTTGGGGGGCGGCTTTGATCCATGCAAGGTCTCCTGTCTTTAACACACCTCCGTTGTCCTTCTTTGAGTGTTTCAAATTGCATATGCGTATGTGCTCATTGTAGAAAAACAAAACTCTTGCCCTGGCTGGTGTAGCTCAGTGGATTGAGTGCAGGCTGCGAACCGAAAGGGTTGTAGGTTCAATTCCCAGTCAGGGCACATGCCTGGGTTGCAGGCCAGTTCCCAGCAGGAGACACATGAGAGGCAACCACACAGTAATGTTTCTCTCCTTCCCTCCTTCCCTTCCTTCCCCTCTAAAGATAAATAAGTAAAATCTTTTTTTTTAATCTATCTAAAAAAGAAAAAGAAAAACAGTGCTTTATCTGGGTACAACAGCCCATCATATGATACGTGATATAAGGTACCATATGAATGACTATGTAAAAATATTTCATGAATTCTTCATTGATAAACCTTTAAGTTGTCTCTAACTTTCTGATACTATAAACGCTACTCCATTTTTTTCTTTACTGGATTTTGGTGCAAATACCGATCTAATCTTTGCTTATAAAATAATTTAAACCAAACAGAAATGAGTTCCTGACCCTTCCTTGCCCCCTTCCTTCCCCAATCATACTTTCAGAGACATGCAGGGGGTACGTATCAGTTACCTATTGCTTTGTAACAAACCACTTCAAAACAGCCTGACCTAAAACCACAGCCATTCATTTCTTTACGACCCTGGAATAACCTCCAGGCCAGGTTCAGCCCAGCACTTGATGGGCTGGTCTTCATGCTCTGATTGGCTCCCCTGGCTGGGGGGGGGGGGGTCGAGTGGCTCCTCTCCCTCCCTTCTGGCGACAGGAGTCCGGTTGTCACAGGCAGGCCTAGGAATCCTCCTCTGGGACCGCTCATCTCTGCTCCCCAGGTCCCGCCCTCTCCCGCAGGCTAGAGGGGGCTTCCTCCCGCCGTGCCCCTGGGGAAGCCTTCCGGGAGGGCAAGAGTGGACACTGCCGAGCACGGGGGTCCAAGAACGGCACTCCGGCCATCAGCAAGGCCAGCCCACTCTCCAGAGGCCGGGAAGCAGCAGTCACAGGGCGAGGGGACAGGCAAGCAGGTCCCTACGCCAGGAGTTGAGAGTCTGCCAGCTGCAGCCAGTACCCCGTCTGCGTAGGGGGCCAGCATGGATAAATGCATGCACGCGTGGTTTTGTTTTGCAAAACCATTGGTTTTTACAAAACTCTTTCTGTGAAACAAAAAGTCTCACCCTGCGCGCGTTTGGGTCGGCATCTTGCGTTTTACGTTCACGACCGTTGGGCTCTCTGTTACTCACACGAGCATCACAGCCGTTTTTCACGGCTGCACCATATTCGCGGTTTGGCTGAACCATCGTTCTCAAGGCCAGTCTCCTTTATTGGAGATTCACGCTGGTTTTGGTTTCTGCCTGCGTGTTTTTCTCCCAGTGTCCTTTCTGTAGAACTCCTACACCGCCCCCTGAGCAGGAGGCAGGGTGAGACACGGGTAGTTCATCTGATGCCTCCAGCTCTGTAAGGGCTCACTTTTTTTAAAAAAATTATTTATTTACTGTTAGAGAGAGGGGAAGGAAAAAAGGAAGAGAGGTAGAGAAACATCAGTGTGTGAGAGATACAGTCATGGGTTGCCTTTCATATGCCCCCAACTGGGGACCTGGCGCACAACCCAGGCGTGTGCCCTGACTTGGAAACGAACGGGCTACCTTTCGGTTCGCAAGCCGGCGCTCGGTCCACTGAGCCACACCAGTCAGGGCAGGGCTCACTTTTTAATTTCCCGAAACCGCTGAATTCAAGTCCTGGCTGTGCTGCCCAAGTCGCTTTCGCCTCCAGCCCGGCGTTCTTGATCCTTAAGGAACGAGCCCCTGACTCGCCGGCCGAGGCGGGGCTTGCGTGATGGACGTGGGGTGAGGGCGGGGCTGGCCCGCCTGTGGGAGGAGGAGGTCGCAGCCTCTAGTCAGGTACCAGGCGGGGTGGAACTTTAGTGGGTAAATATCCCTCTCTGTGCTTCAGCTTGAGTAGAAAGGGGCCAGTAACAGACCCCACCTCCGGGGTTGCCCAGGGAATTCAGTGCAGAGCCGCCTGCACAGAGCTCCGCCCAGGCCGCTGCCTCAGCCTCCGCTGCAGCCCTGATCATCCGATAAACGAGCTTTTTAGTTTAGTGGTGGTCATTCCCCACGCGGGGACTATTATGCCTGCTATTATATGTCATAACAGACGCTTTTTGAGAGAGTGATGATGGCAATGTGCTTATTTAGGGAGGGAAAGAAACAACAGCAGCAAAAAGTTTTTATCATTTAAGCTGTGTCCCCGGGGCCTGTGTCTGTAAAGCCAGAATTGTTTTGCATTTTGAAATGGGGGGGGGGGGGGGGGCGTGGAATGAAAACATTACTGTGCAACTTACGTGGAATTCAGGCGGCAGCATTCCATAAGCCTGGGCACAGCCACGCCCACACGCTCGCCCAGCTGCTGGCCGCTTCTGTAGGAGAACAGCTGAGTCGAGTTCTTTCCGACACAGACCAACCAAAAATGTCGACTCGCCGGATTTTGCAGTCTAAGTTTGCTGGTCCCCATTTTAGGGACCCACTAAAGATTTACCGGTCAAATGTCAATTCGCTGGGATCTGCTTTCAAACATCGCAGGAGAGGGCAGGGGTAGCGTTCTGAAAAAAGGAGATTAGCTGTGATTGACAGTTGTAGAGACTGGGTGATGGGTTCGCGATACTGTTTCTCTGTTGCGTACATCTGATGTTTTCCAAACATTTTTAAAAAGCCCTGGCTGGTGTGGCTCAGTGGATTGAGCACGGGACTGTGAACCAAAGGGTCACTGGTTCAATTCCCAGTCAGGGTTGCATGTGGTCAGGGTCCCCAGTAGGGGGCGCGTGAGAGGCAACCTCACGTTGATGTTTCTCTCCCTCCCTTTCCCCCTTCCTCTCTCTCTAAAAATAAATAAATGAAATCTTTTAAAAAGTTTTAAAGAATATCTCAGTGCCCATGGCCATGCCAGCCACAGGGGCCACACAGACTAGATGGACACCGTGAGTGAGACCCTCAGGGCGCAGCCTCCCAAGCTCAGGGCTGGGGGCCCCTCTCAAGCCTGTCCCGTGGGGGGGGGGGGGGTGTCTTGGCCACAGAGGCCCCACAGGAGTACCTGAAGGAGTACCTGAAGGCGGTGATGGCCCTCCGGTATGACGAGAAGCCCCCCTACGCTGTGCTGAGGATCAAACTGGAAGCCCTGCTGAAGACGCTGAAGGTGTCGGCCTATGGGCCCGTAGACCTCCACATGGCGCCATAGGTGGGTTCCGCTGGGACCAGTCTGTGAGTCGCAACCCCCCGCCCCACACCCCCAGACCTGCCCCCCAGGCCTCGTGTGACGTTTATTCCAGGCGCCAACCTCCTAGTTAGACGATGGCTTTTTCCACAGGGGTTTTGAACTTTCCAACCACCACCACCACCACCCCGCCGCCCCGCAAGCAATCACAAGGAGCAGAAACCTGACTCAAATTGTCTTTTACAAAGAGGCGGGTTGATGGACTCTTGTGGCTAGAAAATTCCAAATGGGGAAGCTTCAGGCATGGCCGGCTTCCCCGCCCAGAAAATAGCATCGCGATATTATCTGCCTCTGTCTTTCTCTGCCCTTTTTTCTTCCCTCTGCCTCTCCAGCCATCCCCCTGTGGTCTGAGGTCCTTTGGGTTGGCTCCCTTGTCTACCCCGCCCCCACCCCTGCAAAACCTCGCAGGCTCTGTGTCCTGCTGTTTGCACTTCCTGGTTCATCCCGCGGCCCTTCCTGTCAGCACGGAACGCCCTCGTTTAAGGTAGCGCCGTGTTCCGTGCGGACGAAGGGATGCTCCCCGCAGCCAGCGGCTGGCCTGTGCTCCTTTCCCCGGGGTTTTGTTTTGCAGCCAGCTCGGCCCTGCACGCGCTGGTGTGCGCCGTGTCTGTGATGAGTAGGCTGCCCTCCTCCAGGGCAGTGCCTATTTACACCCCCATTCGTGTCACGTGAGAGAGTGCACAGGCATTTGGGGGAGGTCAGAACTAAGTTCACTTTGCTAGGCAGCTTTGGCAAGGCCGCGTGGCCCTTCTGAAGAGGAGCTTCCTCTGCATCCTCCTGAGTCCGTGGAGCTGACATTTCCCTCCTTGGGGCGGGCTGGGATCGGAGCTCAGGGTTGGCCTAACTCAGGCCTTCCCCGATGAGGGTGAGAACAGCTGGGGGCTTCAGTCATTGCAGACGCTCTTGGTTGTCACCACTGGGGAGAGGGTGACATCTACCGGCATCTAGCAGGTGGAGCCTGTGGCTGTTCGGCCTCCCCTAAGGTCGCTCGTGCGGAGGCTGAGGGAGCCAGGTCCTCGGTCACCCTCCTGGTGGCAGCCGCGGCCCTCTTCCTGGCGGCACTTTGGTTACACTGCTTCCTCACTTCTGTGCCCTTCACTTCCGTCCCAAGGCGGACAACGCGAAATCACCCAGGGTAGCGCTCTCCGCCCAGGCCTAGTCCCAGAGCACTCCAAAAATGCCGGGGTGTGGGTTTGTTCTGTGGGGTCATGAACTCTCGGCCTGAATGACAAACACTTTCCAAAAGTGAAGGCCTGACTTCTCCACCCAGTGTGCCCCGGTCCCAGTCTCTCCAGCTGGCAAATGGCTCCTCTGTCTCCAAGCTGTACCAAAGGCCTCCAATCCACCCCAGGTCCCTCCCTCCTCCGGCCATCCCTCCTCATCCATTTCCTCCAGGTCTCAGCCCCACCCTCTCCCAGGGACCCTGTCTTCCCCCAGGTGGTGGACTGTGTGGTCCCTTGTCCCAGTCACCCTCTGGCTGTGAGCTCCATCAGGGCGGGTCATGCCTTTCCCAGGCATCCGTGTCTCCTGCACCTCGCTGCCTGGTGCGCCTGTGTTTATCGAGGGGCAGTGCCAGCCTTCCCCTCCACGCAGGCCCGTCCTCCCTGCCTGCCTGTCTGCCCCGCACAGCAGCCCCATTTCAGGGCCATCACAGTTACTGATCCGCTTGCTCTCTGGGGGCCTTCAGTTCAGCAGCAGGTTTGCCCTCGGTTGGGAACCAAATGAGAAGACACTTTGAGGAGCCCAGTGACCTTGGAGTAACTTAAAGATCACTCCACCTCTGCTCTGTGGCCACTCCTCACCTTGGCATGAGCCTGCCTTCCCCTCCTCTGGTCCACTCTGTGCCAGCCGCCGTCCTCCGCTCATATGCCAGACTCTGCCAAGCCCGATGCGGCCTCAGGACCTTTGCACTTGCCATGCCCCGGGGTCTGGAATGCTTTGCTCCTTCCGGTTTTCTGCGGCTGGCTCCTTCTCATGTCTGGCTCTCAGATCCTGAGGTCCCCTAACCATTCCTGCCCTTGGGGTGCCTCCTCTTATCCATCACCTCTTCTCTGCACAGCCATGCCCACCTCAGAGGGAAGCATGTGTTTAATTTGTAAAGTCTCCACCTTCCTCCTCAAAACTGTCAGCCCAGCGCAGGTGTCTTGTTGCCCTTGTTCACGGTGGGTCCCAGTCCCCGGGAAGTGCCTGCCCCAGAGCAGGGCCTTAAAGGGAGCTCCTTGAATGCACAAGACACTCACAGCGACTTTAATTGTCTCCCAGAACTTTCAACTCCCAGTTTGAAATAGAAAGAAAAAAGAGAAGAACTGTGACTCCAGGCCTGCTGTAGATTTGCTTCTGGAAAGATCCCTCAAATGTGAGTTCCTGCCGCTTCTTCCGGAGGCACTGCCTGTCCGTCTCCATCAGCAACAGGGGACTTGGCGGCTGGGCTCCAGGTGACGTGAACAGCCTCCCTCCAACTGTCCGAGTCTCCTGGCCACCGCTGGGCTGTGAACAGAGAAGACCCCAACCCACGGCCCCTCAGGGGGACCCTTCCTACCACTGGCACCACTACCCTTTGGCAATAAATTGTTTCACTGGAGTTTGTTGGAGAGTTGCATGTCTGCAAAAGAAGTCCCCTTTGAAAAAGTTGAGCCCCCTTTCTCCCCCACCCACCCATCCCCCCAACCTTTCCAGACCTGGTGGGGCCACTCATAGATGCATTCTTCCGTCCGTCCATCCGTCCATCCACCCTCCCATTCATACACAGATGCACTTCAACTTACAATGTGGTTACGTCCCACTATAAGTTGAAAATATTGTAAGCCGAAAATGCACTTAGCCCTGGCTGGTTTGGCTCTGTTGGTTGGAGTGCTGGCCTGCAAACCAAAAAGTCATGGGTTCGATTCCAGGTCCAGGGGGCACATGCCTGGGTTGCAGCTTTGGTCCCCCGTCAAGGTGCATGCAGGAGGCAGCTGATCGATGTTTCTCTCTCATGTCCATGTTTCTCCCACTCTCTCTCCCTCCCTCCCCCCTCGCTAAAATCAATAAGCATGTCCTTGGGTGAGGAAGAAAGAAAGAGAGAGAGAGAGAGAGAGAGAGAGAGAGAGAGAGAGAGAGAGAGAGAGAGAGAGAGAGAGAGAAGGAAGGGAAGAAGGAAAGAAAAAGAAAATGCACTTAATGAACCCAGACGCAGAGCTATGCCTTCCATAAAAATGAACTCAAACGCAAAAGTATGAAACTTCTAGAAGAAAGCATAGGAGAAAAACCTATACGACGTCGGTAAAAAATAAATAAAAGAAGGAAAGGAAGGAATAAAAAAGGAAACTGCGTTTAACACCACACGGTGCAGTACCGGCTGTTTACCTGGTGGTGGCGCAGCTGGCGAGGCTGCACCCGCAGCCGCTGTCCAGCACCATAATTGCAGGCCCAGTATCGCACCCCATCTCGCTAGCCCGGGAAAAGATCAAACCTCAAAAATCCAAATTATACTCTCGCTTTCGCACCCTGGTAAATTCAAAATATTGTAAATCGACCCGCCGGAAGTCTGGGACCGTCTGCATTTGCCCTTCCGCCCAACCCTCCATCCAACTGTTCATTTAGTAACCGGACCGACTCATACCACCACCACCACCACCACCCCCGCAGCTCACCCTTCCTGCCTGCCATTCATTCATCCTTCCTTTTATTCAACAAATACTCGGCAGGCACAGGCATCGTGCCGCCCGCACGGAGGATCCTGGTGAACAAGGCAAGCATCCAAGCGGCGGGAGCCGGTTCTCTGTCCCCCACACCTGGACTCTGCCCCCAAATGGAACTGTGGCTTAAGTTAATCAGACGTTTCTGGTGGTGGGGCAGTAAACCATTTTTGCCCCAGGACACCTCCGAGCCTTCAGTGAAGGCAGGTGTGGTGCGTAGGCAGAAGGTCCCCGGAGGCAGCTGGGAGGGACGGGTTATTTCCTTTTGCTTAGGAAAAAGGCTTATTCCTAAGGCAGTTATGAGTGAAATCCCTGCCACATGAGGCCTCAGAATCAATAGCAAGCATTTGCAGAGACTCTTAACTGGCGCTAAAAAAAGCGAAGTTTGTACCCTTGCTGGTATAGCTCAGTGGATTGAGTGTGGGCTGTGAACTAAAGGGTCTCAGGTTCAATTCCCAGTCAGGGTACAGGCCTGGATTGCAGGCCAGCTCCCAGCAGAGGGTGCATGAGATGTAACCATATGTTGATATTTCTCTCCCTCTCTCCTTCCCTTCCTCTCTAAAGATAAATAAATAAAATACTTTAAAAAGGACATTACATTACTTGGGCCCTGGCTGGTGTAGCTCAATGGATTGAGCACGGGCCTGTGAACCAGAGAATTGCAGTTCGATTCCCAGTCAGGGAACATGCTTGGGTTGCGGGCCAGTTCCCATATTCTCTCCCTCTCTCCTTCCCTTCCCCTCTAAAAATAAAATAAAATCTTAAAAAAAAAAAAAAAAGACATTACTTGGGCCAGGAAGAGAAATTCTGAGTTGAAGTGGGTAATTATCACAGCATTTCCATGATGGTCTTTTCAAAAAGATTTTATCCCTGGAAGCATGTGATTCTTTCACATCGATGTCCCTAAATACTCTCTACCCACCTGGGGACAAGTGGAATCATCTTAAGGAAATAAGAAATGACAACAAGCCTCTCATTTTGTCAGTGGGTACCATATTTTTTTACCATGTTATTCCATTTTTTAAATCTTAAAAAATATATTTTATTTATATTTAGAGAGAGGGAAGGGAAGGAGAAAGAGTGGGAGAGGAACATTAATGTGTGGTTGCCTCTCATGTGTCCCCCACTGGGGACCTGCCCTGCAACCCAGGCATGTGCCCTGACTGGGAATCGAACCGGTGACTGTTTGCCTCAGAGGCCCATGCTCAATCCACTGAGTTACAGCAGCCAGGGCTAAATCTTTTTTTATTGTATTTTTTCCCATTGCCATTCAGTCCCCTTACACCCCGCTCCCCCAGCAATCACCGCACTGTTGTCCATGTCCATGAGTCCTTTTTCCTTCGGGCATCATTTGCAGAAGTCGCTAAGAGATGTAACATAGTCCTGCAGCTTGGCAAAGCCAGTTGTGCTTGAAGGTTGGAATCCCAACCCATCAAATTTGAAGAGCGGTTATAGTACAAAGGTGTTAACTTTAAAATATATATTTTCTTTACTTTTAGAGAGAGAGAGAAACATCAATATGTGGATTCCCTATTGTGCGCCCCCTACTGGGGACCTGGCCGGCAACACAGGTATGTGCCCTGACTGGGAATGGAACCCGCGACCTTTTGATTGGCAGTCCCGCATTCAAGCCACTGAGCCACTCCAGCCAGGGCACAAAGGTGTTAACTTTATGCCAAAGCCTGTTCTCTGTGTTGGTTCGGCGCACTGGTGTTTTCCTGTTAATGGAAACTGTGGGGAAAACTCAGTGGATGAACACTGAGTCAATGCAAAAGCGAACAAAATAAGTTGGATGTGACCACTCTAAAAACTAATTCCAAAGTAAATGGAACATGGATTGTAACGGCGAGGAATTTTACAAGCAAACTCTGCAAAAAGAAACCGTTAAGGAGAACCAAAGTGTCAGGGGCATAGAATGAAAGAAAGAGGTGTGTAATTAGATAAGCTATCAGTTCAGATCATCAGTGAGCGATTTTGTGTGTGTGCTACAATACACAAATGGGGTTTGTAGGAAGCTAGCTCCAAGAGACCTGCGTGCAGCGGCCATGCCCGGGAGGTGGTCCCTGTGGAGGGGAGGGGTCGCAGGCACGTGGGGCGGAGCTGCATTGAGGCCCAGCGACAGCCTCGCCCAGGCCTTCAGGGAGGCCTGGAGCTGAAACAGCCCTGCAGAGTGGTCCCCATCTCAGCCAGGATGCCCGTACCCTTATTCCAGGCGGGCTGCTCTGAAAAGACGCGTGAGCTCAGGCGCGGGGCGCGCTCTGCGCACGCGCACCTGTCCGGCGCTTTACTGTTCATTGTTGCCTCAACCCTCTGCCACAGCCCTGCAAGTTGGGTTTCCAGTCCCCACGTTACGAGAGGAGACTAGGAAGTGACGGGCCGTGCTCAAACTCAGGCTCCTGATTGGCGATGGGGCTGAAATTTGAGCCCAGTTCCGCCCATCACCACACCACTGGGACACCCTTGCAGTAGTCCTTAGCTCGTTCTCCGGAGTTGTCCCTGACGTCTCCCTTCCCGGAGAAGCCCTGGGTCTTCCAGCCACAGGTCGCCGGAGCTGGGGGGTCCTTATTCGCGGATCTTGATCTCTGCGTACTCGGTGGTGCTGGTGGCCTCCTGGTCCGGACGCTCGCAGGGCCTCAGCTCTTGGAAGCTGAGCGAAGCGTAATGGAGCTCGTGCTCCTCCCCGGAGGTGGGCGCGGCCGGCGCCGGGCTTGGGTGGTCTCGGTGGCTGCCTGGGAGGCACTTATGCTGGTAACCCTGAGTGGAGAGGAGGAAAGGGGGTCAAATTAGGAGAATGGGGGCTGGGAGACAGCAAGGGACCTGGAAACTGACTAATTTGCTCAGTTTGTGATTAGCTTCGTTTCCTAATCTAATCACAAACATTGGTGGAGCCCCCATTCATTCATGCAGTCAACAAATATTTGAGAGTAATAATGTCTAGACCTTAGTAATCAATTGCCACTCTCCTAGATCCCTCACAACGATCCACTTGGGTGACGCTATCGCTATGCTCCTGTATCAGGTGGAGAACCTGGGGCTAAGTAAATACCCCCAAAAGCACACACCGAATTGTTGGCATGGCCAAGGTGCGTGTATGGTCTCTGGCTTCAGTGCCTGCTGCCTTGTGGGACAGCTTCCCTGTGCCAGGCCCTGCATATTCATTGGGGAACAAAGCGGACACCATCCCTGACCTCCCTTTGGCTTGCAGTAGGGGAAGCAGCCATTAAGGTAGTAGTCAATTATATTACTCTCTAACTGCAAATTGCATGGCGGTAGGAGAAGGGCAGGAACTTGCTCAGATCTGGACTGCCCTCAGGAACCACTGAGCATTTCAGAGGTTCGAGCAACCGCATTTGTGAAATTATCTTATGAACCCTCCAAAGTATATCACAGTGAAGGGCTAACCTCGCCCAAAGAAAAGCTTGGCCCTTTGCCCCCAGCACCTGGGAGAGAACCTCCAACTAAGCCCTTGGAATGTCCTGCCTGACAAGAGTGTCTTTGCTCCTCTGGGACCTGGGGCCACACCAGGCAGCCCATGTGAGGGACGGTGAGGGCCTTGGGGCATGTGGCATTGGCTGGACCACAGCAGGGGACAGAGACTGAGTCCAGCTACCTGGACGGTCAGCCCTGCCTCCCTGACCGACGACCCCCAGTTAAAACTGGACACTGAGGCCCAGGTGGGCTTCCCAGGTCGGGGTACCCTGTGTGTTTCACACATCGCTGCTGGGAGAAGTAAGTGATGTAAGGAAGTAATCAGCCCCTTGGCTGATTTCATCCCGCGCCTTCGGCTGTAATGAGCCACAACTATGAGTGAAACAACTTTTCTGAGTTTCGTGAACCCTTCTGGTGAGGTATGGAACATGAGAGTGTCTTGGGGACCCCTAAACTTGTAGTAGACAATTTTGGGGGGGATCCCTCGACATCCTGTGCTGGGGAGGAGAGATAGGAAGGAGAAGGAAAAGGGGCTGCGAGGGCAGGGGGGACCCACTAGACCGGAACACATGCAGTGAGATGGACAGGTCCTTGGCTCTGGGAGAGGAGATGGGGAGCAGAGGGGAGGGGGATACCCCGGTCACTGGCCTGGGTGACTGAGTTGAGGGGGACCCAAGAGGAAAAGCCTATTTGGGGCACGATGATCACCTTAAGGCATCAAGACAGAGGAGGCCATGGACACCCCAGAGAGGCGGACAGAGGGCCCATGACTCACCCGGGAGGTGGGACCCAGCCGGGAGGGGGCGTCCTTCCCACCAGCTGCAGCCTCAGGTGCATCCTTCCTGCGGGTCTTCACTCTGAAGGGGAGGCCGGGACCTTTCAGCAACCTGCCAGGCTGAGAGCTTGGAGTGTGACCACTGCCCCCCTGCCGAAGAGGCTGGACGGGCTGCCCAAAGCCGGGACCGGGGGACACACCTAGGCAGATGACTTTTGTAATGAAAGCAGGTGTTCTTCACAGGTGGCTGGGGTCGAGGTGGGAACCGACCCTGCTCTGGTCTTGCAGCCTGGGCCCCAGGCCAGGGGGGACCAGGCGTCTGAGATTTCAGGACCTAGATCCCCTCCCACCCCTGCCTCGCCCTCCCTCCGGGGCCACACTCACTTGAAGAAGATGAAACCGAGGCAGAGGCTGAGCAGGCCAGCAGCACCGGCTCCCCCCACAGCCCCCAAGAAGAATGCTTTCCCCAGCTCCGGCTTCCCTGCAGACCAGTGGGGTTTGGGGTGACTCCCCAGACCCTGTGCCCCTTCCTCCCGCGGAGCCTGAGCTCTCCCGTTCTTACTGGGCTCTGCCCCCCACCACTCCCTCTCTCTCGTCCCTTCCTGTCAGGCTGCAGCCGCTCTCCCAGCGCCATCCTCCCTTTGGTCCCTTCCTTCCTCCCTCAGCCTCCGCCCCCAGCAGGCCCCTGACCTGGCAGCAGCAGGACACTGGCGCTCTGGGCCCCGTGGACATTCTGCACCTCGCAGCTGAGCCTGAGGCCGGCGCTGAGCCCCGCGCGGAGGCTCAGGGAGCTGTTGGCCCAGGGCCCCTCTGAGCTGGAGGTCACCGTGTAGGAGGCATTGCTGTGGTTCCCCTCCAGCAGCCTCTCCCCCAGCCGCCAGCGCAGCGAGGGGGCCGGCTCGGCTCGGGAGGAGCAGCTGCAGCGCAGACCCTCGTCTTCCCAGGAGCAGGAGGTTCCCAGCAGCCGTGGGGGGTCTGTGGGGAGCGAGAAGAAGGGTCAGCGGTACCTCTAGGCTCCCAGGCCCCAGGTGCCCTGCCCCCAGGTGCCCCCATCCCCCCACTCACAGTGCACCGAGAGATGCAGGGAGACGCGCAGAGAGCCCCGCGGGTGCTGAGCCTGGCAGGAGAATTCGCCTTCATGCTGGGACTCCACCCGGGACAACTGCAAGACCCCGGGGTTCCAAGGCTTCAAGGGGCTCAGGGTCCGGCTGCCCCGGGCCCAGCTCAGGGTGGCGGGAGGGTTGCTGTCCGCGACGCAGAGCAGGCCCAGAGAGTCCCCTTCCCGGACTGGAAGAGATGAGCCGTTCCCCACATATTCCAGCTCTGGGGACAGGGAGAGAAGGGCAGAGCTGAGCCCAGGCCTGTAGCTCGCGACCGAACCTTCTACCTATTTCTCCTTCACTTTTTTTAAGTGTTAGTTATGAAATGTTATGTCTACAACTTAGTTAAAGATTTTTTAAATTATTATTTAGAGGGGAAGGGAAGGAGAGAGAGAGAAATATCAACGTATGGTTGCCTTTCATGCATCCCCTGCTGGGAACTGGCCTGCAACCCAGGCAGGTGCCCTGACTGGGAAACGAACCTCCATCCTTTGGTTTGCAGGCCCCTGCTCAATCCACTGAGCTACACCAGCCAGGCTTTTTTTCCCCCCCTAAGTTGGGAAGGGATCCCTACAGGTAAGTTTTGCAAGCAGCTTTATTGAGATATAATTCGCATGCCGTACAACTCCTTGAACATAGCTTCACCACGACTGATTTAGAATGTTTTCATCAGCACCCCCCAAAAGAGACCGTGCACACCTCCACACCGCCTCCCCTCCCCAAACCACCACGAACCTATTTCCTGTCTCTACCAATCTGCACGTCACATGGAAATAGAGGCAGACTCGATGGCCTCTACCTCCTTTCACTTATCGCGGCTCTTCCCAGGCTTCATCCCTGTCCGTGGCCGAATCATGTCCCCCATCTGGATGGACCACGCTTTGTTTCTCCGTCCGTCCATCCATCCGCTGCCGAACCTGGGAGCTGTGCCCCTTGGCTTCTTCCAGGAGCCACCCTGATCCACATTTCTCTCCTTCCTGAACTGCACGGTGCCCCTCCTCCAAGTCCCCAACAACAATGAAGCATCCTTCAAGGTGTCTCGGGACCTCATGTCTACCTCCTTCTCTCCTTCCCCCAGTTACCTCGGGTCAAGCAGGGCGTTGACAGGTGGCATTCCAAAGTTTGCAGAGAACCCTGGCTGGTGTGACTCAGTGGATTCAGTGCCAGCCTGTGAACCAACCGGTTCGATTCCCAGTCAGGGCACCCACTTGGGTTGCGGGCCTGGCCCCCAGTAGGGGCGCATGAGAGACAACCACACACTGATATTTCTCCCCCTCTCCCTCTGTCTAAAAATAAATAAGTAAAATCTTTAAAATTTGCAGAGGAGGAAGGGGTGTTGGGAATAAAGTCTGTGGCCCAGGGGCATCAGCTCCCTCCTGGCTCTGGTTAGAAATGCAGAAGCTGCATCGTCACAAGATCCTCGAGAAAGTCAGAGGCCACGTAAAGCTTGAGGCGCAGTGCTCTGGAGAAACGCTGTCCCCTTCGCCAGGGGAGCGTTTGAAGCGGCAACACCATGGAAAGCAAACTCGGTCAACAGCTCAAGTGCCCATCAAAGGCAAAACGGAGTCCTGGCAAAGGCAATAGACTTCCAGGAAATCCAGGAAGCTCAGAGAGTCCCAAAGAAGTTGGACCCCAAGAAGGAACACACCAAGGCACATCATCATTACATTAGCCAAGATTAAAATGAAGGAGAGAATCCTAGAAGCAGCAAGAGATAAGGGGACAGTCCTGGCTAGTGTAGCTCAGAGGATTGAGCATGGGCCTGCAAACCAGACAATGGCGGTTCGATTCACAGTCAGGGCACATGCCTGGGTTGCAGGCAGGTTCCCAGCAGGGGACACATGAGAGGCAACCATACATTGATATTTCTCTCCCTCTCTCCTTCCCTTCCCCTCTAAAGATAAACAAATAATATCTTTAAAAAAAAAGAGTTCTTCGACTTGACATTTAAAAAAAAAGAGAGAGAAAAGGGGACAGTCCCCTACAAAGGAGCTCCCATCAGACTGTCAGTGGATTTCTCAAAAGAGACCTTACAGGCAAGAAGGGGCTGGAAAGAAGTATTCCAAGTCATGAAAACCTACAACCAAGATTGCTCTATCCAGCAAAACTTTCATTTAGAATGGAAGGGCAGATAAAGTGCTTCTCAGATAAGATCAAGTTCAAGGAGTTCATCATCGCCAAGCCATTATTATATGAATTGTTAAAGGGACTTATCTAAGAAAAAGAAGATAAAAAAGATGAACAGTGAAAGGACAGAAAACTCACAGTTATTAACAATCACACCTAAAACAAAAGCAAACTAAGAGGACAGCTAGATCCGGAGTGAACCATACAAATGAAGATCACGTGGAGGATTAGCAACAGGGGAGTGGGAGGAGGAGGAGAAGGGAGGGAGAAGGTACAGAGAATAAGTAGCATAGACCTTAGATAGAAAATAGATGGGGGGGAGGGCAAGAATAGTAGGGGAGATATAGAATCTAAAGAACTTGAGACACGTGGTCATAAACTTAAGCGGGGGGAATGGTAGGGGAGGGGTGTGCAGGGTGGAGGGGAATGAAGGGGGGAAATAGAACAACTGTAATGGCATAATCAATAAAATAAAAATAATAATAATAATAATAATAATAATAAAGGAGCTCTGGCTGGTGTAGCTCAGTGGATTGAGCTCGGGCCTGCGAACCACACTATCGCAGTTCGACTCCCAGTCAGGGTACATGCCTGGGTTGCAGGCCAGTTCCCATCAGGGGACACATGAGAGGCAACCATACATTGATATTTCTCTCCCTCTCTCTCCTTCCCTTCCCCTCTAAAGATAAATAAAAATAAAAATCTTTGAAAAAATACATTAAAAAAAAAAAGGCAAAATGGAAAGCAGGAATGTGTCTCCTACACGGAGGAGCAATCCAGAGAGAGGAGACACAGGAATCACAGCAAGGAGTCCCACGGATGAACATCAAGGACGTGGGGTGGAGCCGCATCCAAAAAAGGCACCTGTGACCCCACACTAGACACATTAGCCAGGAGGTGGGAGCAACTCCAGCGTTCCACACGCAGATGCAGGGAGAAATCAGCGGGGGGGTCCATCCATGCCATGGAATAGTATTCGGCCATGAAAAGGAACTTTGTGAAGACATCACGCTAAGTGAAAGAAGCCCGATGCAAAAGAGCACGTACTGGGTGATTCCATTGGTATAAAATATTCAGAGCAGGCGGATTCACGGAGACAGAAGGCAGATTAGTAGTCGCCTGGGGAGGGAGGAAGGAGCTGGTAATAGGCACAGGGCTTCCTTTTGGAGGGATGAAAATATTTCGGAGCCAGATAAAGGCAGTGGTTGTCCCACATGGCGAATGTCCTAAATGCCACTGAAGTTCACTGTATAATGGCTAATTTTATGTTATGTGAATTTCATTTCAACTAAAAGTAAAAAAACAAAGTTCAGACAGGAGCACACATTTCAGTCTTATTCACATAAAACTTTCAACACCATGGTGAATTAAACATTGTGTAGAGATTCAGCTCTGGCTGGTGTGGCTCAGTAGACTGAGCACTGGCCTTGCGAAGCAAAGGGTCGCTGGTTCAATTCCCAGTCAGGGCATATTCCTGGGTTGTGGTCCAGGTCCCCGATGGGGGGCATGTGAGAGGCAACCACACACTGATGTTTCTCTCCCTCTCTTTCTCCCTCCCTTCCCCTCTCTCTAAAAATAAATTTTAAAAAATATTTATTTAAAAAAACATTGTGTAGAGATTCAAACATATCTGTTTTTTTTCCCCTAAGATTTTATTTATTTATTTTTAGAGAGATGGGAAGGGAAGGACAAAGAGAGGGAGAAAATATTGATGCTGATGCAAGAGAGATACATTGATTGGTTGCCTCTGGTATGTCCCCTACTGGGGACCTGGCCCACAACCCAGTCACGTGCCCTGACTGGGAATCGAACCAGCAACCTTTTGGTTCACAGGCTAGCACTCAATCCACTGAGCCACACCAGCCAGGGCAGAGTCAAACATACTTGGTAAAATTATAAGAAAAGAGTAGTATGCCCTGGCTGGTGTGGTATTCGGGTGTCATCCTGCAAAGCAAAAGGTCACAGGTTCAATTCCTGGTCAAGACACATACCTAGGTTTCATGTTTGGTCCCAGTCGGGGCAGGGGGCAGGGGTGGGGGTGAGAGGCATGTACAAAAGGCAACCAACCGATATTAGGCTTCTTCTCTTTCTTCCTCCCTTCCCCTGTCTCTAAAAACCCTCTCTCCCTCCCTCTCCAACTTCTCCCTCTAAAAGTAACGAAACAATATCCTCGGGTGAGAGGAGGAAAAAAAATAATAGTAAGAATGTGGCCATGTTCATTCCCTTGACTGTGGTGATCTTTTTGCAGGGTGTACGGATATCACATCATCACGTTCTACACTTTAAATGCACGTAACTTATCCATCAGATATACCGGAGGCGGAACTGAAGTAAAATAAAGGAAAAAAAACAGTAACGAGGTCGTGCACTGGAAAGGGGCATTTAGGAGGCTGCAAAGGGAGAGAGGCATTCTTATCCTGGGTGGTGCACGCATTTGCAAGTCGTGTTTGCACATAATGAATAGTAAGTTAAAACAATGTGTCAGCGTGAGCGGGGCGCCTGCCATCTCTGCGCCCCTCCCGGCTTTGGCCCTGGGGGAGGGGACGTCCCTGCTTACCTGTGGGGCTTCCTCGGAAGACGCTAATGGTCAGGTTTCTTGGAGCGTCTGGACAGCGAGACGCAGATAGGAACGGAGTCAGAGCCGGCCCTTCCACAGCCACCCACCCCAGGGGACACAGAAATGAGAAGTGGGGAACAGCAAAGCCTGTGCCCTTCCTGCAGCCCCCCCCCCACCCGTCATCCCGGCTCCGCACTCACAGGACACGTTGAGCGTGAGGGTCCTCTCCCTGCTCACTCTAGTCCTGGGGAAGGTGACTCGACAGGTGAGGTTGGTGCCGTGGTCCTGCGGGCGGGGGCTGAGCAGGATCTCCGAGGAGTTATAGGCCGCCTGGTCCAGTCCCAGAGGTCTGAGGACCACCCCGGTCCAGGAGATGGTGAGGGGCTCGCAGGCCCCGGGCATGGAGCACGTCAGGTGCGCAGGGCAGCCTGCCTCCAGGGGCTCCTTGACGCGGATGTCGGGGATCTGTGTCAGCTCTGCAGAAGACAGACCGGGAGGCTAGACCTCACAGGGGACCCCGGGGTGCGCCTCCAAGAAACGCAGCCCAGCCCTGAACTGCAGCGCCTCCCTGTGGTCTGTTCCTGGTATTCCACTGCATACCTGCCACGTCCACCGTGACCAGGTTACTTTGGTAACTGTGGTTCCCGGAACCGCTCTCCAGTCGGAAATAATACTTTCCACGGTGGCTCTTCTGGGCGTCTGTGATGCTCAGGGAGCAGTTGTTGTCCCCGGGGTCCCCGGAGAAGTAGAATGAAAATCTCGGCTTCCGTTTCGCTTTCTTGCTTTTCTTGTTTGTGGCCACGAGAAGGTCTGCTGTGAGATTATCCTTTTTCAGGAACCAGGAGCCGTGAGCAGGGGTCGAGTTGTCCCAGCCAACGTGGGGGTAGGTCACGGTGCAGGGCACGCGGAAGCACAGGCCCTCCTGCACCGTCACCGATTTCGGCACTTGCAGTACGTACCCGGGATCCTTCCCAAGGGACCCTGAGGGGAGAACACGGAGGCTCAGCTGCAACGTCAGCCCCCGCCCTGGCGCTGATCCCCGGCCCTCGGTCCACTCACCTGCCCATAGCAGGGGCAGAAGCAGCCGCAACATCTCCAGGGTCTCCGGCACTGGGCCTGTTTCTGGACTATTTGGCTTCTGGACCTGCCTGTCTAGCCTGGAAGGAAGCTCCAACAGGAAGCTTCTGGAGGAGATGGGGGTGGAAACCATCCAGAGAAGAGGAACCCCGGGAGCCACAGATGTCCTAGAAGAGTCTCTTGTTTGGACTTCTCCTTTCACAGAGGAAAGAAACGAAGCAGAGAGAGAATGCAGGGTCACCGGGGGCCACTCTCAGGGGCAGGGTGGTCCCAGGAATGGGCTCTTGGAGGCTGTTGGAGTGAGGATTCCAGGTGAGGTGCTGGGAGCATTCATTCATTCATTCATTCATTCATTCCCAGGCACACAGCTACTCAAAGCAGGAGCTGGAGCAAGGAGGAGACTACGACCTCCCAGCTGCCACCACCAGGGGCCTCACCTTAGAGTGACCCCAAAGCCAGGGCCCACCCCCAGGCTCCCCACGGGCACTCGGCCTCCTGCCCCCTGCCTGCCGTGGGGCTGGATCTCTAGTCCCCACAGGGTTCTCAGCCCCACAGTGAGTCGTGGGAGCCAGTCTCACAGGGCTGCACACTCTTAAGGGCCTCGCGCCAAGGGTTCAGCGCTCTGAAATTGCTGCCTTGAAATCCTTACTAATTTTATCTCTGAATACGTGTTTTGTAAGTGAAGTCTACAGGGATAAGGAGCATGCACCCGGGGTACTGGAACCTTGGATCATGCTTCTACCACCTCCACGCCTGCTCAGTCCCCTCCACGGGTCCTAGGTCCCACCTGGGCACAGAGAGGGCTGGGTCATGCTCAGTTAAGAGGGAGGAGCCCCGGGCACCCGCCAGGGTCTGCGCTGCCCACCCCGAAGTCGAGCCTGAAGAACCGAACATTACCTAACACGTAAAAAACACTGAACAAGCTCTGGCTGGTACGGCTTAGCGGGTTGAGCACCAGCCTGTGAACCAGAAGGTTGCTGGTTTGATTCTCAGTCAAGCATATATATGCCAGGGTTTCAGGACAGGTTCCCCAGTAGGGGGCGCGCAAGAGCCAGCTGATCAATGTTTCTCTTGCACAGTGACGTTTCTTTCCCCATCTCTAAAACAACAACAATACACACACACAACGCTGAACAAAAGGTGATCCATCCATACCGCACAGTATTACTGAGCCATAAAAAGGAGCAAAGTTCTGATCCGCGCTACAACACGAGTGATGCTCAAATGCTATGCTAAGTGAAAGAAGTCAGACACAAAAGGTCACACACTGTACAAACCCCACTTATATATGAAATGTCCAGAATAGGCAAATCCATGGAGACAGGAAGTAGATTTAGCGTTGCCTGGGGCTGGAGAACGGGGAACAAAGGGGGACTGTTTATGGGCATGGGTCTCCTTTTGGGGCGATAGAAAAGTTCTGGAACCAGATAGTAGTGATGTTTGCACAATACTTTGAATGTACTTAATGCCACTGCATTGTATACTGTAAAATGGTTTAAATGGTAAGTTTTGTGTTATATGTGTTTTATCACAACTTTTTTAAAACTTTTATTTATTTATTTTCAGACGGAGGAGAAGAGAGGGAGAGAAACATCAGTGGGTGTTTGCCTCTTGCACACCCCTCACTGGGGACCTGGCCCCCAACCCAGGCATGTGCCCTGAGTGGGAATTGAACCGGTAACCCTTTGGTTCATAGGCCAGCACTCAATCCACTGAGCCACATCACCCAGGGTTCCAGTGTTCCTTATAAGGATGCTAATCCTATGCATCAAAGCCCCGCCCTTATGACTTTATGTAATCTTAATTACCTCTAAAGACCCTAGCTCCAAACACAGTCACAGTGGGGGTTAGGGCTTCAATAGGTGCATTTGGAGGAGAGGGGAGGATTCAGTCCCCAGCACCGGGAGAACTCAGCATCGCCCACGTGACTCCACACCGGAGGAGAGAGGACCGGAAGCTTGCACCTGGTCTGCCCTGAATGTACCCGGTACACCTTTCCCCTTTGCAGATTTTAATTTGTATCCTTTTGATCTGATAACCCAGAACAGTTTCTCTTAGTTCGAAAAGTTCTTCCAGTGAATCACCAAACCTCAGGGAGTTCTTGGGGCTTCCAGAGCAATCTGTTCCCCTCCTGGGGCTGTGGTGCGGGAAGCCATTGTTTCCCTAAGCGGACGCTACGCGGCCAGCTGCTCGGGTCTGTGGACTCTGCAGACTGGGGCTCCGTGTCCTCGGTGCGCCCCCTGTTGGACGTGCGGTAGTCGCTCCCGAGGACTCAGCTCGTCGGGGCTGGAAAGTTGCTGACCAGGAAAATTGCTGAGTATCACAAATACATAGAAGGAAATGGGGTGAGCGCAATCCAGAACTGCACAGAAAACGCATCAGTTCCTTTTCATCTGTAACCACTTCCTCATTTCTCAGCCACGTGTCTCTCAAAAAGAAGGTGACTTTTACTTTTCCACAGGGACACCACCCCACGTCAGCAGAAGCACATCCACAACCCGTGGCCTGTCTACCCAAGGTCTTTGTGTCCCCTGCCTGTCCCTCCTCTTGCCTTTGCTACTGTACAATCCATTGCCCAGCCTGGGCCCCTGCAGAAGGGCCTAGTGGGGGCGGGCTATGTGGAGAGGAGACCCCAGGACCTGCTTTTGACCCAGACATTTGGCTTCATCTTGGTTTGAGTGAATTTTCCAGTTTCTGCAGAATTGCAAGATAGGCCCCTGAAACTGCCTTTCTTTCCAAGCAAGTAAGCTATTTTCTGCTTTTCCAATAGAGAGCGAGAAAGGATGGGGGTGAGGGAGGTCAGCTGCTGGCAGGATTCCAGGGGCCCCTGAGCACGTGGCATTGACACATAGGGGTGCGGAGGACCACGGAGTCACCCAAAGTCAGGAAGAGTCCAGTGGAAGAGAGAAACCCTGTTGTTTTTCTTCTGCAGGAGACATCACGGCCTCTAGGTCTCCTTGGCCTGAAAGGCAGGTCTGTGTGTGTGAGAGTCTTTGCACCTGTGCATCTGCCTGTGGGTGCGCATGTCTGTGTCCCTGAGTGTGTATTCTGTGCCTGTGTGTCCACGTGGTATGGGCACGTGGGCACATGTGGTGGGCATTGGAAACCAGCCTCATAGGCTAATAGTGGGAGGGGCTCTCATATCTTGGGTGCCACACTGAGGAGTCAGGTCGTTATTCTGGAGGGGGAGGAGCCATTACTGTGTTTAAGCAGGAGAATTATTGCACTTCTCGGAATGAAAACATTTGGTCCTGCGGAGCCCGTTCACCTGCTGTGCAAGACCCTGGAGTGGGGGCCCCAGCTTCTGGCCCATTCTGCACAGGAGGACTAACTTTCTCCAGGCTTGGAAGGGCTATGTCTGTACCCAATCTGGGTCACCTGGCAGGCTGACCCGGGTGCAGAAGAGCTGAATCAGCCCCTCATAGCCCATCCTGGAGCTGCTTCGGGTGGTGTTGAGGCATGAAGGTGCCTTCACCTGTTGAGCTCAGGCAAGTGAGCGGGGAGGTGGGGGGGCGAGCCTGGCCTAAGTTCCGGAGGGAGTTAGTAGGTGAGTTCCCCAGACTCCTCCCAGGGTCTGGCTGTGCTCCTGGGGGCGTAGGGACTGGGAGGGGCTCTGACCAAATGCAGGGACAGGATGTGTAAGGGTGCAGTGACAGGACATCGCCCTGAAAGAGATGGAGGGGGGGCGGGGCTGAGAGTGTTTCTTTCTCTCTCCTCCCACAGACGGAATCAAAGAAAACACTAGATTCCAGGTGGAGGATTCAAGAAAACAGCGTTTGTGATAGGTTGTCCATAGCAGGCCCTTCAAAGTGTTTTATGAAAATTAATTCACTTAGTGCTCACGACAACCCTATGAAGTAGGTGCTATTATTCCCATTTTTTTTAAAGATTTTATTTATTTATCTTTAGAGGGGAAAGGAAGGAGAGAGGGAGAGAACTGGCCTGCAACCCAGGCATGTGCCCTGACCGGGAATCGAACCGTGGTTACTTGGTTCCCAGGCCCGCGCTCAATCCACTGAGCCACACCAGCCAGGGCTATTATTCCCATTTTATAGCAGAGGAAACCGGCACAGCGAGGCTAAACAGGCTGTCCAAGGTCACACAGCCGGCTAGGGGCCGGGGGTTACTTCACCGCGGTCTGTCCCGCCCCACACTAGGCGGGAGGCCTCCCAGTACTGACGAGGTCGTGGATTTGGGGTCTTGTCTGTCCTCCCCACCGACGTGAGCCCTGGGAGCAGGGACTTTGGCACACAGAGGCGTTTAAAGAACAGGTGGAGTGAGGAAGGGGTGAATGGATCTCAGGATGGCCACATCCCTGTGACTGCAGCCCTCCTCCCTGCGCCTTGCTCCGGGATTATATTCGTGGTCAGGGCTTCTTCTAGTCCTGGTAAACGGGATCCTCGGGGCGACGCGGGAGCAGAAGGAAATCAACGCCAGGAACCGCCTGAGAAGAGGATGAAGCCGTGTACGGCCGGACACGGGCGCCACCTAGCGGGGGAGTGCTGGAAGACAGCGCGGCCGGGAGACCCGAAATGTTTGCTTTAGATCTAGGACAAAGGGACTTGGACCTGGGGTTCATGGCCAGTTTATGTGAAAATCAGAGTTCGAAGCTGGGGGCTGGCTACCAGTGGCTTTCAAATTTTTCTGGTGCACGGTAATAACTCATTTCACGTCAACAGAGTTTGACGAAATACCACTCTGTTCTGCATGGTTTTCTATTCTATTCCTTTTTAAAATCTTACTGATTTTAGAGAGAGGAAAACAGAGATTTGTCGTTCTACTTATTTACGCATTCATTGGTTGCTTCTTGTATGTGCCCTGACTGGAGATCGAACCTGCAACCTTGGCATATTGTGTCCTTAAGAGACCATGTTGGCATTTTTCCAAGTAAGGTCATGTTGATTCTTGGGATATGGACATATCTCTTGAGGGTCCACCAACCCACTAGAGACCCCCAAAGGCTAAACTACCAAGGATGAGCAAGGGTTAAACGCATGCCCCCAGTTCACGGAACAGCAGGTGTTGAACTAGAAGAAAATTGGGGAGGGGCAATGAGAAGTACCTGCTTAATGGGCAGGGGGCTTAGTTGGGGGTGATGGAAATGTTTCGGACCCAGACAGGCATGACGGTGGCACAGCACTGTGTCCTCAAAGCCACTGGGTCGCGCACTTTAAACACAGTTCTTCATCCAAAACCTAACAACAGTCCTTCCTTTTGCATGAACTGAGATAATGTGTGTAAAGTGTTTCAAGTTTGGTGCATGGTAGAGCCTCAACATTGCGGACGATGTTGAGCAACGTCCATGCCACGGCTACCAGGCCGTCTCCCATTTACCTCCCGACTACCCCTGGGAGGCTTTAATCAGGCACGGGCTCCTCCGGAACGTTAATATGTGGTTGCTTCTGACGCGCCCCCTACTGGAGACTTGGCCTGCAACCCAGTGTCAATCCACTGAGCCACACCAGCCAGGGCCAGCCCTTTGTGTTTGAGTGTCACCCTTTTTGGTATGTGTGACAAGGACCATGGAGAGCTGGCACCTTGGGCAATCCTTTCTTTTGCTGTCTATGTAAGCAATTAAGGGTCTGAACCTTCAAGTGGTTGTTGTTACCATTCAGTCAGTCCTGTCTTGCCTTGGCCTGGGCCGTGTGCCATGTGGGTGGGCCTGACCATGTTATTTCCATTATTATCATGCTTGTCTTTGGCCTTACACTGCCCCTTCTACGATGTCTCTCAAAGACAAGACACAGACCAGAAGAAATTCCTCATTTTATTTCCACCACAAGCCCCGCAAAAATCACTTCCCCGACCTCCCTCCACTACATGCAGCCCTGCCCCAGCACCTTCACCAAACACTGATCTCCCCCCAGAGCTAAAACGGACACCCAGTCACCAACTATGGCCACACCCACCCTGCCTGCTTCCCGCCCCCACCTCCACAGCCACCAGCTTTGTGAACTTGGCCACCCTTGGGCTCCCTGACCAAATGCACTTTCCCAGGGGCGCTCAGCTTGCTTCTTTTGCTTATTATATGGGTGCCACTCTTAATACCCTCCCTGACTTACTCCCAGGTGGCCCTCCTGCCCTCATCTATGGTCATTCTGCACGACCTCCAGGCTTCACTCCGCTGTTCCAGAGACCAGGTTTTCCAGCTCTCCCCTGCTCCCTGAACCTCCCGGGGGGCGGGGGAGGGCCCTCCTTCCCTCAGCTGTCACCTGAGAAGGCCAAATATGCCCTGGTTCTGGGGAGGGAGAAGGGGGGCAAAATCAGAAATGCAAGGACAAGAGAGAACACAAGGATTAAAAAAAAAAAAGAGAGAGAAAGGGGGGAGGTTGGAAAGCAGCTGGAGGCAGAGGGAGGATGGAGGGACCCCCCCCACCTCAGCCTCAGAGACAGAGGTGAGCCAGAGCTGAAGACCAGCGCCCCCTACAGCCCAAAGCCCCTGCCCATCTAGCTGTTGTGGGTCCTCTGGCTCCGGGCCTTGTACACCTCGATGAGCAGATCCTTGACATACTGGATCTCCCGCTCCACAGACTCGGCCCTCTCCCGCAGCTCCCGGTTCCGTGCCTCCAGGCCTTGGCACTCACCCTCCAGGGCCTCACCCTCTGCCCGCTTCCTCTGGCGGTACCTCAGAGCAGCTGACTTGTTCTGGTCTCTCTTCTTTTGCTTGCGGTCCCCTCGGGTGGTGGCAGGATTGGGGTAGGGGGCCGGGCGAGAGGGTGGAGGTGGAGGAGGGGGCTGCTGGGCTGGGGGAAGGGGAGCCAACCCCACATCCCCCTGCCCAGCCTCGTTGCGGCAGTACATGACCAGTAAGTCAAGGGTATCCAGGACAGGGGGCTGGGGGGGGTCAAAGGCGGGGAGGGGGAGGGGAAGAGGAAGGGAGGGTGCCGTTGGTGGAGGTGGCAGAGGAGGCAGCAGCTGTGGTGATGGGGAGGGAGGTGGGAGAAGCGGGGCATCAAGGAAGAAGTCTTCCATCTGCTCCAGCTCCTTCTTGAGGAGGGAGGCCATGGCTTCGAGGTCGGGTGGGGGCGGGGATGGTGGGGGGAGGGCAGCTGAGGGTAAGGGGGGCTCCAAAGGGAGGAGGGCAGTAAAGTCAACCCGCTCAGTCATCCAGTCAGAGAAGCCATCACCTGGGGGATGGGAGGAGGACAGAGTTCCTTGAGTTCCTGGTCTTCCACCCAGCTGGGTGCCCACTCCTGTTTGCTTCATTTATCTCATCCACTAAACCCACCAACCAGCCAGTCCATCTGCCAGCCGATCCAGGAATCACCAAACCAGTCAAGCAAGCAACCAACCAACAATCAAACATCTAACCAACCAATCAACTAACCGGTTAAACAATCAACATCCCGTGGACCAGCTTAATCAACTAAATAACTCAGTCCACCAGTCAATCAACCCTATTAACCAACCAATCAATGAACCAGTCAACCAACCAATGACTCAAACAACAGGCAACCAGCCATCTCTTCAACCCTTCCAACATCCTCTTTACTGATTAACCTACATCTACAGTTTCTCTGGTTTACTCTCAAGTTTAACTTAAAAAACAAACTAGGTATCACATGCACAACACACCCCGTTTCATCTTTAATTCATTAGTTATTGAAAACCCACTATGTTCCAAGCATTTGGGGCACACTAATGAATAACGTATTTTCTGCCTCAGGGCCTTTGTATGTGATGTTTCTCCACCTGAAAAGCTCTTCCCTTGGGTCTTTTTTTTCCTTCCCATCCTTTAGGCTTCAGCCAAAATGTTACCTACTTGGTGAGAGTTTCTTGGCTACCCAATTGAAGCTAGGTCTCCACTGTCATTTTTTAGGTCCACTACTAGGCATTTCCCACTTATCCCAATACCTCATCATTTAATGTCTTGTCTGCCTCCCCACTGGAGTGCGAGCTCCAGAAAGACAGGGATCATGTCAGTCTTGTTCCCAGCTATATTCCCAGCACTTAAAACAGTGCCTGGCATATTACAGGTGCTCAACAATTATTTATCCAATGAATAAATGAAGGAATTCTTCCTCTTTCTATTCTGCCCCCGCTTGTCCCAGCTCGCCCCACCCACATTCTTTACCTGCCCTTACCTGCCAGGGGCTCTCCCCCCCCTGGAAGCCCGCCCTCCAGGGCTCCCCCAAGGACCTCATAGGGACCCAGGGGGGCAGGGGCCAGGGGGAGTTTTCCATAGTCTACGAGCCAACCCAGGCCGCTAGCTGGGAGTACAGCCCTGTCCAGCTCCAGTCCCAGGGTCGCCAGGAGCGACATGGTTGCAGCACAGGCGCTGGGCACGGATGGCAACGAAGAAGGCTGCACCAACAACTGGGAGGAGGCTCTGGAAGTTGCTCAGCTGGGCAAACACAGGCACCACGGTGAAAGTGGAAGACCTACAAAAGTGAGACAAAAGTGGGTGGGGTCAGGCCAGCCTCACTCACGGCTAGAAATCACAGGGTAACCAAGCCACAATCCCATATCCCCAAAGTCCTCCCGCCCTCTCCCAACTGGGCTTGGGGCTGCGCCTTACCCTCTCAAAATTCTAAATTTGTCCTTTCTTTCCCCAAATCCCTGAGCCCTATCCATTCCCAAGAAAATTCTCTTTATACCTGACTTACTTTTCTCCAAAATTCCCAAGACACAGTCTTTCCAACACAGAAACCTAATGGTTTCCCAGGGGAATTTCCTTTAGCCCCTCCCACCCACACTATATTATATCATGAAAGAAGTCTATCCCAGGGTAATTTACTTCAGGCCACACCTCTTTCTCTAAAAATCCTTCCATTAGGCCCCACCCCCTCCCTAGGTTCCTTCTGGATTCAGTTCCCAGGGGAATTCCCTCTCCACCCCCACTGCCCTGCCCCTTCATTGTCATCCATTCAAATCCCATTATTTCCTTTGAGAACACTGCAGTGACCTACATTGTCCCTGCAAGTCCCACCCCATTGTTTATCTTGGCCCCACCCCTCCCTGAAGATTCCTTAGTCCCCGCCTCTTTCTCTAATCAGAGCCCCACCCTTCATCTGAAAGGTTCGCTTAGCCCCGCCCCCTCTCCCCACGGCTCCCGTAAACCCCATCTTACGGGACCGCTGTCACCCTAGCTCCACCCCATTCTTAATACGTTATCTTTAAACTGCTTTTTTTGCCCAATCTAAACCAGCACCCGCCCCAGCAAACGCCTGAATGAAAGGGAGGGAAGCTGTGCTGTGCGACCAAGCAGTATGAAGCAGGGAGGGTGGAGAGGACCAGCGGAGGATAGCTCCTACACCCTCCAACCTTCCACACATGGCTGCCTCGCCTAGGGCCAAAACGCATGCTCAGCCACTAGGACGGTTCCGCTGCTTTCTCGCTTCCGCCCTCCGGGTTATGCGCATGAGCAACGGCAAGGGAACGGAATGGTTTCAGGAGGAGGGGGTGGAAAACCCTCTCCGAGGGCTGCTAATGCGCCGGCGTAACCGCACGTGGGCCGTCTCCACCGCTCAACATTCTCTGGAATTAAAGAACGCTCCTTCGCCGTCAGGCCAAGTGCGCATGCTCGGCCGCGCCCCGACGCTTGCTTTCCCTTCTCTGCGCCTGCGCGACCGTGATCCCTCACTCTTGTCCCACCCCCCAACCCCCCCAAGCCCTGTCGTGAAGGCCGCGAGCTTCGAAAGGGCGGGAAAGGCAGTTGGAGCGGTAGGGACGAACGGTTACTCACTCCATGGCTGCTGAAAGGAGAGGCAGCGGCGGCCTCGGCTGAAGAAAGAAGGTGGGAGCGGAGAACACAGACGTGGTGAGCGCAGAGACGAGCAGGGGGCGCGGAGGGGTCGCGGCTACAGAGCCATGGCCGGGGCTATGCGGGTGGAGCTGATTTCGCGGTAACGTGAGGAGAGATCGTGATCTGACGTGGTGTTAGGATGGGGAATGAAGTGGCCCGGGGGACAATGGACAGATATACGAGGGGCGGCGCAGCACTGCCCGCCCGGATCCCTCCGCGCCCCGCCCCGCGGAGGCCCCAACCAGGAGACGGGCCTAATTCGGCCCTTTCCTTTCTCCGACTTGGGATTCAGTTCCCTCTTCCTTGTGGCTCTGGGGTCGGTCTCCCTCTTTCAGATATTGGGTCCGGCCCTCCGCTCTCCTTGACCCTTAGGCCTGGTTTCCTCGTCCCTGAGACCGACCTGAGAAATATTTTTACCTCCCTGAGAAAGTAAAAGCATTTCTCATTTACTTTCCTCCGCTTCACGAATTTCCGGCCAGCCACACGCTGGTCTCTTCATTACCCAACTTCCGACTCACCCGGAGAACCCTTTTTGTAGGTCAGAGCCCCGCTTGAGTCACAGCCCGCCCTCCATTCAAATCGCATACTAGCTGTGATGGCCTTGGGCAAATAACTGAAATCCTCTGGTCTCAGATCGGGAACTGTGTGTAAAATGAGAATAATCAACTCTACGTGATGGAGTTGTTGATGAGAAAGAAATAGTTGATGCTTGTGAAGCGCTACACTCAGAGCCCAGTTCATATTTGTCTGTTCAGTGTATATTAATAGAAACTCTGGGAGCCAGTCTCCCCCCACCCCACCCCACCCCCTGTGAGAGCCCCAGGCACTTGACCAACCAACGCCTACTAATAGGATCTTCTTGTGTCTCATTCACTCCTCCAAGATGGCAATTTTCAGCCACCCCCACTCCATTCCAAATGTTGGGTGTTCGGCCCCATCCTGACCCAGGGATGCAGGAATTGGACATCATCGCCCCCACTCTGCCTTTTTCTCCTTTTGCTGCCTGCCTTCCCTCATTGACCACCGCACTGCTGTCGGGACAGTCGGTTCATTCTTCTGCCCCTACTCCTCACCCTGCCTTCGTGAGATGTCCTCCACTGGGTTAGTCTCACAGCCCTGACAAACACGGGGAGAGCTATACGTCCATTTACTAGAACAGGGAGCTTCCTAACCAGTCCTTCCCTGTGCACTGGGTCCTCCACCAGCCCAAGTGCATGTGGGTCTTCCCTCTGGTGCAGAAATTTCTCTTCCCCGCCTTGCATCCATCCCCATCAGGGAGTCACACTGGGAGTTAAGCCGTCATCACTTTTATGGTGGTTATGAGACTGAATCAAAATCTAAAGGTGGGGGAACCCTAATTTTGAGAGTTATGTGGGGAGTACAGATGCGCAGGCTTCTTCCGCCTTCCCTGAGCATGCAGGAGGATCTGACCTCTTTTCCTTAGAGCACTTAATGTCCGCTCTGCCAGTATGGTAGGGGCTCCCTTATTACCCGGGCATCGCAGAGCAGCAATTAACATCGTAGACTCTGGAGCCATCTTGTTTGGCTTCAAACCCTGATTGTACCCTATTTACTAGCTATGTGATACTGGCCGTTTTCCTTAACTTCCCTGTGCCTCAGATTCAGCATGGTTTAAAAAGAAAAAAAGACCTGGCCAGGTGGCTCAATTGGTGGGAGATTCGTCTTCTGCACCAAAACCGGTACAGGTTCGATTCCCAGTCAGGGCATATACGTAAGGCAATGGATCAGTGTTTCTCACATTGATGTTTCTCTTTCTCCCTTCCTTTCTAAAATCAATAAATGTATACCCAGGTGAGGAATAAATGAATCAATGAATGAATCAGTCAGTCAGTCAATCAAGCATTTAATAGTACCTACCACTTAGGGCTGTTTTGAGGACTAAATGGGTTAATCCAGGCCAAGTGCTTAGTTAGACTAGTGCCGGGCACACCTCGGGAGCTGTATAAGGGGTTGAGGTGGGTATGTTATATCTCTGTTGCTAAGCAGTTAGTGCTTTAAAGCTGTGACTGGTCTCCCACCTTTTAAGGACTGACCTCCTTCCACTTATCAGTGGAGATTTGAGCGATAATGGGGGGATTAGGGTGGAGTGTGGAACTGGCTGCTGGTAGTTACATGTGCTTCTGAGAGTCCATAGGTTATGCATGGGGACTAGGGTTTTTTGTTTGTTTTTTAACTTTTTATTTGAATAATTTTAGGTTTATAGAACAGTTGAAAAGAAGGTAATTCAGAGTTTCTGTATACCCCTCCCTTAATTTCCCCCATTGTTGCCAGTCAGGAGCCAGCATCTGTACTCCTCTCTTAACGAAATTTCAACTTTATTCTGATTTCACTGGTTGTTCCCCAGTAGCCTGTTTTGTTTCAGGATCCCTTCCAAGATGCCGAATGACATTTAGTCATCGTGTTTCCTTAGCCTCCTCTGGTCTGCAGCAGTTCCCTGATTTTTCTCGTTCTTCATGACCACTGGAGGTGGGGTGTTCTATAGAAAGCCCCTCAGTCTGGCTTTGTCTTGTAGGCTAGGATTACGGGTTTTTGAGATGGTGGTCAGTTATTAAAAAGTAAGGGTAATGGACTTGTTTTTTAATAACTGGAAGTGAACTTGCTCTGTAGGCGAATCATGTTGCTGGCTCTGTGCAGACAAAAGACATTGGGGAAGGGACCCTGGTCCCCCTGTCCCAGCCCCTTGTACTTTTTTCTCTCTCTTGGATCCCACCCAGTTCAGCTCTGGTGCTGACTTCCCCACCCAAGCAGCCCGACTCAGTCCTGCTGAGTGGGTGCCAGTTCTCATACTTAATTCTCTAGCCCTTCCAAGTATTTGTGATTTATGGGGGGTAGGTCATCAGTGGCTGGCTGTGAGCCCAGGTCCTGGTACCCTGAGTCCGCTTCTGTGCCTACCCCTGACTCGGACCTGTGGCTCCTCTGGCACTCAGGTGCCTCAGCCTCCCTCAGCTTGGCAGATTCTCGGTGCCCCAGCCCTTTCAGCTCTTGAACTGGGGCTGGGAGCATGGGTGGGGCTGCTGGGGACTCTTTGTCAGTTCGGAAGGACCAGCCATGGGGAGTGAGGAGGCAGTTGCAGGCAGGTTGCATCAGCCTGGCTCTTTGATGGGGAGGCGGAGTGGAGGGATTCTCTGGGGGCTCCAGGCACGCCCAGCAACAGGCTCCGAGTTAGTAGAGCCCTGCATCTGGGAGAGGACTGGCACAGCAAGGATGGGCTATGGCAGGGGAGGGGGAGCAGCCACCTGTGCAGGACCCTGGGAATCCGAGACGCCGTGCCAAGAAGGATCATCACATCATAGAGCCTAACCCACTGGTCTTGCAGGGGGTGAGGCTGAGGCTCTAAGAGGTGAAAGGCACTTATATTATATAATCACACTGCTGGCTGAAGCCCAGACCCCCCCCCCCCCCCAACACTTGACAGCGTCTAATGCCCTGCAAGCCCCAGGAGAATCTATTTTCTCCTGTTAGATCTGATCCCCCCCGCCCAGGACATAGCCTGCTAGGAGGCCACTGGGCCTGGGGCATCACCTTAGGTTTGCTGCTGCTCAGTTGCCAAATTCTATTGATTCTGACTTGCTTCTCCCCATCCCTCCTGCCTAGAGGAGGCCCTCCTCACCTGTACTATTGCAGCAAGCTCTCGCTGCTTTCCCAACTCAGGAGACAGTCTGCCGTGATGGGAAGGGCACTGAGTTTGCATCAGATAGACCCAGGTTCCAATCCCAAGCCCACACCACTTAGTCCTGCCTGGAGGTGCAGAGAGGGTCCTTACTCCGCCTCACTGTCACCTGCCTTCTGCAGAGAGTGGGTCAGAGTGAGGGCTCTGGAGCCAGCCTGCCAGGTTCACGTCCTGTCTCCACCACTCCTGTGTCCCTGAGCCAGTGGCATCTCCTCCCTGGTCCATACAGTGGGGATAAGAGGACCCATCTCATAGTTCTTGTAAGGAAGCAGATCAGTGAATGTGAAGTTGCTAGAACAGGACCTGCCTACTTATGAACAGTAGTTATTTTTCTCTAAGGCTTGGGGTGCTGGGAGGACTGCATGAAGTGAGGTACGGAAAGCCTGGCACTTAACTACCTAGAGAATCTCTACACGTTTGTTTCTCTTCCCATCCCCACCACACTTGGCTCTGCTTTCACAGCCGCCTCACAGACAGACACAGATGTTTGTGTCTGTGGCTGTTTCCCTGAGCTCTTGGAAGGCAGGGTCAGGACCTTCGTTCCTGGCGGCACTCCCCACAGCCCCCAGCCCTGTCCTGCTGCAACCTAGGTAGTGACCGCAGTTCACTTTCAAATAAGTTGCTTGTGCACAGAAGCTGGGAGTTCAGTAACTTTGTCCCTGAAGAGGCATGAGGGCAGGTATCTGGGTTATGCAGGCCAAGGGGGCAGGGATTGGAGGTGAGTGTCCTGGCAAACAAGGGCAGGAAGGCCAAGACCAGTTCACTCGGGGAAGGGACAGCCCAGGGCATAGTCTGCCATGTGGCCGGGTGGCTCAGAGTCCTCTGGAGCCCCTCCCCTCACTCCTGCTGCATCTCCCTCTATTGCATCTCCCTCTGCAGAAGCACCTCCCTCAGCAGAAGCAGCCATAACTCTTAGCACCTAGTTGGGCCCTGTGCTGCTGCGCCAGCCCTGGCACCCTCAGTGGTCTTCCCTATTCGCATCTGTGCTCTCCGCTGTAAGGAACTGCTACAAACTGAGTGGCTTAAAACAACACTCACTCCCTCACTCCCTTTCAGTTCTGGAGACCAAACGAATGGGTCTGTGGGACTGTGTTGTCCCCGTCCCCCGCCCCCCCCCCCCCCCCCGGGCTCCAGGGGAGAATCCATTTCCTGGCCCTTTGCAGCTGCTGGAGGCCCCCTGCGGTCCTTGGCTCTGCCCTTCCTCATATCACTCCAGCCTCTGCTTCCATTGCTACATCTATTTCTTCCTCTGCTATTCTTTCCTCTGTTATAAAGACCTTTGTGATTACATTAGAACCATCCAATCACGTATGCTAAGTGCCTT